TACAATGAGAGGGAGGGGATGCCCTAGTTCATGTAATGGGGGGAAGGATGGTACAATGAGAGGGGGGGGAAAGCCATAGTCAGGGACTTTGGGGTAAGGGTGGTACAGTGAGAGGGAGGGGGATGCCATAGTTCATGTACGGGGGTAAGGATGGTACAATGAGAGGGAGGGGGATGCCATAGTTCAGGTACTGGGGGTAAGGATGGCTACAATGAGAGGGAGGGGGGTGCCATAGTTCAGGTACTGGGGGTAAGGATGGTACAAAGAGAGGGAGGGGGGTGCCATAGTTCATGTACTGGGGGGGAAGGATGGTACAGTGAGAGGGAGGGGGATGCCATAGTTTTTGGTACTGGGGTAAGGATGGTACAATGAGAGGGAGGGGGATGCCCTAAATTCATGTAGGGGGTAAGGATGGTACAATGAGAAGGGAGGGGGATGCACATATCAGGTACTGGGGGGAAGGATGGTACAATGAGAGGGAGGGGGATGCCATAGTTCATGTACTGGGGTAAGGATGGGACAGTGAGAGGGAGGGGGATGCCATAGTTCAGGGACTGGGGGTAAGGATGGTACAGATGGGGAGGGGGATGCCATAGTTCATGTACTGGGGGTAAGGATGGTACAATGGATGGGAGGGGGATGCCATTTGTTCAGGTACTGGGGTAAGGATGGTACAATGAGAGGGAGGGGGATGCCATAGTTTTATGTACTGGGGGTAAGGAGGTACAGTGAGAGGGAGGGGGATGACCCTAGTTCAGGTACTGGGGGAAGGATGGTACAATGAGAGGGAGGGGATGCCATAGTTCATGTACTGGAGGTAAGGATGGTACAGTGAGAGGGAGGGGGATGCCATAGTTCAGTACTGGGGGTAATGGATGGTACAGTGAGAGGGAGGGGGATGCCATAGTTCATGTATGGGGGTAAGGATGGTACAAGTGAGTGGGAGGGGGATGCCATAGTTCAGGTAAATGGGGGTAAGGATGGTACAATGAGAGGGGAGGGGGATGCCATAGTTCTGTACTGGGGGTAAGGAGCGGTACAGTGAGAGGGAGGGGGAGCCATAGTTCAGGTACTGGGGGTAAGGATGGTACATGAGAGGGAGGGGGATGCCATAGTTTTATGTACTGGGGGGAAGTATGGTACAGTGAGAGGGAGGGGGGTGCCATAGTTCGTACTGGGGGTAAGGATGGTACAGTGAGAGGGGGGGGGGATGCCATAGTTCAGGTAAATGGGGGTAAGGATGGTACAATGAGAGGGAGGGGGATGCCATAGTTCATGTACTGGGGGTAAGGATGGGTACAGTGAGAGGGAGGGGGATGCCATGATTCATGTACTGGGGGTTTAAAGGGTGGTACAGTGAGAGGGAGGGGGATGCCATAGTTCATGTACTGGGGGTAAGGATGGTACAGTGAGAGGGGGGGATGCCATAGTTCAGGTACTGGGTAAGGATGGTACAATGAGAGGGAGGGGGATGCCATAGTTCATGTACTGGGGGGAAGGATGGTACAGTGAGAGGGAGGGGGATGCCATTGTTCAGGTACTGGGGTAAAAGGGTGGTACAATGAGAGGAGGGGGATGCCATAGTTCTGTCTGGGGTAAGGAGGTACAGTGAGAGGGAGGGGGATGCCATAGTTCATGTACTGGGGGTAAGGATGGTACATGTGAGAGGGAGGGGGATGCCATAGTTCATGTACTGGGGGTAAGGATGGTACAGTGAGAGGGAGGGGGATGCCATAGTTCAGGTACTGGGGGTAAGGATGGTACAATGAGAGGAGGGGGATGCCATAGTTCATGTACTGGGGGTAAGGATGGTACATGAGAGGGAGGGGGATGCCATAGTTCAGGGACTGGGGGGTAAGGATGGTACAATGAGAGGGAGGGGGATGCCATAGTTCAGTACTGGGGGTAAGGATGGTACAGTGAGAGGGAGGGGATGCCATAGTTCATGTACTGGGGTAAGGATGGTACAGTGAGAGGGAGGGGGATGCCATAGTTCAGGTACTGGGGGTAAGGATGGTTACAGTGAGAGGGAGGGGATGCCATAGTTCAGGTACTGGGGGAAGGATGGTACAATGAGAGGGAGGGGATGCCATAGTTCAGGTATTTGGGGGGAAGGATGTACAATGAGAGGAGGGGGATGCCATAGTTCATGTACTGGGGGTAAGGATGGTACAATGAGAGGGAGGGGGGGGGCCATAGTTTTAGGTAACTGGGGGTAAGGATGGTACAATGAGAGGGAGGGGGATGCCAAAAAGTTCAGGTAATGGGGGTAAGGATGGTACAATGAGAGGGAGGGGGATGCCATAGTTCAGGTACTGGGGGTAAGGATGGTACAATGAGGGGAGGGGGATGCCATAGTTCAGGGACTGGGGGTAAGGATGGTACAGTGAGAGGGGGGGGGAAAGCCATAGTTCAGGTACTGGGGGTAAGATGGTACAATGAGAGGGAGGGGGATGCCATAGTTCAGGTACTGGGGGTAAGGATGGTACAATGAGAGGGAGGGGGATCCATAGTTCAGGTACTGGGGGTTAAGGATGGGACAATGAGAGGGAAAGGGGGGTGCCATAGTTCAGGTACTGGGGGTAAGGATGGTACAGTGAGAGGGAGGGGATGCCATAGTTCAGGTACTGGGGGTAAGGATGGTACAATGAGAGGGAGGGGGATGCCATAGTTCATGTACTGGGGGTAAGGATGGTACAATGAGAGGGAGGGGGATGCCCTAGTTCATGTACTGGGGGTAAGGATGGTACAATGAGAGGGAGGAGGACTCCCATAGTTCAGGTACGGGGGTAAGGATGGTACAATGAAGGGGGAGGGGGATGCCATAGTTCATGTACTGGGGGTAAGGATGTACAATGAGAGGGAGGGGGAGCCATAGTTCATGTACTGGGGGTAAGGATGGTACAGTGAGAGGGAGGGGGAAAGCCATAGTTCAGGGTGGGGGTAGGATGGTACAATGAGAGGGGGGGGATGCCATAGTTCATGTACTGGGGTAAGGATGGTACAATGAAGGAGGGGACACCCATGTTCAGATACTGGGGGTAAAGGATAGTACAATGAAGGGAGGGAGAAAGCCATAGTTCATGTACTGGGGTAAGGATGGTACAATAGACGGAGGAGACACCATAGTTCAGATACTGGGGTAAGGATGGTACAATGAAGGGGGGAGACACCATAGTTCAGTGGTGGGGGTCAGGAGGTGCAGTTTAGTAGGGAGGGGGAACCATAGTTCAGGTGGTGGGGTCCCGGATGGTACAATGAAGTTGTGGTGTGACTAGTTTTAAAGGTCCAATTTGGACTGGGAAAATTTGTTAAAGTGTGTGTAGATTATTTATTTAAGTACAGGGTTCTAAGATAACAGGTCAGTTCTGCTATGTGTGGGTTATGTAGGTACAGGGTTCTGAGATAACAGGTCAGTTCTGCTATGTGTAGGTTATTTATGTAAGTACAGGGTTCTAAGATAACAGGTCAGTTCTGGTAATACATACACTGTACGTATTATCTTAGTTTCATCTCTTATCAAGCACTTGTTATTACTGTGCCAAGTCACACGGAATTTCATTACTAATACTCTCATGACTTTCTCATCTTTGGGGGCTGGAACTTTAGAAAAACTTTGATTTAATATACCTTGATTTGATAAACTTAAGATTTAACAGACAAAATCAGTTGCCCAAACAAAGTCCATAAGCAGCAGACAAAGTCCGTCATTTCCAGACTTATCAATTATTGTTATTTCTTTCTTTCAACACACTGGCCGTATCCCACCGAGGCGGGGTGGCCCAAAAGGAAAAACAAAAGCTTCTCCTTTTAAATTTAGTAATATATACAGGAGAAGGGGTTACTAGACCCTTGCTCCTGGCATTTTAGTCGCCTCTTACAACACGCATGGCTTACGGAGGAAGAATTATTGTTATGATCATGGAAAAAACTCTTTGTATTTAATGGACCCTCAGCATTACCAGACACTCTGTCGTCCCTCTTAGTCCTTACAGGGAAATTTGTTTTTTTATGGCTTAATCAGCGTGTCATCTTTAAGGTGGTATTATATCTTGGGTTCCTCTGTAGCTATATTTTTGTAACATTAAAAATTTGCCTTAAATGGCACAACCTGATCAAAGGAAGTATACATACAGGCTGCCCTTCATGCACCCTATTAAATAAATAAAATAGCTTGATGAGAGTCCTTTTTTTTTATAAAGTGCACACTGTGCATGGCATTTTAGTTGCAGCTATAATAATTCTAATAAATATGAAATTTAAAAGTATCAGGAACTTATATTATATTGTATTGTATTGTAATTTCATAAACAAATACTGTACTACTCACCTGTTTACAGCTAGACAATATATTTTTTTTATTTGTAATTTATGGACAGTCTTGTAACTTGAATCCTGACTATTTTTTTAACTTCCTGTTAATACCTTGTAATAGGCCCTTAAAAGCTAATCACTGTGGTTCTTAATACTATGGAGTTTTTGATTATTGTGTATTTTATATACAGGCAATAATTTGAAATAAAGAATCTGAATCTGATGACAGTAGTTTTGTAATAGTATACTGTACAGATTATGCTGTTTACATACATCCTCTCAATAATATTAGTGTAAGATGGTAATGAAATACATTTAAGAAGCAGGCTCTCTTTGTATTATAATTCCTGGAGGATTAAAAACTTAGGATAACCCAAAATAAGCCAAGCAATGTGGCTTGCTTATGTTGAGATGCATTAGATCTTTTTCCCTAGGATGTGACTTATAACAGTAAACTAACACCTAGGTTTGTATTTACTGCTAGGTGAACAGGGGCATTAGGTGTTAGAATGCTTTCCTCTACCTCTCACCATGCACAAACTTTGAATTCTGTCCTGTCAGTTGTGAGTTACAAGGCAGGATATTCTCAGTTTAAATATACCAGGACTGTACAGTTTCATAATATCTTCCTGGACTGTTTATTTTATGTTTACAAGGCTTCCTTACACATTTATCTTGTTCAACAGACATATACAGGCTCCATCCTGGTGGCAGTAAATCCTTACCAGATCCTGCCCATCTACACAGTGGACCAGATCAAACTGTATCGGGGCAAGAAGATAGGAGAACTCCCACCGCACATCTTTGCCATTGGTGACTCCTGCTACAACAACATGAGACGCTTCAAGCAAGACCAATGTATTGTTATCAGGTATGTTCTGACAGAAGTACAGCAGCAGGAGCCCCAACTTGTGATGTTGGGTGCATTCCTGAAAATTGTTTGTTACTCAGGTGTTTGCAACTTGGAAATTGTTTTCCCATAGATACCCATGTGTGATTATGTGTGAGTGAGGTGAGTGTTGAATGTTGATGAAAGTATTTTCTTTTTGGGGATTTTCATTTTTTTTGGGGTCATCCTGCCTCGGTGGGAGACGGCCGACTTGTTAAAAGAAAAAGTTATTATCAGAAATGCTTTCCTGGGCCATAATATTCCATATTTAACTTCATTTTTTAACGATGAAATAAAAAATATACATTACTCAGATAATGCCCTCTGTCTTTCCTCTCCTCCCTCTTTCTTATATTTCCTAACCTTTTCCCTCTTCCATCCATCCTCTTTCATATCATATCTGTCACATCACATGGGTAGCATTAGCATGACTGCATACCTCTGTCTCATTCCCTCTCTCCTGGTGAATATTGTTGCAGGTTAGACTACAGTGTAGGAGTGAAGATGTGGTGTTAGTGAACTAAGCTGCTATGCCATACTCATACTGAATGTTTGCAGTGTTTATTATATCTGCAGATTAGTGTTCGTAAGAAATTAATTAGTACAGTTACCCTGTTTGTAAGTACAGATCATTTTAAGTTAGTGTCCTACTGTAGGTGTAGAGCACTGTGGCAGGACCAGCATAATGTGATAAATTACTGTCAGACAGAAGTAGACATAGTATACCATAGTAGGACTAGTGCATTATCATCAGATACAGTGACAGAAGCAGAGACAGTACCGTGGTAGAACCAGTGTATTGGCAACAGGTATGTTTTGACAGGTGGATGCATATGCAAGTTTTAACTTTTGTGTGTGTGTTATTATTTGTGTGAAGCAAGGACTTGTAAAAACTTGATCCTATCTGCTCTACTGTAATTGTGAGACATTCACTACTTAACTGAAATTTCTAAGCTATTACTATTTGTGTTTTTATTTCTGTGATTTTTGCATAGTGAACTGTCACCTGTGTCTTACCTGACAACTTTATCACAGTCCTTCTAGAGTCATCTGCGGAGATGTCATTTGGACAACTACTACAACTACTTTCAGCACACCGGTCATATCCCACCAAAGCAGGGTGACCCAAAAAGAAAAGAAAAGATTCCTTTTAACTTTAGTAATGTACACAGGAGAAGGGGTTACTAGCCCCTTGCTCCCAATATTTTAGTTGCCTCTTATGACATGCATGGTTGGAAAACTACTGAAGTTCTTAATTGTTCTATTTGCCAACATTGAGTAAACAATTTTGTACACAGTTGTTTGCTGTGACCTTTCTGTATAATGCCTAAGACAGTGCAATAAATAGTTTAATATCTTTATTATGCACCCCATACCCATCCTGTGGGCAGTAGTCAAAAAATTACAGAGGCACATAATGAGTCCAGAGACTGGGCTGCAAACGTTTGATAGCTAAACAAGTTAGTGGTAATGAGCTATTTACATGTTTATATCTCTTGCAATGACATAGGTAGTAGGTTGGTAGACAGCAACCGCCCAGGGAGGTACTACCGTCCTGCCAAGTGAGTGTAAAACGAAAGCCTGTAATTGTTTTACTACACATATGCTGCTATGTATGATAAATCTATGTAACTGTATTTGTGTATACCTGAATAAACTTACTTATGGTAAGATTGCTGGTGTCTTTTTTTCTGTCTCATGAACATGCAAGATTTCAGGTACGTCTTGCTACTTCTACTTACACTTAGGTCACACTACACATACATGTACAAGCATATATATACACACCCCTCTGGGTTTTCTTCTATTTTCTTTCTAGTTCTTGTTCTTGTTTATTTCCTCTTATCTCCATGGGGAAGTGAAACACAATTCTTCCTCCGTAAGCCATGTGTGTTGTAAGAGGCGACTAAAATGCCGGGAGCAAGGGGCTAGTAACCTCTTCTCCTGTATACATTACTAAGTGTAAAAGGAGAAACTTTCGTTTTTCCTTTTGGGCCACCCCGCCTCGGTGGGATATGGCTGGTGTGTTGAAAGAAAGAAAGATCTCTTGCAATGTCAGTGCAATGAAGACAGGTTATATGTTGTATTATCTTGGCAGAAATTGTAAAACTATGATAGGTATAATATGACTTACCATCATTGTTATATGAAGAAGACTTTCCTTCTAGGTGATGTAGGCAAACTATAATTATTAAGTGGAAAGAATATACTGTATAGGAGCAAGGGACTAGTAACCTCTTCTGTATAAATTAGTAGAAAAACTTTTGTTTCTTCTTTTTTGGATGACTCTGCCTCAGTGGGAGGCAGCCAGTGTTTTAAAAATATATATACAGTAGTACCTCGGGATTCGAACAGCTCAAAACTCAAACAGTTATGTAAGTGTATTTACATAAGTTCTTTTGTAAGTGTATTTTTGGGGGTCTGAAATGGATTAATCTAATTTACATTATTCCTCATGGGAACAAACTCGTTCAGTATCGCCACTCGAACAGCCTTCTGGAACCAATTAAGTTCGTATCCCGAGGTACCACTGTATATATATACTGTATAATGATTGGTTTATTAGTTTATTATATTTTGAACTGCAGTGGAGAATCTGGTGCAGGGAAGACAGAAAGCACCAAGCTCATCCTCCAGTACTTGGCAGCCATCTCAGGAAAACATTCTTGGATTGAACAACAAATCCTCGAGGCCAATCCTATTCTGGAAGGTCAGTGACATGTCCAATGGCAAATTTTTAAGTTAGGTTTATGCAAGTGTTGCTAGCATGGATATCAGTCAGTGATATTAAATTACCATCATCATTTCTCATTTGAGTAAAGTAAATGGAAGGTACTGTATTACACATTCTTATTTAAGTACTTTAATGGACTTTGTTTCCGTCTGTGTTGAAGAGTAAATCTTCATTGTTGGGTAACCAAAATAAATCTTTCACAGAATAGCTACACTGTATATAAACAAATGGATGGATAGTGCAATATATTTTTGTTCCATTCAGTTGTATTCAACAGTACCATTCTCCACTATGCAGTATCTCCTTCAAAAATTCTTTTTTTTTTTTTTTTACAAATTTGTATATTTAATCACAGTGACACCCTTAGATAAAGATAAGATAAGATATTTATTTTGACAAATTACATGGTTGTACAAAGGAACATAATAGTTGGGTGTACATGCCAAAAGCCCCTTTATATGCAGAGCATTTGGGGCAAACTTAAAATTAACTTAAGATTAGTAAGGCAATAATACATAATTCATATGGTCATTAGATGAGTTACTTTAAGTACAGGAAAATTGCATATTCTATCAGGTAATGCTACATGGTTTTCATAAGTCTAGTAGAGACTTATTGCACTATTAAATTAGTTAATGAAGATTACAGTATTACAGTATAACAATTTAAAATAATTTACAATATGATGTATTACAGTTTAGTACTAGTATTTAAAACAATTTGGTATTACAATGGAACAATTTACATTATGATGTACTATATTACAATCTACTACAGTGGACCCCCGCTTTACGATCAGCTCCCAATGCGACCAATTATGTAAGTGTATTTATGTAAGTGCGTTTGTACGTGTATGTTTGGGGGTCTGAAATGGACTAATCTAATTCACAATATTCCTTATGGGAACAAATTCGTTCAGTAATGGCACCTGAACATACTTCTGGAATGAAATAATATCATAAACCGGGGGTCCACTGTACTACTATTTAAAACAATGAAAAATAGACATACTAATTTCAAAGTAGTAAGTAGCTGAGCATTCATCAGCACAATATGAGTAGCTTTTGAGAAACTAGTAGTGATTAGGTATGGTTCGTCTGGTTAAGTTTAGGTGATGAGGTGATTTCTTATTAGGGCCTTAAACTGATTTGCAGATAAGGGTCGTTTAGTGTGTTCTTGCCTACTAACCACCTCTACACACAATTTCCACTATGCTCTTTCTTCATTACTCATTTCTCCCTCTCTTTTTCTTTTTCTTTTCCAAGCCCACTTTTATACCTTCTCAACATACCATATGTTATGCTAATTATCATTCTCCTGTAAAATTTAAAGTCTCCCTCACATGTTTGTATTGTCCCCCACCAGCCATATGTTGAGGCCCACCATGGTAGGGTCAACTCCAGAGTCATGAAGTTAGTCAGATTTACATTATTAACATTCTCTCGTGCACTATCAGTCACACACTGAATGTATAAATAGAGCAGAAATTCCTTGCTATGATTCAGGGTAATTGATAACGTGTTGATATGTTATGAAATGTTTAATTATTTGTTATTTAGACCAACTGTTGTTTGTCCTGGTGATTTGTAAATGCATTTCGGTACAGTATTGTGCATCTTGTTTTGTATACGTACTAAAATATTGTATTGTCAAATATAAGTGAAGCATAAAGAATTTTGAAGACCACATCTCATAACTTGCAGAAAAAAAAGGCTTAAAAGAGTAACATATACATGTACAGTGGAACCTCAAATATCGAACTTTCTTCGGTCCAGAAGGCTGTTCGAGTGCCTTTACCGAATGAATTTATTCCCATCAGGAATAATGTAAATTAGATTAGTCCATTTCAGACCCTCAAAAATACACTTATAAAAATACACTTACATAATTGGTCGTGTTGGGAGCAGTTCGATTTTTGAGGTTCCATTGTACACTGATTCATATCATTAATATTACTACTGCTTATTCCACCACTAGTGATACTGCTTCTGCTTCCTTCCACTTCTATTGCTGCCACCACCACCATCACCCATTATTCCCTTCTTTTGCCTCCCTCCTGACCTGTCTTCTGGTCTTTTCCTTTTCTTGCCTCAGTTTATTTGACAGTGGTCCAGAATGGACCGAAATATTGTCAGAAGGTTCCTCTCTTAATTGTGGGTTAGTTGTGAATTTATAGCTCATCAATAGTGCATTTGGCTTATAATCTAAGGACCCAGCTTCAATCCTGAGCGAGTCTAGATGTAGAGAAAAGTCTCCTGTGTACCTGTGTCATTGTTCACTTTGTAGTAAATAAGCACATTTGGATGTTAGGGCCAAAGGAAGCTACTAAAGTCCCATTGCTTAGCTTTCTGGGGTTAGCTTGAGTTAATGTCTCTGGGTTTAATAATCCTAGGAAAGTCTTACTGCTTCTGCTTCAGTAACATACCTTATATGGTACCCATGAAGTGTCACTGTCCTTAATTTAACATGCACCACTATGTAACAGAACAAGTTAACCACTCGCCTAACTACCTCCATTATTCCATAGCTTTCGGAAATGCCAAGACAATCCGGAATGACAACTCCTCGCGCTTTGGTAAATATATTGACATCCACTTCACAAAAGATGGAGTGATTGAGGGGGCGTCCATCGAGCAGTACCTCCTGGAAAAGTCTCGTCTTGTCTCACAGGGTGCTGACGAGAGAAACTATCACATATTCTACTGCATGCTGGCTGGTATGACCCGTGAGGAGAGGCAGAAACTAGAACTGACCGATGCATCGCAGTATAAATATCTCATTGGAGTAAGTGTTAAGTGAAACATACAGGTATTTTTGCTGCCATGGTAAAGACGAATAAGCTTGTAAATAACAAAAACTCTTATGTACCAAGATCTATATCTATATGCATATATATATATATATATATATATATTTTTTTTTTTTTTTTCAACAAGTTGGCCGTCTCCCACCGAGGCAGGGTGACCCAAAAAAAAAGAAAGAAAATCCCCAAAAAGAAAATACTTTCATCATCATTCAACACTTTCACCACATGCACACATTATCACTGCTTTTGCAGAGGTGCTCAGAATACAACAGTTTAGAAGCATATACATATAAAGATACACAACATATCCCTCCAAACTGCCAATATCCCAAACCCCTATATATATAGATATATATATATAGATATATATATAGATATACAGTGGACCCCCGCATAACGATTACCTCCGAATGTGACCAATTATGTAAGTGTATTTATGTAAGTGCGTTTGTACGTGTATGTTTGGGGGTCTGAAATGGACTAATCTACTTCACAATATTTCTTATGGGAACAAATTCGGTCAGTACTGGCACCTGAACATACTTCTGGAGTGAAAAAATATCGTTAACCGGGGTCCACTGTATATATATTATATATATATATATATATATATATACAGTGGACCCCCGGTTAACGAACTTTTTTCATTCCAGTAGTATGTTCAGGTGCCAGTACTGACCGAATTTTTTCCCATAAGGAATATTGTGAAGTAGATTAGTCCATTTCAGACCCCCAAACATACACGTACAAACGCACTTACATAAAATACACTTACATAATTGGTCGCATTTGGAGGTGATCGTTAAGCGGGGGTCCACTGTGTATATATATATATATATATATATATATTTTTTTTTATTATCACACCGGCCGATTCCCACCAAGGCAGGGTGGCCCGAAAAAGAAAAACTTTCACCATCATTCACTCCATCACTGTCTTGCAGAAGGGTGCTTTACACTACAGTTTTTAAACTGCAACATTAACACCCCTCCTTCAGAGTGCAGGCACTGTACTTCCCATCTCCAGGACTCAAGTCCGGCCTGCCGGTTTCCCTGAATCCCTTCATAAATGTTACTTTGCTCACACTCCAACAGCACGTCAAGTATTAAAAAACCATTTGTCTCCATTCACTCCTATCAAACACGCTCACGCATGCCTGCTGGAAGTCCAAGCCCTCGCACACAAAACCTCCTTTACCCCCTCCCTCCAACCCTTCCTAGGCCGACCCCTACCCCGCCTTCCTTCCACTACAGACTGATACACTCTTGAAGTCATTCTGTTTCGCTCCATTCTCTCTACATGTCCGAACCACCTCAACAACCCTTCCTCAGCCCTCTGGACAACAGTTTTGGTAATCCCGCACCTCCTCCTAACTTCCAAACTACGAATTCTCTGCATTATATTCACACCACACATTGCCCTCAGACATGACATCTCCACTGCCTCCAGCCTTCTCCTCGCTGCAACATTCATCACCCACGCTTCACACCCATATAAGAGCGTTGGTAAAACTATACTCTCATACATTCCCCTCTTTGCCTCCAAGGACAAAGTTCTTTGTCTCCACAGACTCCTAAGTGCACCACTCACTCTTTTTCCCTCATCAATTCTATGATTCACCTCATCTTTCATAGACCCATCTGCTGACACGTCCACTCCCAAATATCTGAATATATATAGATATATATAGATATATATAGATATATATAGATATATATAGATATTATATAGATATATATAGATATATATAGATATATATAGATATATATAATATATATATATATATATATATATATATATATATATATATATATACAGTGGACCCCCGCATAACGATGGCATCGCATAGCGATTTTTCCGCATAACGATTACTTTTATCGCAAAATTTTTGCCCCGCATACCGATTAAAAACCCGCATACCGATTTTCGTCCGAGACGCGTCCAATGTGCCCTCAGCCAGCCTCACATGTGCCGCTCCGTCCCATTGTTTACCAGCCAGCCTCCGCGGTAACATCCAAGCATACACTCGGAATATTTCGTATTATTACAGTATTTTCGGTGCTGTTTCTGGAAAATAAGTGACCATGGGCCCAAGAAAGCTTCTAGTGCCAACCCTACACCTCAAAGGGTAAGAATTACTATAGAGATGAAGAAAGAGATAATTGATAAGTATAAAAGTGGAGTGCGTATAGCCGACCTAGTCAAGCTGTACAAGAAACCCCAATCAACCATCGCTACTATTGTGGGCACCAGAAAGACAATCAAGGAAGCTGTTCTTGCCAAAGGTTCAACTGTGTTTTCGAAACAAAGATCGCAATTGATGGAAGATGTTGAGAGACTCTTATTGGTGTGGATAAATGAAAAACAGATAGCAGGAGATAGCGTCTCTCAAGCGATCATATGTGAAAAGGCTAGGAAGTTGCATGAGGTTTTAAATTTAAAAAAAATGCCTGCAACTAGTGATGATGTGAGTGAATTTAAGGCCAGCAAAGGTTGGTTTGAGAGATTTAAGAAGCGTAGTGGCATCCATAGTGTGATAAGGCATGGTGAGGCTGCCAGTTCGGCCCACAAAGCGGCTGAAAAATATGTGCAGGAATTCAAGGAGTACATAGAAACTGAAGGACTGAAACCTGAACAAGTGTTTAATTGTGATAAAAACAGGCCTGTTCTGGAAGAAAATGCCAAGCAGGACCTACATTACTCAGGAGGAAAAGGCACTCCCAGGACATAAGCCTATGAAAGACAGGCTTACTTTGTTGATGTGTGCCAATGCTACTGGTGATTGCAAAGTGAAGCCTTTATTAGTGTATCACTCTGAAACTCCCAGAGCGTTCAGGCAAAAGAATGTCCTCAAGGATAATTTGTGTGTGCTGTGGAGGGCAAACAGTAAGGCATGGGTCACTAGGAATTTTTCTATAACTGGTTACACCATGCATTTGCCCCCAATGTGAAAAATTACCTAACTGAAAAGAAATTAGAACTTAAGTGCCTCCTGGTGTTAGACAATGCCCCTGGTCATCCTACAGACGTGGCAGAGCGACTTTATGGGGACATGAGCTTCATTAAGGTGAAGTTTTTGCCTCCTAATACCACTCCTCTCCTGCAGCCCATGGACCAGCAGGTTATTTCCAACTTCAAGAAACTGTACACAAAGCTCTGTTTGAAAGGTGCTTTGTAATGACCTCAGAAAACTCAACTGACTCTAAGAGAGTTTTGGAGAGATCACTTTAATATCCTCAATTGTGTAAACCTTATAGGTAGGCTTGGGAGGAAGTGACAAAGAGGACCTTGAACTCTGCTTGGAAGAAACTGTGGCCAGAATGTGTAGACAAAGGGATTTTGAAGGGTTTGAGGCTAACCCTGAGAATCCTGTGCCAGTTGAGGAATCCATTGTGGCATTGGGAAAGTCCTTGGGGTTGGAGGTTAGTGGGGAGGATGTGGAAGAGTTGGTGGAGGAGGACAATGAAGAACTAACCACTGATGAGCTGCTAGATCAACTTCAAGAGCAAGAGGCCACACCTGAGGAAATTGCTTCGGAGGAGGGGAGAGAGAAATTGAAGAAGTTGCCTACTTCAAAGATTAAGGAAATCTGTGCAAAGTGGCTTGAAGTGCAAACCTTCATGGATGAAAATCACCCTCACACAGCTATTGCAAGCCGTGCTGGTGATTATTACATGACAATGTTGTGAAACACTTTAGGCAAGTCATAAAGGAACGAGAGGTACAGGCCACTATGGACAGATATCTTGTGCGAAAGAAGTCCAGTGACTCTGAAGCTGGCCCTAGTGGCATTAAAAGAAGAAGGGAAGTAACCCCAGAAAAGGACTTACTACCTCAAGTCCTAATGGAAGGGGATTCCCCTTCTAAACACTAACACACTCTCTCCCCTCCTCCCATCCCATCAATCATCACCAGATCTTCAATAAAAGTAAGTGTCATTTAATTGTGCATGCCTTTTTTCAGTTTGTGTGTATTAAAATTAACATTTCATGTGGTAAAAAAAAATTTTTTTTTTATACTTTTGGGCGTCTTGCACGGATTAATTTTATTTCCATTATTTCTTATGGGGGAAAATTCATTCGCATAACGATTATTTCGGCATAACGATGAGCCCTCTTGCACGGATTAAAATCGTTAACGGGGGTCCACTGTATATATATATATATATATATATATATATATATATATATATATATATATATATATATATATATATATATATATAAAAACTGTCCACTACTGTCTCATTGGCTTTCGAATGGAAATGAAGACTGTGGCTTATGCAGGAGCTTTCTTATTTTGCTTGATGCTTCCCAAGTATATTTTGAACTGTAATATAGCCTTGGTTATAATATATGTAGCAGATAGACTATTGCATAGGCCTGTTGCTCCCTGGAAAATAAGAAATCTCTTGTTTTGTTCTGGACTGTATATTGGTGAGCTTGAAGTTTTTGTTCTAATATGTCTCATTAGATCTTTTGAAGAATTGAGTGGGGTTAAATATTTGATTTATTTAGTAGCTTCAGTGTACTAAATCAGCTCTGTATTGCCTTGGAAGAAAAGATAATAACAATAACAATTTTGTTTTAGCATAATACATGTTTGTACAAAGGAGTGTAACAATTTAGTGAACATGCCAAAAGCACCTTTATATGCAGAGCATTTTGGGCAAACTTAAGATTAATAAGGCAATAACAGTGCTGTAATTATACATATGATCATTAAGTGAGTTATAATGAATATATGAAAATTGAATATTCAACTAGTTTATGCTGTATGGTTTTAATAAGTTTGATAGAAGTTGAAACTATTTTCAATTTGGAGTAATGATTAAGGATGTCAATCATGCATTCCTGGCAAGGTTGTAAATGGTATGTTAATACTGACAATCTGTGGGTAAAGATGTATGTAAATGTCCTGAATTTACGACCAGTGTATGTCTATAACAATTATGCTTTTAAAAATTAGGTTTTGTGTGACACATTTACAAATGTCATTTTACACTATTTCATTCTCCATCAGTATTTTTGCGAATTTTAATTTATCACCATTGCTCTTAAGTATGTGACTTTTAATAGGTCGTCCTTTAATCCAGTTAAAGTTTTAGCTATATTATGGATTTAAATCATCTCAAATTTTTCCTTGTCTGAACACTACTGTAATTCTTTACTCACTCATTACATATGCTGCCTTTTTTCTTTCCCTTTTTTGTACCTCTGTATGTATGCTCAAATTACTAAATAAATAAATAAATAAATAAATAAATATATCTAGTATGAATTCTTTTTCATCTTTCCTGGATGCCTCCACACAAGAGAGTGGGAATTAGTCTGTTAAACTCTCAGTTCAACAGACTAATAATGAGGAGCAAGTGATAGTAATGGCACTTGTGGTGGATAGAGATGAAGTGCTGTCATCATAACAGTAATGCATACTTTAGTAATTAATGGATTTGTTCATTATTTCTGACATGGTTCTCATGGTGGATTTTGTCCCGTGTTAAATTGATATCTGTTAAATTGATGGTTTACTGATTTTATAAAAGTTTCCATACTGACATTGTTGATAAACAGTGCTTGGTTTATTTCAGGGAGGCAGCATTACTTGTGAGGGGCGAGATGATGCCCGGGAATTTGCTGACATTCGCTCTGCCATGAAAGTCTTGATGTTTAGTGATTCTGAGGTGTGGGAGATAATGAAGATCCTTGCTGCCATTTTGCACATGGGCAATGTCAAATTTAAGGGAAAAGTTATTGGTAAGTGCTATTGAAAAAGGGCTTCTTTAGCTTTTTTTTATTTTTTAACACTCTGGCCGTCTCCCACTGAGGCAGGGTGACCCGAAAAAGAACCAGTTTTACCATCACTTACACCATCACTGTCTTGCCAGAGGCATGCAGATAACTGATTTAAATTGAAAGTGCTCATGGTGGACCAGTAAGCCTCAGTCAGTTGTTGAGGTGTTAAATTAAATTTTTTTTTTCAAGAACTAAGTATTGTAGTGTTAATGTCATGTCATAGTAATTATGTCATTGTATCTACTAGAAAACTCTGATTTATTTGACAGAGCTCGGTTGTCATCATCTGCTGTAATGCTTTTATTCCAAATTAACAATTTGATGTTGACTTTGGAAGTTCATTTGAGTGGTCATTGAGTGAGTGACTTCATCCACTGATGGTTCTGAGGGGTCACTAAGTGAGTGACTTCATCCACTGGTGGTTCTGAGGGGTCACTAAGTGAGTGACTTCATCCACTGGTGGTTCTGAGGGGTCACTAAGTGAGTGACTTCATCCACTGATGGTTCTGAGGGGCCACTAAGTGAGTGACTTCATCCACTGATGGTTCTGAGGGGCCACTAAGTGAGTGACTTCATCCACTGATGGTTCTGAGGGGTCGCTAAGTGAGTGACTTCATCCACTGGTGGTTCTGAGGGGTCACTAAGTGAGTGACTTCATCCACTGGTGGTTCTGAGGGGTCACTAAGTGAGTGACTTCATCCACTGATGGTTCTGAGGGGCCACTAAGTGAGTGACTTCATCCACTGATGGTTCTGAGGGGCCACTAAGTGAGTGGCTTCATCCACTGGTGGTTCTGAGGGGTCACTAAGTGAGTGACTTCATCCACTGGTGGTTCTGAGGGGTCACTAAGTGAGTGACTTCATCCACTGGTGGTTCTGAGGGGTCACTAAGTGAGTGACTTCATCCACTGATGGTTCTGAGGGGTCACTAAGTGAGTGACTTCATCCACTGATGGTTCTGAGGGGTCACTAAGTGAGTGACTTCATCCATCTTTATATTGCCCTTTCATGTACTATGGTTTTGTATTTTCTCTTTGTTAGAATACAGTTACTTAGCCCTTTCCCATTTTTCTGCTTTTACACAATGATTTCAGCTTGCATGTTGTTTGGAAATATAAACACAAATGCAGTATAATGTGATCCTTTATTGACAACGTTTCACCCACACAGTGGGCTTTTTCAAGTCACACACGGATCTACCTGGGGTTGGAAGGTACGAGAGTATTTATAGTCAGAATGTTGAGGTCAGGTGAAGAATGCTGCATCTGATGATCCACCGGGTGGGGTTATAGAGTCTTGGGTAGCTTGGCAGGGGTATTGGACAAGTTGTAGACCTTCTGCAGTGTTCTATGTTCTTATGTGGGATAGCGATGAAGAAGTTTTTTGGCGAGTGGTTCAGCTATGTTATAGAAGCCATTGTTCTGGTTGAAATTGTTGGTTATAGAGATAAGCGATGATTCCAGGATTCTTCTGTATTGAGTGTTGTCTTCTGTGGCTATAAGTCTTGAGTTTCTGTAGTTAATTAAATGGTTGTGTGAATTGCTATGCTGTACACAGGCATTCCTTGTATCGTCAGTCCTGCTTGCATATTGGTGTTCTGAAATGCGTTTTTGGAGGTCTCTTGATGTTTCGCCCACATATAATTTGTTGCAGTCATTACAAGGGATTATGTATACCCCTGCAGAGGATGGAGGCTTGTCCTGTCTACTACTGGTGATGTCCTTGATGGTCGTGGTTGTGGAGGTAGATACTTGGAATGATGTTTTGGCAAAGATGTTGGAAACATGTTTGGCAATGGAGTTGTTGGGGAGGACTATGTATCTCTTCTCGGCAGTGTCTTCTCTGGGTGTGTTGAAGATGTTTAATGCCCGCCGTCTGCAGTCTCTGATGAAGTGACTAGGATAGTGGAGTTTGGAAAATACTTGTTCAATTATAGTGCATTCTTCCTCAAGGAACTCATTGCTGCAGATTCTGAGTGCACGTAGGAAGAAGCCTATAATCACACCACGTTTGGTTTTGGTGTCGTGGTGAGAGTAGAAGTGGAGAAGATCGTTTTGGTTGGTGGGTTTTCGATAGACTTTAAAACGAAGTTCGTGGTCAGCTTTGCAGAGCAGAACATCAAGGAAAGGAAGAGTGTTGTCGACTTCTTCTTCAAGTGTGAACTGGATTGAAGGCTCGACCTGGTTGAGCTTGTCTTGGAGAGCTTGAACGTTGAAGCGTTTAGGAGTTATGAGGAGAATGTCGTCAACATAACCTTCCAACCTTCCAACCCCAGGTAGATCCGTGTGTGACTTGAGAAAGCCCACTGTGTGGGTGAAACGATGTCAATAAAGGATCACATTATACTGCATTTGTGTTTATATTTCCATTGTGTCGGTATTTTATACCATTTATTACCATTGCATGTTGTTTGTTGAATCAATCTTCCTTCATTTCACAAATGTTATGTATGTGGCAGCCAGTATATAGTGGCTGGGAGAGGAAGGATTTAGTGGCTTGAGAAAGCTCTCATGGTAAGTTTTCTAGCTTTAATTCTTATTTCAAGTGCTCATTCATGTGTGTTAACACACACAAGTAGTTAGCCAGACTTGAGTCCTGGAGGTGGGAAGTACAGTGCCTGCACTGTAAAGGAAGGGTTTGGGATATTTGCTGTTTGGAATGACATTTGAACTGTCGAATCTGGGTGCCTCTGCAAACACAGTGATTATGTGTGAACAATGGTGAAAGTGTTGAATGATGGTGAAAGTTTTTGTTTTTTGGGTCACCCTGCCTTGATGGGAGACACCTGATGTGTCAAAAAAAAAAAATTGTATTTGTTTTTTACTTTTTTCTCAATACTTTAAAACACATTACTGTCTTGTTCTTGATAAAAATGGCTTGGTAAACAGTGACTCACGAAATCGTAATGACACGATTGCAAACAAACCATACCACGGGCGGGATTTGAACCCACGGTCAGAGAGTCTCAAGACTCCAGACCATCGCGTTAGCCACTGGACCAGCTAGCCACAATAAGATTCGTCCAACTAGGTATATTTCTACACCATAGGAAGGTTAGCATAGTTTTGAGACTCTCTGACCACAGGTTCAAATCCTGCCCGTGGTATGGTTTGGTAAACAGTCTAGTTGGACTGATAAGTTTACAAGTTGCTCAAAGATTTAATACTTAGGACAGGTAAAATGGTTTGAGAAAATCTTGTTTTTGACCACCACATAAAAGGAGGAGAGTTTTCAGGAAGAATTGCATCATTAATTTGAATATGTAGAACAGTTCAGTAATTGAAAGCCAGAATATAATTTTATTTAAATGCTATATTATGCTTTTTGTAACAAGAGTTTACCCTAAAACTTATATCTTGTTATTAAAGTGTTATCAAGGTTTTACACACTCCCAACAGATAACTTAGATGCATCAGAGATCCCAGACACAACTTCAATGGTGCGAGTAGCGAGGTTCTTGGGTGTAGAGCCACGTGCCATGAAGGAAGCCCTTACTACCCGCACTATCTTCGCACAGGGTGAAACTGTGGTATGTATAAACCAAGGTATTTGATGTTTATATTTGATTTAATAAGTCACAAAGTTTAGGAGGTGCATTTTAACTACTTTCAAAACCTTGTAGTAAGTGGAGAAGTTTTTGAATAATCTGTAGAAGCCCCCAGAATTTGGAGACTTTTATGGGCTTTGAGTTTTACTCGGGTTGATTCAAATCTGAATGATTTTGAAATGAAAAGTTCCGGTTGCTTCTGTGGCTACTGCAGATTGTTTTACTGTTACTTCCTAATACCAGTTTTAATTATCTTGTCATTTAGAATGTTTTATAGTTATTGTACCTTCTAATACCAACTTTTAGGTATCTCATCTGAGTCATAGTCAAGCCACAGATGTTAGAGATGCATTCGTGAAGGGCATTTATGGACGGCTCTTTATCTGGATTGTGAGCAAAGTAAATGCAGCTATCTTCAAGCCTCAGACATCATTCAGAACGTCCATTGGTGTCCTGGACATTTTCGGCTTTGAAAATTTCAAAACGAACAGGTATTTAGAGTTCTGCAAGTACTTGTATTCTGTTGCCCAAACAATTCAGGACTAATTGGTCCATATTAATATTAATTTGCTGCTGTCGTTGGTGTTTTAGAGAATAAAATGGTGAGATGATAACATTAAGTCGGCTGTATTTATTGTCAGTACAGCAGACTTATGCCTCATGTGATATATATAATTTAGAAAACCATGCCTCACTGATTGTATTGGTGATATAAGACATAACATTAAAAGAAATTAGAAAGCCCTTTGAGATTTGTAATCTTGTATTAAGATGTGTAGAATATAGAAAAATGTGGGCATCTTGCCCTGTTTTTTCAGCAGAAATTATCAATAAGAAGAGTCTGATATTTGAGAATTAATCACACTAAAAAAACTTGTAATATATTAGTGTAAGAGAACATTTTCAGTGTTATGTACTAAATTTAGCATTTTAAAATGTGAATTTTTTAATTACTGAGCTATTTGTCTCCAGAATGTTGAATCATCGTTGTGACACTTGACACATTGATGTGCCATTTTTATTAAGACATAGTAAATAAAAAAAATAGTTTTTATTTTATTTAAAATAATGATTTTAATGTGAATAATTAAATGCATTTTTTAACAGAGGGTGATTTATTGAATGTTGTACTAGTATATATGAATGACCACTGACTCACTGCTTACCAAATCCAACAAATGTTTTTTGCTTTGATTCAAATTGTTTCAGATTTTTATTTCTTTTTATGCAGTACAAAAATAATGTAGTTTACATGTAATAAAACATTGTGAGGCACAAAAAAAAGTCATTAGTATACAATACATTTTGAGCAAACTACATGTCCTGCATACTGTAATTCAAAATGGTTCTTTTTATACCTACAGTATGATACAATTTAAATTTTTTTATGCGGTACAGATAATGGTAGGCACAAAGGAAAGCCACTAATGTGCAAAGCATTTCAGGCATGTGGATGATTTCTCTTGAAGAGAAACAGATTTCAAAGTTTTTGGTGTAAATAACTATTGCTTTATTAATATTTCATAACTCTCCTGAAGCTTTGTTTTGCTTACTGAACTTTATCCTCAACAGTTTTGAACAGTTCTGCATCAACTATGCCAATGAAAACTTGCAACAGTTTTTTGTTCAGCACATCTTCAAGTTGGAACAAGAGGAATATAACTCTGAGAACATCAACTGGCAACACATAGAGTTCGTAGATAACCAAGACACACTTGACCTGATTGCCATTAAACAGCTCAATATTATGGCACTCATTGATGAGGAATCCAAATTTCCAAAGGTAAGCAAACTCCAATTCTTCTTGTACACCCATCCCATCTCTACTAAATGTTGATCTCCAGTTCTCTTCACCCAGATATTTTCTCATCTTTTCTCGTCCCAATACATTTATTTTTCTCCGACTTGTCGTAAAGATCTCGCTACTCCTGTTCTCCAGTCATTAATTTCCTTTATTTTACACAAGGATTTATTTTGTCTTGAGTCTTCACTAACAGATTAACAAGGCATGAGAGTACAGTTTGTCGGAGATTGAATCTACTTCACAGACTGCCTGATAGCAATTTTTGCCTCATTTTTCTGTCAATCTCATTCACAAAGTGTTACCTTTGTAAAAAAATTTTTTACATTAATGGGTGACTCCCACCAGGGCAGGGAGGCTCCCCCAAAAAAGTAAACATATTTACCATTATTCACACAATCCTGTCTTTCCAGAAGTGTACTGACATCATAATTCAGATTCATATATTTTTTTAGTATTATACATTTGTTTTGTAGTGTAAATAAAGTAAAGTTTGCTCTACACTGCTACTCTAAATTTAAAACTTACACAAGATCAAGTTTGAGGTAGCATGACACACACTGCTAGTCAATTTTTTTTTTTATTATTGCCAGCTTGAGCTGTGTGGGCCTAATCAGTGTCTTTCCATCTTTCTGCAGGGCACTGACCAGACAATGCTGCAGAAACTACACAAGCAACACTCAAGACACAAACAATATCTTAAACCCAAGTCAGACCTCAATGCCTCATTTGGCATCAACCACTTTGCTGGTGTTGTCTTCTATGACACCCGAGGTAAGGCATCATTGAAGGTGTTCTGGTCCCTGAGGTAGGACAGCATCAAGTCAATTATCATCTCTAGTGTAGCTTATATATTTTGGTAAGATCTCCCTCAGTTTGATTCCTCAGGAGTTTCCTAATAGGAGCAAGGCATAGAAAAATATTGTACTTTGTAAATTTAAACAAAAGTTTTATTTTGTCCATACTCAGTTTTCTTGTTCAAGTGTTTGCAAGGAGTCAGTCACTAACAAGTTGACTGATTGAAGATCAAGCTGGGATTAGTGGGCAGAGGATTGAGCCACTGTATCTGGCACTGAATTACCCACAAATGCTCTGCATCACTGTGGGCTTTCAAAATGCTCTCAAGTATCACACATTTCGGTATAAACAATGTGTTATGTTGCAGCAAACTTGTACATATTTAGTGCTTTATGATTATGATTATGTATGAGTGAGGTGAAAGTGTTGAATGATGATGAAAGTATTTTCTTTTAGGGGATTTCCTTTCTTTTTGGGTCACCCTGCCTCGGTGGGAGACAGCCGACTTGTTGAAAAAATAAGTAAATAAAATATTTATTTCTTTGTTAAGGTTACAATGTGTGTGTACATATAGTATGAATAGAGCAAAGAATGCCACTATCATGCCTAGGCATTTCGGACAGACTTAACCTAGTACTTATTGACTACTTAAGTCTAGACAGGTGAAGAGTGGTAGAATACAAACAGTCAGTTTTCACTGTACACTCAAGTGTTCATAAAAATCCATTGTAGTTTTCATTGAGTTTTGAATGCCATTTATAATATCATGTCAGCTCCCTAATAAAGGTTATTTTTTTTGTAGGATTCCTAGAAAAGAACAGAGACACATTCAGCGCTGACTTGTTACAGCTCATCCACAACACCTCTAACAAATTCCTGCAGCACCTCTTTGTTGAAGACATAGGTAAGTGATTAGTTGTGGACATTGGTTAGACAGTAAGCAATGTTTATGTAAAATTGTGGCAGCAGCCAACAAGTACTATTGATAGAAGGTAGAAGAACATTTATTATTCTTGAGTGTCTTTACAATTAGGTCAGAATGAGAGGTTTTGGATTTGAGAAGAATTTGCCTAGCATGGACCAGTAGGCCTGTTGCAGTGTTCTTCCATTCTTTTCTTATCTCCTCATGCATCAAAAGATGGAAAGTTCAGTAGGCCAACTACGTACATTGCTCAGCTACCCAGAATGTTGCTTTGAGGACAGAGCCTGTTTTGTTTTTCCCCTATTCCTGAGTACGATGTGGTCTAGGGGCAAGGCTAAATTGAGTCACTCTGCTTTGAGTAATAGTGTCTGTAGTTATATTTAGAGCTGCTTCTAAGCACTTTTTGTTAGTGAAGAAAAATGGTATAAAATATCAACACAATGGAAAAATATACACAAATGCAATACAGTATAATGCAATCCTTTACTGACTATGTTTTGCCCACACAGTAGTCTTATCAAGTCACAAACACATCTACCTGGATAAAGAGTACATAATATATATAGAGTGAAGAGTCAGGTGGAGAATGTTGGATTTGAGACTGACCTGCACAGGATGGGCAAGTAGGTATGTTATGTAGGATAACAACAAAGAAGTTTCCTGGCAAGGGGTTCAGCTATGTTGTAAAAGTCTTTGTTCTCGTTGATATTGTTAGATATACAGATGACTGATGATTCCAAATTCCTGCAACACCAAGTGCCTTCTTTGGCACCACACAAGCATTGTTTTTGTTGTTGATGCAACAAGCATACCTGTCTTCATTAATGTGAGGCTTGATGCCTTTCCCTGTTTTCCATATACAGTGGACCCCCAGTTAACGATATTTTTTCACTCCAGAAGTATGTTCAGGTGCCAGTACTGACCGAATTTGTTCCCATAAGAAATATTGTGAAGTAGATTAGTCCATTTCAGACCCCCAAACATACACGTACAAACGCACTTACATAAATACACTTACATAATTGGTCACATTCGGAGGTAATCGTTATGCGGGGGTCCACTGTATACACTTACTGAAGACTTTAGAAGGGATAGCGTGTCAACCTGTGAAATGTTGGTCACGGTTGTTTAGCTTAAGTTGTGAAGTCTCTTGAGAGTTTTGTGGTGACAGTCGCAAAATTCATTTTTTATTTTCCTGAAGATGGAAGCTTGGGTAAGACTATGTCCCCTGTGGGTAAGATCAGTCTTCTTGTGATGTTGGTCTCAAGTTTAGGGGTCTGGTGGATGCTAGTGGTCTTCAGTCAGCAAGCTGTTGAAAGATGGTGAATGTTTGTTGTTTAGGTCATCCTATCTAGGACGAAGAAAGCCGGTATAGTGAAAAAAACTAAAAAATTTTTTTTTGCTTTTTCATTATTGCCTACTTTACTATACGCAGGAATGGGCTCGGAGACGAGGAAGAGAGCACCAACGCTGTCTGCTCAGTTTAAGAAGTCACTTGACATGCTCATGAAGACACTTCTCTCTTGCCAACCTTTCTTCATCCGATGCATCAAGCCCAATGAATATAAAAAGCCAATGGTGGGTCATATTATGTGGCATGCAGATGTAATTTTTTCAGATTACTATATACACCTACCATCCGACTTACGACCGAGTTTGGTTCCGAGAAACCGGTCGTAAGTCAAAATGGACGTAAGTCGAACTTTACTACTGAATATCAACATAACATTTTTGTAATGACTTTATTTTATTGTTTTATTTTGGTATTTCATATTTAATTTACTTTTTATGTTGTTAGTATTGTATTTTATACTGTAAGGTTTAGGATAAACACTGTGTACAACACAAACACCTGTTTATTTCCCAGAAATTTGGCATAAAAAACACGGTTGTAAGTCTAACCGTCTTATGTCGAGCAGGTCGTAAGTCAGATGGTAGGTGTATTTGAATTCCATTTTGAAATTTAATTTTATTTACATTTCTGATGTTCAATCATTTTAATTATTAAAAATTATTTATTATTCATGAAATATAATGTAAATTACAATGTTTTACAGTATAATTCTTTTGTAAAATGTAGTACAGTGTAAGAAAATAGACCTGTTAACCAAATTAACCTTAGAATAAATGACACCCTTTTTTTTTTTTTTTTTTTTTAAAGTCGGCCGTCTCCCACTGAGGCAGGGTGACCCAAAAAGAAAGAAAATCCCCAAAAAGAAAATACTTCCATCATCATTCAACACTTTCACCTCACTCACACATAATCACTGTTTTTGCAGAGGTGCTCAGAACACAACAGTTTAGAAGCATATACATATAAAGATACACAAAATATCCCTCCAAACTGCTAATATCCCAAACCCCTCCTTTAGAGTGCAGGCATTGTACTTCCCATTTCCAGGACTCAAGTTCAGCTATATAAAAATTACCTGTTTCCCTGATTTTTTTTTCTTTTTTTTTTTTTCAACAAGTCGGCCGTCTCCCACCGAGGCAGGGTGACCCAAAAAAGAAAGAAAATCCCCAAAAAGAAAATACTTTCATCATCATTCAACACTTTCACCACACTCACACATTATCACTGTTTTTGCAGAGGTGCTCAGAATACAACAGTTTAGAAGCATACACTAAATATTACCCTGCTCACACTCCAACAGATCGTCAGGTCCCAAATACCATTCGTTTCCATTCACTCCTGTCGAACATGCTCATGCACGCCTGCTGGAAATACAAAATTAAGAAAGTTTCTCAATCTACATGTGCTGTAGATAGCAGATTTAAATTAAATTTGTATACATACTCATATCTCAATTGAAAATGGAATTAATTTATCAGGATTGTGGATAGGTCACAGTGCCACAAATGATGGGTATAGATAGGTTATAGTGGCACAAATGATGGGTATAGATAGGTTATAGTGGCACAAATGATGGGTATAGATAGGTTATAGTGCCACAAATGATGGGTATAGATAGGTTATAGTGCCACAAATGATGGGTATAGATAGGTTATAGTGCCACAAATGATGGGTATAGATAGGTTATAGTGCCACAAATGATGGGTATAGATAGGTTATAGTGGCACAAATGGTAGGTATGGATAGATAACAGTCAAATCAATCAATCAAAAATAAAAAAAATAAAAACTTTATTTCTTTTCTAAGATTACAATGTGTTTACATTTCATAATTTGATTAGTACAAAGAAAGCCACTATCATGCCGAGGCATTTCGGACTGACTTAACCTAATACTTAGACTACTTAAGTCTAGACAGAGTAGAGTGGTAGATTACAAATATTCAGTATTTTACTCTATTATTAATATGAGGTAGTAGAGTGGCACACAGAAACAGTGCAGGTCCACTAGTATTATATTATCCAGTTAACTATTAAATATGCAATATAGGAATACACCTACCATCCGACTTACGACCGAGTTCGGTTCCGAGAAACCGGTCATAAGTCGAAATGGTCGTAAGTCGAACTTTACTTCTGAATATCAACAAAACATTTTTGTAATGACTTTATTTTATTGTTTTATTTTGGTATTTCATGTTTTACTTTACTTTTTATGCTGTTAGTACTTTATTTTATACTGTAAGGTTTAGGATAAACACTGTGTACAACACAAATAGTTGTTTATTTCCCAGAAATTTGGCATAAAAAACACAGTCGTAAGTCGAGTGGTCGTAAGTCGAGCAGGTCGTAAGTCGGATGGTAGGTGTATATACAATAATGTTAAGAAACTAGTTTTTATGCATTAGCTCTAATTACTGTTTGCAAATACTTTTGTTGCATTGTTTTTCATTATGACGATCCTAACTTCTCCATTTCCATGTTTTTTAGCTGTTTGATCGAGAGCTGTGTTGCCGCCAATTACGATACTCTGGCATGATGGAAACTATCAGAATTCGACGAGCTGGGTATCCCATCCGTCACACCTTCAGGGAGTTTGTTGAAAGATATCGCTTTCTCATTAATGGCTGCCCTCCTGCACACAAGGTAAGTGTTAAATTAGTTTTGAAAGAAGTTGGTTTTAAATATGAATGAGTAGCAAAAACTACTGCAGCTGGTGTCAGTCTGTCTGTGTACTTCAGGGAACAGGTTCAGGATAATGGTTATTCCAAAGTTTTTTTTTTTTTTTTTTTAAATGTTTTTTGAGATTTTTTCCCATCTGATGGTTTTGCTTCTTCTTCTTCCAGTTCATAACTTGATCCTTTATTGTCATTTTCTCATGGGAATAAGTCATTCTGTCTAACTTTTTGGGTTATCCCAGGTTCTCTACACATATGCTGCTATGTATGATAATCTATGTAACTGTATTTGTGTATACTGGAATAAACTTACTTATTTACTTACTTACACAGCTTTTATTGTCTTTTCTTTGATAGGTTTGTCTATTTCATATTGTTTGTCAGCTTCTCTTCTCACCTGAAGATGATTGAGTCTACTGCTAACTTTCCTGCTCTCTAATGCTGGGATAAATCTATACCTAATTGTTGTTTCTTAGCACTATCTTGAAAATTTTCACCATTTACTGGGTGGATTGTCCTCCGCATTAATCATCCCACTGTGGAATGAGCCAGAAATTGCCTTATTCCTTCGTATTCACTTTTCCTGTTCACATGTCTTTTTGACTTTCCAGTTTCTCTTTGTTTTTTATATTTCATTTTCACCAGGTAGCAGAATATCAACACATGCATTTTTGTGCCAAGGAGCATTCCATATTCTATTTTCTGTCATTGTTGCTGAAGGTGAAAATAAGATGCAGCCTTGCTGGTTTGTCATAATTCTTTAATTTCATTACTTTTTTAATGTGTTGCTTTACAAAGTTCTACATTTTAGATTAAAAGTGCTGTCTCCTCCACATCTCTAGCCCCTCATTTTGAATCTACTCCTACTACCTTATATCTCTGGGATTTAAATTTCCTTTTATTGTTGGATGGAATAAGATGCAGTACACTTGGAAACCTTTAATGGTACAGCCCCTTCGTGGGTGAAACATTGTACATTAAGGATTTCTCTTCATATTGTGCCTTATTCTTTATCCTTTTACACGAGGAAGAGATGTGCAGCAGTTGGGGCATTTAATTTGTTGCAAGTTGTAAATGACAGCAACAAATATTTTTGGACTTTTTGTAATATTTGTAGTGGTCATATGAGTATGTATAGCAAGATGCTAGTAACCCCTTCTCCTGTATAAATTACTAAATGTAAAAAGAAATGCTTTTTAGGTTACTCTGCCTCAGTGGGAGATGGCCAGTGTGTTGAAAAAAAAAATATGAGTAGTCATCACAGCTTGTAATTGACATTTCTTTAACTTATTTCATTTTTTATTAAAAGTGTTACTTTTTACCTTGAATTAATTGGTAGATGTGAATGGCTACATTGTTTGTTTTGAACATGACAGGATTCTGTAGCTAATAAATTTTTGACCCTAGTCCGAGGTTAATGCTGCTTCAGTTATTGTACAATTTTACTAGGTAGACTGTCAGGCTGCCACAAGCAAGATTTGCCAGCAAGTGTTGGGTCGTGCAGACTACCAGCTTGGACACACTAAAGTCTTCCTCAAAGATGCCCATGATCTCTTCCTTGAACAAGAGCGAGATAGAGTTCTAACTAAGAAGATCACAATTCTACAGCGATGTGTTCGTGGATGGTACTACAGGAGAAGGTAAATTCATGTTGGTGTATTCCTATATAATAAAGTAATACCTTGCTATCCCTTCCTGATGGTTGTCTATCATATTGTGGAAACAGGTGGGGATGATATGAACTGGAGGGTCATTTGAGCTGTGATGTATGTGCACTTTTGGCAAGACAGCTATTGAATAAGTGATGGTGAATGTGTTACTTTCTTTGGATCACCCTGTCATTGAGGATAATACTTAATGTGGTAGAGGTTGTTAATGTAAAATATAGTAAATATATCATCAAGGATGCTGGTACTTGATACAGATGGTGAAGATGAACATTAATGTAACCTTGGTGTGTGTATGAAAATAAGGAGAATAAATGGACTCTTGTTATGGTTTGTCTGTCTGGTACAGTATTATGTAGAGCATGTCATACTAGCTTAAACATGTGCCATACTAAAACACACTATGCTAACATGTCACTAACTTACACGTGTCATACAATGTTACTTACATGCTATACTAACTTCTACACAAAAAAAAAAATGATCCTGATGAATTAATTCCTCTTAGATTTTTAATAATCTGCAGATTAAATTTAACCCTTAAACTGTCCAAATGTAGATCTACGTCCATGTGCAGGGGCTCTGAACGTAGATCTACGTTTTTTTACATGCTTTCAAATGGGAAAATCAAGGTCGGAGCACTACGCACATGAACGTAGATCTTCATTTGGACAGTTTAAGGGTTAAGGATAGTCATAGTAAGAATTGTATTTGTAATTTTTATTTTTGAGTTTTCATATTTTTTAAAATTATGTTCCTAAATATCCATCTTGATTCATCATTGCAACACCAGGTTCCAGAAAATGCGAGAAAGTGCTATCATCATTCAGAAGTACTACCGTGCCCACTCCCAGAAAAGGCGCTACCAAAACATGCGGGTGGGCTACATGCGACTCCAGGCACTCATTCGCTCCAGAGTCGTCTCTCATCGCTTCAGGCACCTTCGTGGCCATATTGTATCCTTACAGGTATGATATATGCTTAATGGCTGTTATTTTATGATAACTTGTTTAATATAATTATAAAAGGAAAGAAATACTAAGTGCTAGGGAATGTTTAGATGATCTTTGGGGTTTACTGACTTTGTACATTGGAATTTGCTGTTGTTGATATCTCAGAGGGAATGTTTAATTGTGAGTAAACACATTTATATCTGCATAATTCTGAAGGGTTTTTGCATAGAGTTGGTATGATTATATTTGAATATACAGTATTGTCTTTTGTTATATATTATTAAGCCATTTGGACATTTATGGCAAATGGCTTTTTTTCATGTTTTATTTATCTGCGAGCCTTATATTACCTGAACCATGAGATGAGGTATGTTTTATGTCAATATTCCTCATTAGCATTTCACATTTTTAATTACTGCCCTCAAAAGTAGTTGATATCATTGTTCAAGAGTCTTTTAGTGAATTTAATGTTTATTTTGCTTTTTATATACCTTTACTACATAGAAAATTATGGTGAGGTTACTTGTAACAGAGTATAGCTTAATGTTGAAGGTTAATGGCTAAATGGATAGAGATACAAAACCAGTCATTCTCTGTCTTGCAGGCTCGGTGCCGAGGATATCTGGTACGAAGAGAGTTCCAGTGCAAGATGTGGGCAGTAACTAAAATCCAGGCCCAAGTGAGAGGGTTAATAGCACGTCGACAGTATCGCAAGTTGAAGATGCGAGTGGAAGCTGCAAAACTGAAAGAAGAGGAAGAAAGAGCACTGAGAAAACAAATGGACAAGCATAAGGCCAAAGAAATAGCAGATATGAAATATAGGGTGAGTCCATTGTTACTTTTGAGTGTATGATTAGTAATAAGCTTCTGCACATTGAAGGATGAGTAAATACGTGATTGTGGAAAACTCATTTATATTAGGATGTCTGTGAATTTCTGGAAAGACAGCTAGAAAATGAGTGGTGGTGAATGGCTTTCCTTCTTTGGGTTATCCTGTGATGGGAAATAGCCAGTATATTAAAAAATGGGGTTTTGATTCCTACTCAAGTTAGCTTAAAGGCCACAAAGTATTTTTTTGTTTTGACTAATGTTGTTACTGTAAGCTTTACAAACTACATGTGCTTCAAGTTCATTTTTGTCATGACATGGAAATTCAACTCAACATTTAATTTTAACCTGTTGTAGCATCTTTGTATAAATATTGACCTAAATTTCTAGACTCAGCTATGTGCTTATAAGTAATATTTGTAATTATTTTTCATTTTTCATTGCATATATACCATATATGCTGGCATATAAGCCATCCCAGCATATAAGTTGACCCCTAGTTTTGGAGATATTTTATGCTTAAAAAGTTTACTTATTCACCAGCATATATGATAAATATGGTTACTAGTTTGGCATGGAGATGTAATCTTGTTTGAAAAATATGTTCAGGAACGCATACTGGAGATGGAGCTGGAGGAGGAGCAGCGTGCACTGGAGGAGCGAGAGCTGATGGAACGCAAGAGAGCTCAGGTGCAAGAGGCCGTGAGGCAGAGAGATGAGCCAGTTGATCACTCAGAGTTGTTGGAAAGTATGTTTAACTTCATCCCAGACTCTGCCTCAGAAACTCATGCTCCTCCATCGGCATTCAAGGTAACACAAACCAGTCAGGGATATTACTAAATCAAAACAGGTTTAACATTTTTTGTGGATACAGTATTGTACTCTACTGTATTAGTGAAAATGAAATGTTATTGTTCATCTTTAGAGAAATAACCTTATGCTTTATGAAAAAAAAATTAACTTTACCAGTTGTCAAAAGTATATCTGTTTATTAAGGATTTTGTTGTTTCATTGCTTTGCCTATAGTATATGTGTGTGGCTTTCACCTCTGTTGTTACATTACCTCCTACTTTCTAAGTGAAGCCTGACTACAACAGTATCATATCTTTCATGCACTTATCAGATGAAGGGTCAAGCTTCTGTTACTTCTTGAGCTGTATGACCCACATGGGTTTAGCATTTCATATAAATAATAATGAAGGATGAGGTTAATCATAGAATTGATGAGGGAAAAAAGGTGAGTGGTGCGTTGAGGTATATGTGGAGTCAAAAAACGTTATCTATGGAGGCAAAGAAGGGAATGTATGAAAGTATAGTAGTACCAACACTCTTATATGGGTGTGAAGCTTGGGTGGTAAATGCAGCAGCGAGGAGACGGTTGGAGGCAGCGGAGATGTCCTGTTTAAGGGCAATGTGTGGTGTAAATATTATGCAGAAAATTCGGAGTGTGGAAATTAGGAGAAGGTGTGGAGTTAATAAAAGTATTAGTCAGAGGGCAGAAGAGGGGTTGTTGAGGTGGTTTGGTCATTTAGAGAGAATGGATCACAGTAGAATGACATGGAAAGCATATAAATCTATAGGGGAAGGAAGCGGGGTAGGGGTCGTCCTCGAAAGGGTTGGAGAGAGGGGGTAAAGGAGGTTTTGTGGGTAAGGGGCTTGGACTTCCAGCAAGCGTGCGTGAGCGTGTTAGATAGGAGTGAATGGAGACGAATGGTACTTGGGACCTGACGATCTGTTCGAGTGTGAGCAGGGTAATATTTAGTGAAGGGATTCAGGGAAACCGGTTATTTTCATATAGTCGGACTTGAGTCCTGGAAATGGGAAGTACAATGCCTGCACTTTAAAGGAGGGGTTTGGGATATTGGCAGTTTGGAGGGATATGTTGTGTATCTTTATATGTTTATGCTTCTAGACTGTTGTATTCTGAGCACCTCTGCAAAAACAGTGATAATGTGCGAGTGTGGTGAAAGTGTTGAATGATGATGAAAGTATTTTCTTTTTGGGGATTTTCTTTCTTTTTTGGGTCACCCTGCCTCGGTGGGAGACAGCCGACTTGTTGAAAAAAAAAAAAAAAATAATAAAAAAAATCTACTTTCCACTTTCCCTTTTTTACTAAATCATTTTTAATTTCCAGGACCTACCCCATGGTGGAAGTGGAACAGTGTCAGTAGATGACATCTTTTCAGGAATACCTCGTCCTCCTGGTGATGAGGATGAGGATCTCTCAGAGTACAAATTCCAGAAGTACGCTTCCACATACTTCCAAGGTAATGTCAACCACCAGTATTCGAGGAAGCAGTTGAAGCAGCCTTTACTGCAGCTCCAGACACAAGGAGACCAGTTGGTGAGAGTCCTGCCACTTCTTTGTGCTTTATACTTGGCTTACTTGCTTCAAATACATTATACTATCAGTAATTTTTTGTCATATACAGTGGACCCCCGGTTAACGAACTTTTTTCATTCCAGTAGTATGTTCAGGTGCCAGTACTGACCGAATTTTTTCCCATAAGGAATATTGTGAAGTAGATTAGTCCATTTCAGACCCCCAAACATACACGTACAAACGCACTTACATAAATACACTTACATAATTGGTCGCATTTGGAGGTGATCGTTAAGCGGGGGTCCACTGTAACTGGTGTACACTTGAAGTGCTATGCACATTTACCAGTTAGCCATACTTGAGTCCTGGAGGTGGGAAGTGCAATGCCTGCACTTTAAAGGGGGGATTTGGGATATTTGCTGTTCGCAGTGACATCTGAACTGTCGTATCTGCACAAAGACAGTGATAAGTGTGAATGGTGGTGAAAGTTTTTTTTTTTTTTTTGGGGGGGGGGGGGGTCACCCTGCCTTGGTGGGAGATGGCCAGTGTGTTAAGAAACAAAAACTATTGAACATAATTCTGAATGATCATAAATTGTGTTTTGTAACAATATAAACTTAAGTACAGAATATCAAACATATTCAGTAAACATACTTGAAAACTGTTTAATGCAATAGTAAAGTACCTATATATGACATTTTCAGGCTGCCTTAGCTCTGTGGATTACTATACTGCGCTTCATGGGTGACATGGCTGAACCCAAGTACCACATGATGGACAGAGACAATACCTCAGTCATGTCTAAAGTTTCAGCCACCCTCGGCAGGAATTTCATCAAAAGCAAGGAATTTCAGGAGGCTCAGATGATGGGCATGGATCCTGTAAGATTATTATTTTTATTATTATAGTAGTTTTTAATATTTACTGTAATATCTTTTTCAAATCTCTAAATAAACTTTATTTTATGAGCCTCTATAAGTTGTATCATGTACTTGTAGGAATAAAGATTACTATTATTATTATTATTAAAGTGCAGTACTAAAGCTTATTAAGGCTCTTTTAATTTAATCAAGGGTCAAATATCATATGTCTTTGCCAGCTAACAACAATAATAATAATAATAACACAAATAATAATAATAATAATAATAATAATATAATAGTAATGCATTAAAGAGCAGTAGAGGACACTGCTCACTGGGGTATTGTTATTACTTGTACTGTATTGGTTTTAATATTAGTTTAAGTATGATTAAAATGCTGTGTATAACTTAGGGGATTTTTTTACTCTGTACTCAAAAAGTATCATTAATTGTAATGTCTATGTACATTTTAAAATATTATTAACCCTTTGACTGTCGCAACCCCAATCCTGAGGTGTCTCCTGGTGTCGCAAAATTTAAAAAAAAAAAAAAAAAAAAATTCTTATGAAATGACAGAGAATCTTTTCCTGATTGTAAAGACACCAAAAAAACAAAATTTGGTGGAAAACTGACGGAATTACGCTCTTGCGAAGTTAGCGACCTCGGTGATATTTACAAATCGGCGATTTCGCCCACTTTGAGCCATATTTTCGGCTAATTCCATTATTCCAGTCAACCAAACTCATAGCTATTTCTTCAGAACTCCATTTTTTCTATCGATTGAGTACAAGAAACTGCCCATTTACCGATTTCAACTACCCAGTAACATGGTAAAAAATTTGCAATTTGGCCAATTTCACGAAAATTTAAAAAATATGACAATTTCAAAATAAGACCAGAGTGAACAATGCAGACATTCCCGGCTCTAAAATAACATTTTCTTTGTTCATCAGTCATGTCTCCAGGCCCCTGTGATATTACTCTTGCTTTTTATTTTGAAATTTTATTCAAACAAAAAATAGAAGATTTACTGTTATGCAGACTACTGCAATACTGTAATAATTGTATAAATAACATCAACCCATTCATGACTGCATATTAGAATGGCTATTTGGACATTTATTGGACAATGACATCATTTGTTTACTTTTGAACATCGGCAAAAATCAAACATTTCCCGTACTTTGTGCTCCATTTCCAGGTTCTTTTTATAGCAAAATCAATCAAAATCACCTCTATTTCTATAATATATTTTCCATTCTATTAAATGAGACCAAGAAAACGAGAATACAGCCATAAATACTATACGAAAATAGACCACAAAGTCAGCATTTTAAAAAAAGCGATCGGAGTTTTTTTTTTCTCATTATGCACTGCATGCTCGAGGATTTTTTTATATGGTGCACACTGACCACACAGACCCATTCTCTCACATGTGAGCCTACCAGCTTTCTCCTGCTTGATTTGAAGCCGCTAGAATTTATGAGTATATATACGTCAAACACGGTACCTCGTAAGATGTATATATATGGCCGCGACAGTCAAAGGGTTAATGTTATATGCATTTAGAGGGAATGCCCTATTAGGGGTGTATTTTGGTATTTTAATTGATATACTATATCACATTTATTTTGTATGTGGTTTTGTTATGTTAGTAAAGTAGAACTGTGATGGTAAATTTATGTTGAAAATAAGACAGGGTTAAACTCTGCTTGATCAGAAGTTTACTCAGTAAATACTTGAGAATACATTATACTGTACATACAGTGGTAAATACCTTTATGCATCTCTCTCAGGTTATGTACATGTCTCAGAAGAACCGTAGCATCCGTCACAAGCTGGTATCGCTCACTCTGAAGAGGAAGAACAAGCTGGGTGATGATGTCCGCCGCCGTCTGCAGGAAGACGAGTACACAGCTGAGAGCTACTCTTCCTGGCTGGACTCCAGACCAACCTCAAACTTGGAAAAACTGCATTTTATCATTGGCCATGGAATCTTACGGGCAGAACTGAGGTAAGATTTAGTGATAGTGCATGGACACCAACAGTGAGGACAACAATGGAGTAAATAGATCTGTGTGTGTAAGAGTAGAAATGGTGTTTAACTTTAAATGATGGCATATATTTACACAAATAACCCGCACATAAAAGAGAGAAGCTTACGACGACGTTTCGGTCCGACTTGGCCCATTTACAAGTCGGACCGAAATGTCGTCGTAAGCTTCTCTCTTTTACGTGCAGGTTATTTGTGTATCGTTCCAGTCACGGTATTGTGCCTTTTTTTGTTATTTATGGCATATCTTTTCTTTCTTTCAACACACCAGCCGTATCCCACCAAGGCAGGGTGGCCCAAAAAGAAAAACGAAAGTTTCTCTTTTAAATTTAGTAATTTATATGGGAGAAGGGGTTACTAGCCCCTTGCTCCCGGCATTTTAGTTGCCTCTTACAACACGCATGGCTTATGGAGGAAGAATTCTGTTCCACTTCCCCATGGAGATAAGAGGAAATAAACAAGAACAAGAATTAGAAAGAAAATAGAAGAATACCCAGAGGGGTGTGTATATATATACGTACTTGTACATGTATGTGTAGTGTGACCTAAGTGTAAGTAGAAGTAGCAAGACGTACCTGAAATCTTGCATGTTTATGAGACAGAAAAAAGGACACCAGCAATCTTACCATCATGTAAAACAATTACAGGTTTTCATTTTACACTCACTTGGCAGGACGGTAGTACCTCCCTGGGTGGTTGCTGTCTACCAACCTACTACCTACAATTTATGGCATATATTTTTTTTTATTTTTTTAATGTAGATTCAGTAGATAGAAAGTTGTGCTCGGGACAAAGGGAAATGATATCTACTGTATTATAATAAGTGAAGGAGCTGGAATATGAATTAATTAAATGCAACAGTAATACTAGATTGGAAGGTGAGGAAACATAACCTTGATGGATGAGAGTAAAATGCTGAAAACAGGATAGAGTTGTTGATTATGTTTGCTTCATTTGATGAATGAAAACAGTAAAGGAGCTCAAGATGGACATAAAGAATAAATAAATAAATAAAGCAGCTGGGATTGATGGGATAAAGATAGAAATGTTTAAAGCAGGTGGGGATATAGTTTTGGAATGGTTTGTACTTTTTTTCAATATATAAGATAAGATAAGAGATAAGATTTCATTTGGATTTTTAACCCCGGGGGATTAGCCACCCAGGATAACCCAAAAAAGTCAGTGTGTCATCGAGGACTGTCTAACTTATTTCCATTGGGGTCCTCAATCTTGTCCCCCAGGATGCCACCCACACCAGTCGACTAACACCCAAGTACCTATTTGCTGCTAGGTGAACAGGACAACAGGTGTAAGGAAATGTGTCGAAATATTTCCACCCGGGCCCTCCGTGTGTGAAGCAGGAGCTTTAGCCACCAGGCCATTGGGCCTGGAAAGAGGGAAAGGTACCTAGGGAGTGGCCTAGTGCATGCTTAGTTCCTTTGTATAAAGAAAAAGGGGACAAAAGAAAGTGCAAAAAATTATAGGGAAATAAACCTGTTGAGTATACCAGACATTTAGAGAGGATGGAGCAAAATAAGATGACTTAGAGGATGTATAAATCTATTGTAGAGGGAAGACAGGGTAGGGCTTACACGAGGAAAGATTGAAGGGAAGGGTAAAGAAGATTTTGTGTGCGAGGAGCTTGGACATCCAGCAGGCGTGTGTGAGCATGTTAGATATTAGTGTGTGGAGGCAAAAGGACTTGGCAAGCTGTTGCAGTGTGAGCAAGGTAACATTTTATAAAGAGATTCAGGAAAATCAGTTATATAAATATGTATATGTAGTCAGGTACATTTTTTTCTTTCCTGAACTTTCCCCATCCTTCCATGACTAAATCAACTTTAATATTTTAAATGTCTTTCTAATGTTATCACCTCCACAGAGATGAAGTTTACTGCCAAATTTGTAAACAGCTGAGTAACAATCCTTCAAAGTCTTCACATGCACGGGGTTGGATCCTCCTCTCCCTCTGTGTTGGGTGCTTTGCCCCTTCAGAGGACTTTGTCAAGTACCTTCTCTCCTTCATCCGTGAAGGCCCTCCAGGGTATGCTCCCTATTGTGAGGAGAGACTAAGGAGAACTTTTGCTAATGGCACCAGGAACCAGCCACCAAGCTGGTTGGAGTTGCAGGTAAGCACAGGGATGCATGCGTTACAACACTGTCAAGAAAAAAGATACTAAAATGCCTTTGTTGATAGAGAGGGATAAATGAAGATATAATAAGCACCTATAAAATCATAAACAAAATAGACAAGATATTTTAGCACCATCAACAGGGTGATCAAGATGCTTTAGTTGTAAATTATGGTAAGAGGTAGTGCTAGAATGATCCTGAAAAAGATTTCTGAACAAATAAAGAGAAGTGGATACATAGGCTGGCCTCCATGAGAGGTAGGTACATAGTAGTCTGTGCTACAATCACCAGAAACTTTCACTATATATTGAACATACTGTACACCGATGATGACATACCACCAGCATAGCTCTACAACCTTTTACTGCCAATAGATACAGTAATAAGAAATAGGCTATCACAGTATTTCTTGGATTGTTCCAGCTCTTCTAAATAGAATGGTTTCCTAAAGGGTATTCTGGCACTAGAATGGCATTAGTTACGTGTTGCTTTCATTGAACACGCATGGTTCAATGGGTTTGCTGCACAGTGTCTGGTCTGAAAATGAAATAACAATTTTACATGACTGGAGCACAACACAGTTATTCCTTAGAATAATTATTATACAACAATATTGAAACATCTCACTGGGTATGATGGTATAAACCAGGGTATTATTTACAATAATTACAACTTTACAGCATGTTACAGTGCATGACAGGAGCATAACTGTGAATATTACTCTTAACAATTACAGCAGGAAACTTAAAACACTTCAACAACTTGTGACTGCAGCAACACTAGCATGTGCAGATAAATATAAATTGTATTATAATTCAGGTATCCAGATCTAATGTGAATATATTTAATATGCCTGCTGATAAAAGTTACAAATACTTTATTCACCGGGAGAGTATCGGCGAATAAAAAAAAAAATTAACATTTAATTTCATGTAGGCAACCAAATCCAAGAAGCCACTGATGTTACCAATCACCTTCATGGATGGAAACACCAGAACATTGTATGCAGACTCGGCAACAACTGCCCGTGAGCTCTGCAATCAACTCTCAGACAAAATAAGCCTTTGTGACCAGTTTGGCTTCTCCCTTTACATTGCTTTGTTTGATAAGGTAACTTACTGGTTCCTCAATACTCTTATGTTGTATGTATGATAATAAGTGAAGTGGGTTGGTAGACAGCAACTGTCCAGATAGGCACTGTTGTCTTGTCATGTGAGTAATAAAACTGGAACCTGTTATTTTGTTTACACTCCTGATAGGGTGTGATGGGTTAACTAGGAGAATACAACCAGGTAGTAGATCTCATACTTTGCATAGAGATGGATCCTCCACCACTCCTTTGAGTTTAAATTTTATTTAATTTTTTAAACCAGGGTAGGATGATCGAAAAAACAACAACTGCAAACTGTACTTCCCATGACTCGAGTCACTTCCCCTGAATCCCTTCATCACTTCTGCCTTGCTAACACTCCACTAGTTCATCAAGCCATGTAAAGCACCTTTCTCCACTTATGTGGATCTAACACACTCACATAAGCCTGCTGGATGCTCAAGCCCCCCTCTTTCAGCTGTATGCTTGTGTTTATGATCAGGTGTCATCACTGGGCAGTGGAGGAGACCATGTCATGGATGCCATCAGCCAGTGTGAGCAGTATGCGAAGGAACAAGGTGCCCAGGAGAGGAATGCCCCATGGAGACTTTTCTTCCGCAAGGAGATCTTTGCCCCCTGGCACGATCCTACTGAGGACCCTGTGGCCACTGACCTCATCTACCAGCAGGTGATGTTGTCTCTAGTATTACAATCTCATGTATTTTCAATATTGTATATTTTGATTTAATTTTCTCTTCAATTTTTTTTGTGCTGCAATCTTCTAGGCTTTCTACCTTCTCTATCTCCTTATTTCACCTACCCCCTTACCTACTCTCTCTTCTCTACCTGTCCTCCTTTCCCCCTTCCCCTTATTTGTAATCCTTGTTTCCCTATTATGTCATCAAATTTGTTATTGTGGGTAAGTGTGGCCTGTTTAATAACCTCCAGTCATAATGGATAATATAAACTAATATGGAATATACTCATGGTCTGGGGAAAGAATGACGGACTTGGAAGCTTGTGCAGAGGCAGTGTTGCCTACAGTGGTCTGCACCGTTATGGAATACTCTTCTGAAAGCCAGATGAAAATATGAGCGATCTTTAATGCTGGGTATAGGACAAGCCAAGTTAACATTAACAATCTGATTGTGAGTGCAGTATGTTATATCTTAAAATTTACAATTTGAAATTATCTATCCTCTTCTAGCCTTCACAGATGTTGTCTTGTTGAATTGGCCCTAATGCACAACATTGCTAACATAAATTATAGTTCCAGTTTTGTTTCTGATGAGGTTTACCTTTCCCAATACATTGTCAAATGTTTCAAAATTCTCTCGACTGGAACTGACCTTGGCCTTCTTCCCATCTCTTTTCAAATTTTCTTAACCCTTGTCCTTTGACTTTCTTCTTACATGCTTCTTTTGTCTAGTCTAAGCATGGGCCAGTAGGCCTATTGAAGTGATCCTTTATTCTTTTGCAAGCCTCCTGGGATACATGTAATGGAAAAGAGTGGAGTTGCCCAACTACTCTCTCCCCTTCAGATGTAATTTATATATTGATGTAATTTATCTTAATTAACTTGCTATTATAGTACTACTATTAATATATATCACACTAATATACCCTTACCTCACCTATGGTATTTGTGCTTGGGGATCTACCACGGCCAATCACCTTAAACCTTTAATAACCCAACAAAAAGCTACTGTGTGGATGATCACAATTTCCTGCACCAGACAACACACCCCACCACTTCAAAAGCTTGAACTTACTTAATATACAAAATATACACACTTATTATTGTGCCTACTATATATACAGAACATTAAACTCCAATATCAACCCTCTACTCAAACCTCTCCTAGTCAGCTTCAAAAGAACACAAGCATAACACGAGGCACAAAACACTTTTTGACATCCCATGTGTCCGTCTCACACTATGCAAAAATACAATGCACATAAAGGGCCTTAAGATCTGGAACTCTTTGCCCAAAACAGCAAGAGGTCCCCTGCCCACAAATCAATTTAGGACCATACTCAAAAATCACCTCATCTCTCAATAACAACCATACCCACGCTATGCTAAACTAACCAGATTTAAAGCAACTCTCTCAGGTATTTTATTATCCCTTAACTATTAAGCCATTACAAATGTACATGTATTATAAACTTAAAAATGTATGTTTGTATCATAAATTCTACTACCTCATATTAATAATAGAGTAAAATATTGAATATTTGTAATCTACCACTCTTCACCTGTCTAAACTTAAGCAGTATTTAAGTATTAGGTTAAGTCTGCCTGAAATGCCTCTGCATGATAGTGGCTTTCTTTGTACCAATCAAATTATGAAATTTAAACACACATTGTAACCTTAGCAAAGAAATAAAGTTTTGATTTTGATTTGACTACTATCATCATGACTTTTTCAAGTACTTTAATTACATGATCTGTCTTCTAGCTTTTTTTTTTCTCTCCTCTTTATCTCTGTTTTCTGGTTTTCTCCCATTTTCTTGCTCAAATGTCAATAGACCAAAATGTCATCAGAGGTTCCTCTCTAAAGTGGGTTATTTATAAATTATTCCCTGTCCATTCAGTCTTGCCTGGCTTCTTTGTCCCTTTTCTCATTCCCTAACTTTAGTGCCTATTCATTCCTTCCTTACTCATCATATCTTTTCTTCTGTTTCTTTTCCACTGCCATTTATTTTTAATTTGCATCAGAACTTCTCTTTATGTACATTTTTGTTCTTTGATATTGCTTCTTTGAGGTAATTTAGTTTTAACATGATTTGTAAATCATGTATATTTTGATGAGTATTTGTTCTCACTAGGTTGTTCGTGGCGTCAAATTTGGGGAGTACCGGTGTGATAAGGATGAGGACCTTGCCATGATTGCTGCTCAGCAGTACTATATAGAGTTTAGCACAGACATGAACACAGACCGACTGTTCAACAACCTTCCAGGCTACATCCCAGACTACTGCGTGTCTGCAGGAGATAAAGCCATTGACCGCTGGGCTAACTTGGTAGTTGCTGCATACAGGAAGAGTTATTATGTTAAAGAGCGTGTCCAGTCCCTCAAGGTGAAGGAGGATGTGGTCAGCTATGCAAAATTCAAATGGCCTCTCTTATTCTCCAGATTCTATGAAGCATTTAGGTGAGTAGTTATGCAGAATTTTGTATATTGTAATTACTTGTTAAAAGATCTCTCAAAATACTGAACATTGTTTAATGTGAAGTCATCACTTCTCATATGTTTGGGCATATATTTTGTAGACTCTTTATTCCCAGATTCTGTCCTTAGAACTTCCCTTTCACTTTCTTTTACACTTTTGCTGCACTGAGATGTGTTTTCTAGGTATGCTCATCTCATCTTATTTTATAGTCTTTCAGACTTCATAAAGGTTTGACACAGAATGTCATAGAACAAGAACTAATTATATGTCATGGTATAACTTTTCCTTGAATTTCATCATGGATGTTTGTTGCTGGCAGATACTCTGGTCCAAACTTGCCCAAGAATGATGTCATCATTGCAGTGAACTGGACTGGTGTTTATGTTGTAGATGACCAAGAACAGGTTCTGCTGGAGTTGTCCTTCCCAGAGATAACCACAGTATCTTGTAACAAGACACAAAAAGTGTACACACAAACCTTTACTTTGTCAACCGTACGAGGTGAAGAGTTTACTTTCCAGAGTCCCAACAGTGAGGACATTAGGGATCTCGTGGTGTATTTCCTTGAGGGGCTAAAGAAGCGTTCCAAGTTTGTCATAGCACTGCAGGACTATAAGGCTCTGGGTGAGTAATATCTTATTAAAAGAGTACAGATGGTTTTTGGGATTTGACGAGTTGTTGGAGTGTGAACAAGGTAATATTTTGTGAAGGGATTCAGGGAAATTGGTTTGCCGAACTTGAGTCCTGGGAGGAGGGGTATGGGTCGTCCTAGAAAAGGATGGGGGGAGGGGGTGAAAGAGGTTTTGTGTGCAAGGGGCTTGGACATACTGCAGGCATGTGTGAGCGTGTTAGATAGGAGCGAATTGAGATGAATGGTTTTTAGGACTTGGCGAGCTTTTGGGGTGTGAGCAGGGTAATATTTTGTGAAGGGATTCAGGGGAAACCGGTTAACTGGACTTGAGTCCTGGAGGTGGGGAGTACAGTGCCTGCACTTTAAAGGAGGGGTTTGGGATATTTGCTGTTTGTTGTGACATCTAAACTGTCGTGTCTGGGCGCCTCTGCAAAGACAGTGATTATGCGTGAATGATGGTGAGTGTTGAATGATGGTGAAAGTGTTTTTTTTTTTGGGGGCCACCCTGCCTCGGTGGGAAATGACCAACATGTTGAAAAAATGTATATATTATATCTATATAATTTGTGTGTGTGTGTGTGTGTGTGTGTGTGTGTGTGGGGTGTGTGTGTGTGTATGTGTGTGTGTGTGTGTGTGTGTGTGTGTGTGTGTGTGTGTGTGTGTGTGTGTGTGTGTGTGTGTGTAACATGTCAGCTGTCTCCCACCAAGGCAGGGTGACCCAGAAAAGAAACACTTTCGCCATTGTTCTGTGCCGTAGATCATTTAGAGATTGCATGAGTCTCTTGATCAGTGGCAGATATGTTGAATATTAATTACAATTGTTTTTTTCTTTTTGGCAGGTGAGAACTCTTCCTTCCTTACATTCAATAAGGGTGATCTCATCCTCCTGGAGGAGGACTCATCAGGTGAGACTGTCATCAATGCTGGCTGGTGTGTTGGAAGATGTGAACGAACAAATGAAAGAGGTGACTTCCCAGCAGAAACAGTCTATGTTCTTCCTGCAGTCACTAAGCCTCCACCGGATATTCTGGTGAGCATTGATTCTCATTGTCTTACTGAACTCTGACCAGTTGAAACACTCAAGTGAGTATATTTGTTGACCAGTTAACCTTCTACTAGCTGTTTTGCTGGGTTTTATTTATGATTATTATTGTTACTTCTAACACGCCGACCATCTCCCACCGAGGTAGGGTGACCCAAAAAAAAAGAAGAAACACTTTCACCATCACTTACTCCATTATCTTGTCAGAGGTGTGCCAATACTACAGGTTAAAACTGCAAATATTCCCAGCCCTCCTTCAGAGTGCAGGTACTATACTTCCCACCTCCAGGACTAAGCCTGGCTAACTGGTTTCCCTGAATCCCCTCAAAAAACGTTACCCTGCTCACACTTCAACAGCTTGTAAAGTCCCAAAAACCATTTACCTCTGCTTACTCCTATCTAACATGCTCACACATGCCTTCTGGATGTCCAAGCCCCTAGTATTATTATTATTATTATTATTTTTTTTTTTTCAACAAACCGGCCATATCCCACCAAGGCAGTGTGGCCCCAAAAGAAAAACAAAAGTTTCTCTTTTTAAATTTAGTAATTTATACGGGAGAAGGGGTTACTAGCCCCTTGCTCCCGGCATTTTAGTCGCCTCTTACAACACGCATGGCTTACGGAGGAAGAATTCTGTTCCACTTCCCCATGGAGATAAGAGGAAATAAACAAGAACAAGAACTAGAAAGAAAATAGAAGAAAACCCAGAGCGGTGTGTATATATATGCTTGTACATGTATGTGTAGTGTGACCTAAGTGTAAGTAGAAGTAGCAAGACGTACCTGAAATCTTGCATGTTTATGAGACAGAAAAAAGGACACCAGCAATCCTACTATCATGTAAAACAGTTACAGGCTTTCGTTTTACACTCACTTGGCAGGACGGTAGTACCTCCCTGGGCGGTTGCTGTCTACCAACCTACTACCTAGTTTATTATTATTATTATTATGGAGAAGGGCAGAACCTGTAAGTGTTATACAATGCCTGAGGAATGTGAAGTAATCAGAGTTGATCTCAGGAGGAAGGTAGCTTCAATTTCTTGCATTATGATCCCATTACTGGCATGACAGCATCTCCCTTGAAGGGCACTCAGCTCCTGTCTAGTTAGTTCTAGTCATCCCTGAACATCAAGGTAGGTATTCTTCATTACCTTGCTATCATTTGCATTAATCATTATCTCATTACTGTTTACACATGAGCATAAGTTTCAAATTAATAGTTTATCTTAGGTGTGAATAAGATTTATTATTGTTATGATTTAAATTAATACTATTCCATAAATGTTATAAGCTTTGATAAAGGTATGGCTGCTATAAGAAGGCAAATTAATCCTCACTTTTTAGTTCTTGATTAATTTGAACATGTTTTTCCACCTGCAGGCACTGTTTACAGCCGAAGGTGCTGAACACGGTCGCAAGTTGTTCACTCCACAACTCAATGGTAGTGACTCGCAGGAGAAACCCCACACGCTTGAGGAATATGCTCTTGATCACTTTAGGTAAATGGATGCTGTAAATTGATAGCTCTCTGTAAACTTGTACAGGAGTTCACTGAGAAATAAGTTGTGCTCCTGGTGTTTGGTTTTAAAAAATCTGTTTTGCTGGTGTTTTGACTAATGAACAAGAAAATAGTGCAGAGGCAGTTATGTTTCATACTTGCTTGTCCAGTTGATATGTACTATGATTGAAAATCTTAATTGGTTTCCATATTCTGCATTTATAAGTGCAGATGTGTGTAAGTTAGAGCATTTGGAGACATGTATTGTGAGGTCTGACTGGAAGCCACACATGGTTGGCACAACACAAGCCATACTTCTGTTTAAGTTACATTTCAATTAAGATTTTATCTTTAAAGTTTGAATATTTCATTGATATAGATTAAGTTTAATACTTATTTGCCCTAAAATATTCTGTTAAATAAGTTTTGTTTTAACAGACCACCTCCCAAACGCACAGTGTCTCGCTCTATCACCCTCGCATCAGCTCGTCGACCCACTAACGAGTGCTTATGGAAATATTCTAGAGATCCAATAAAGCAACCACTGTTGAAAAAATTGCTGCACAAAGAGGAGCTTGCACAAGAGTCTGTTTATGCATTTAATGCTGTGCTGAAGTACATGGGAGACTTGCCATCAAGGAGAAATCGTCAGGGTAATGACCTTACAGATCAGATCTTTGATGGCCCTTTAAAACATGTGAGTATTTTCACATTAGTCCTCTTCATTACATTAGTTTCATCAATCATGCCAATGACTTAGGAAAAAAAAATTGTTTTTAACTATTGAATAATCTTTACAAAATTATTTTGATGATAAACATTGATACCATAGAAAATTATTAAACAAATTTATATAGACGAGGGTTCCTTTATTTTATGAAGCCTTTGCAAAGACAGTGATCTTTTTCTTTCAACAAACCAGTCATATCCCACCGAGGCAGGGTGGCCCAAAAAGAAAAATGAAAGTTTCTCTTTTTAAATTTAATAATTTATACAGGAGAAGGGGTTACTAGCCCCTTGCTCCAGGCATTTTAGTCGCCTCTTACAACACGCATGGCTTACGGAGGAACTATTCTGTTCCACTTCCCCATGGAGATGACAGGAAATGAACAAGAACAAGAGCAAGAACTAGTAAGAAAATAGAAGAAAACCCAGAGGGATGTGTATATATATATATGATTGTACATGTACGTGTAGTGTGACCTAAGTGTAAGAAGAAGTAGCAAGACCTTCCCGAAATCTTGCATGTTTATGAGGCAGAAAAAAAGGACATCAGCAGTCCTACCGTCATGTAAAACAATTACAGGCTTTCGTTTTACACTCGCCTGGCAGAACGGTAGTACCTCCCTGGGTGGTTGAAAGACGGTGATATGTGTGAAGACGGCCGCCTTTTTTCTTGTGAAGTAAATGCTCTACCACCTTAAAAAGTTTATGAAAGCATTTCTTTTTTTTTTAATGTTTATTTGCTAACAGGAGATCCTGCGGGATGAGATATATTGCCAAGTTATGAAGCAGCTCACAGAAAACAGGAATCGTCTGAGTGAGGAACGTGGCTGGGAACTTATGTGGCTGGCTACTGGTCTCTTTGCCTGCTCTCAGAACCTTGTCAAGGTAACTATGTTGTCTGTACTAAAGCAGTCACTTCTCTTGTTCTTATTGTTTTATATTGTTTATGAAACATTTCTCTCTGATCATCCTTGTTTATAAATTTATTATGTGTAGGAACTCTATGCAAGTAGGAGACCCAGAATATGGAAGACGTTTTAAAAAAAAAAAAAAAAAAAAAAAAGGAAAACTCTAGCTATACTGTATTATTAAACAATATTATTATACAACTACCATTTTGAGCTTTCCGTTAAGTTATAGTATCAGCTTCATAGTACCGTACTTAATATCGTCAAAATTAGTTTTGTGTTTGCTGTTTGTATGAGTACAGTATATATTTGGTTCTGTTTTGATACCAATCCATATGTAAAGTTGCTGTTTATATTATTTCATTATGGCATTTTATTCCAACTTGTTGGCCTAGCCAGTTGTGTGCATGTACTACAGTACAATATTTACATTAGATTAGGGTCATGTCAGTTAACTGGATTTAACCAGTTATACCATTTATTACCATCAGTAAATGCAGTAATGCATAAAGATAAATTTGTTTTGATGCAATCATGTGTCACCCATTTCTGTATAAAATGTGACATTCACAAGTTAGTGTCACAGCCACTTTATCAGTGGTCTGGAGTCGATGTAAAATATTAATGTTTGTTTAGGAGGATGAGTCGTTTGTTGACATTCATATATTTTATTCACTCTGTAATAAGTATAATACTCATGAACTTGTCCAGTTTTCATCATTACCTTATGTATATACTGGTACCTTAGTTTTACTGTATTGTTATTTAACCCTTTGAGGGTCGACAGGCCCTCTCTGAGACTCGTTCTCAGGGTCAGCCAAATTTAAAAAAAAAAAAAATAATTTTTTCTTATGAAAAGATAGAGAATCTTTTCCCGATCATAATGACACCAAAAATATGAAATTTGATGGAAAACTTACGGAATTATGCTCTCGCGAAGTTAGCGGTCTCAGCGATGTTTACGGATCGGCGATTTTGCCCACTTTGAGCCCCATTTTCAGCCAGTTCCACTGTACTAGTCGACAAAAAACATAAATATTTTGCTAGAACTCCATATTTTCTATTGAATGAGTGCAAGAAACCACCCATTTACCAATTTCAACTATCCAGTACAGTGGTCAGAATTTAGCAATTTTGCCAATTTCACACAAATTTCAAAAGATGCCAGTTTCCGAATAGGGTTCAGAACAAACAAGAAATACATTCCTGGCACTAAAATGACATTTCCTCTGTTCATTAGTCACGTCTCAAGGCCCCTCTTACATTCTTTTGCTTTCCACTTTGAATTTTTATTCTCACAAAAAATAGAAGATTTACTGTTATGCAGACTACTGCATTAGTGTAAAAAATGGTATGAATCATATTGGCGCACTTGCAAAAGAATATTAGACTCACCAGTTGATGTGTATTGGACACTTGGCATGATTTGTTTACTTTTGAACTTTGGTAAAAATCGAACATTTCTGCTACTTTGAGCTCAATTTCAAGGTACTTTTCATTGTAAAACCAGTCAAAATCATCTCAATTTCTATGATATGCCTTCCATTCTATAAAATGAGACCAAGAAAACTAGAATACAACAATAAATACCATACGAAAATACAGTGCAAAGTCGCTGTTTTATTCCAAAAAAACGGTCAAAGTTTTTTTTTTCTCATTATGCACTGTGTGCTGCAGGATTTTTTTTATACCATGCACACTGACCACATAGACCCATTCTTTCATATGGAGGCCTACCAGCTTTCTCCCACTAGATTTGAGGGCGCAAGAATTTAGGTGTACTAGTACGTCAAAAACCCTGGGTCGTAAGCCGTACTAGTACGTCCGAAACCCTCAAAGGGTTAAATGACATAGTTAAAAATGGAAACTGTCATAACTTGAAGTATTTGTATAGTATCACTTGATATCTGGGAGAAAGATGTAAATATGTGAACAAATCATGTAAGGCTACATATCACTCTCTAATATACCCTTACCTTGCCTATGGTACTTGTGCTTGGGATTACCACAACCAATCACCTTAAACCTTTAATAACCCAACAAAAAGCTACTGTGCGGATGATCACAAACTTCTGTGCCAGACAACACACACCCCCCACTCTTCAGGAGCTTGAACTTATTTGATGTACAAAATATACACACTTATTATTATGCTTACTATATATACAGAACATTAAACTCCAATATCAACCCTCCACTCAAACTTCTCCTAGACAGCTTCTACGGAACACACAGGCATAACATGAGGCACAAGAACACTTTTTGACATCCCTCATGTCCATCTCACACTATGCAAAAATGCAATGCACATGAAGGGTCCAAAGATCTGGAACTCTTTACTGGAAGCAGCAAGAGGTCCCCTGCCCACAAACCAATTTGGACTATACGTAAAAATCACCTAATCTCAATAACAGCCATACCCACACTCTCAATAACAGCCATACCCATGCTCTCCCAAATATTTTATTATCCCTTAACTATTAAGCCATTATTACAAAATCAGAAATGTGTGTTTGTATCATAAATTGTACTACCTCATATTGATAATAAGAGTAAAATATTGAATATTTGCAATCTACCACTCTTCACCTGTCTAGACTTTAGTCTATAAGTATTAGGGTAAGTCTGCCCAAAATGCTTCGGCATGATAGTGTCTTTATTTGTACCAATCAAATTATGAAATGGAAACACACATTGTAACCTTTGCAAAGAAATAAATTTTTATTTGATTTTCATCTGATTTGATATTTAATCTTGTTTATTCTCTCACAGGAATTGACACAATTCTTGAGGACCAGACGACACCCTATTGCACAAGACTCCCTCCATAGGCTACAGAAGACACTTAAACATGGACAACGTAAATATCCACCACATCAGGTGGAGGTTGAGGCCATCCACCACAAAACAACACAAATCTTCCATAAAGTGAGTTGATTTTTAGATTAGATTTTGCCACCGAAGTGGCTAGTTTATTGTGCACCCCATATCCATCCTGTGGACGGTAGCGCGAGAGCATATGGATACACAAAAGGCCTAGGAACTAGGCCCCAAAGGGTTAACAGGAATACATATGGATTTATATCTACATATCTATAGTTCACTTATCTGTTACAAGCAAATTTAGGAAATTTGCTTAGTATATCTGGTATGTTATTTTCATTAATAAGATATCTTGACATGTCACATAGGTTATTATACTGTCTGTCTCTGTATTCCTCAATAAGTGGACAATTAAGCACAGTGTTCAAGAGAGTGACCATATGCCTGATCACATAATTTACATTTAGTTTGATCATCATCTGTGTGTCTCCCAAACTGCCAGAAGTACTTGTAACCAAGCCTAAGCCTGGCCACTACAACATCAGTCAGTCTGTTCACATTGCACGTTGCTCCATAAACATACTTATCTACGTTCATGTTATCATAGTGGGTTATAGATCTACTCAGGCTTCTAACTGCATTCCTATAACAATCATTTTCATTATTTACTTCTCTCCTAATATTATTCCTAATGCTAGACACAGTTATACCAAAGTTATATTCTACATTCTCCTTCTCGATACTCTTCTTGGCTAACATATCAACTTTATCATGAAGGAGTAATCCAATGTGTGATGGGATCCATAGCAATTGTACATTAATTCCTTTGTCCCTAATTTTTGAGTATCTATACCTGGCTTCCCCAATGAGCATGTTGTTGAAGGTGGTGACGTACTGGCAAAAAGTCGACATCTTTTAGAACATTATCAAGCTAATTTGTGAATATGAACTGATTATTTTATGTGCCTTATTATGCATCGACAGAAAAGATAATGAACAGGTTTGAGATTGTGAAAAAGGGTATGAATTATTATTTGAAATGAAAAATTATCATATTGGATTCCAGTATTCACTATTGATACTTTTTTTATATGAACAGGATGAATTTCCAAGAGATACTTTATAAGATACATACATACATAATGGTTTGGTGTAAATATAGAAGTAGAATACTTTAAGGTTGTCTAGTGAGGTCAGGGTTATTAAACAAGCATTTAGATGGAGTGTTAGATATGTGTCAAAGTTTGGTATGGGGTCAAAATAGATTATATTCTATTTGATATTTATAGATGACATACAACTCTTCTAGCAGAGAATCAGATTATATATTATGGATACTGTAGTTGAAAATTTTGTTGTGTATGAGAGAAGTTGGTTGAAAGTAACTGTAACTACAGTAATCCAATAACTTAATGATAGTGGAGATAAATGTATTATGTATTGAATTAGTGCCAATGAGGACATCCTGGAGTCTGAGTTGAGGTTAAGTATTTTGAAATATGACTGACAAGAGACTTTGCAAATGAAACTGAGAATAAATTGACTAGGTAAAGGGACTAGTGCCAGTGAAGGCTCTGTTGGTTGAACTCGTAATATATTGATATGAAACACTGATGTGTCATGAGTGTTCGACTAGTCATTTTTCTGGCCTCAGTAGAGTCTTAGGCATACCTAAAAAAAGTAATATATTAAAATGCTGGCATGTAACCAGTTACATTAAGGATATACATAATGGCTGCCAGTAGTGCTTGTTGTGCCCTCAGTATCTTAGTGTGTCAGTGCTTGATGGTTTATAAGTCTCCAGAAATATCGAAGAAGACTAATAGGGAGCTTAGCAAACAGAATGGGATGAGCAAGCTGAGAATGAAAATAAGAGTTTTATTCTTACACAAATGAACATAAAACCTTATCCACAGAAATACAGCCTCTCCTCACTTAGCGATGTATTCGTTTACTGACGACTCAGACTTATGATGGGCTCTCTGACTAGTATACATATTTAAATAATGTGTATTAGAGCTGATTTCCTCTGTTCTGTTTAATATAATATACAGGACACTACTGTATAAACATTTTAAAATATACCAGAAATGTTATAAATGATGCAAAAGTGACATTAAAACAATATCAAAGATGCTTGACACAAACCCACTACCATTATAGTATGCTCCTCACTTAGTGACAAATTCATTTTCCGACGTGGTCTTAGGAACAGAACTCTGTCGTTAAGTGAGGAGAGGCTGTACTCGAAATAAGGATGCGGTAGCTAAAATCTATTTCCCAGAAATAGGATATAGCCTCTTTAGGAGGCAGCAACATGTACATCTAATTAACTAACTACTGTACCACAAATATAAATAAGTGTGTCAGTAAATGCTAATTTTCCATCAGGTTTACTTCCCGGATGATACCGATGAAGCATTTGAGGTTGACTCATCAACCCGAGCCAAGGACTTCTGCTCATCCATTTCACACCGTCTTAATCTCAAAAGCTCAGAAGGATTCTCTCTGTTTGTAAAGATTGCTGACAAAGTCATTTCAGTACCTGAGGGAGATTTCTTCTTTGATTTTGTTCGACACCTCACAGACTGGATCAAGAAGGCTCGACCATCCAGAGATGGTAAAATTATTTAAGAATTTATTTATTTATTCCCCAGTTATCTATGAGGGATGTGTTAGTAAAGAAGTTTATACCTAGAATTTATGGATAAAAAAACTTTGTTTTTGTTTTTAAGAATACGGTGAATGCGTTCAGGACCCTGTGAGCTCCAGTCCTGTAATACTGTACTAGTCAAATATTCTGCAGTTTTGGGGGGTTACTGTAATTCAAATGAGTTTTTTTTTTTTTAAGTCGGCTGTCTCCCACCGAGGCAGGGTGACCTAAAAAGAAAGAAAATCCCCAAAAAGAAAATACTTTCATCATCATTCAACACTTTCACCTCACTCACACATAATCACTGTTTTTGCAAAGATGCTGAGAATACAACAGTTTAGAAGCATATATGTATAAAGATACACAACATATCCCTCCAAACTGCCAATATCCCAAACCCCTCCTTTAAAGTGCAGGCATTGTACTTCCCATTTCCAGGACTCAAGTCCGGCTATATAAAAATAACCGGTTTCCCTGAATCCCTTCACTAAATATTACCCTGCTCACACTCCAACAGCTCGTCAGGTCCCAAGTACCATTCATCTCCATTCACTCATATCTAACACGCTCACACATGCTTGATGGAAGTCCAAGCCCCTCGCCCACAAAACCTCCTTTACAGCATATATTTAATTATAGTACCTACATTATTGGAGGTCCCTGACGTACAAATAAGTTGTTTGCATAGAAAGCAATGGTATAAAGAGTGATTTTGTTTCACTCATCTTTATACAGTGCTGTAGCTCAGTGATTGTAATAACAGTTGAATTGGTTTTTAAGTACTTTGATTATAGGTTCAGAGGTGTATAATTTGGGGCATTTATAAGTTGAAAGAACTCCTGAATATAAAATATCTCAGGCTTCAAGATTGAAAACTTTTATTACTCTCTTCATGGGAGTTCCTTAAGCTAGAGAAAACATCAGTGATTTAAGGTATGCATTCTAGGTTCTTTACACATACACACAGGAATTGGTAGCAGACAATAATAAGTGTACAAGTGGAGCAGATCTGCAAGGCCAGTTTGCTAATCACAGGCAGTAGGATATACAGTACTATAACCAAAATCAGGAATAGAGAAATTTGTTGATATAGAGCTCATGGATACTTTAGGATTACAGTACATATAGTAAAGAGAGGAAGAATGCAAGTAAAATTTTGAACAGTTAAAATATAATCCTAATGAAACTGTGATCTAAACATGAGATTAAAGTTATCGTTAATGTGAATAAACAGAAAGATGGACAAAAGATTGAACTGTGGTCCTGCGATTAGCAGGTCTAGCACTTTGCCACTTAGCTAGAGAGTTCCTAATAGGAAAGATTTGGAAACTGTCAGTAAAAGGCTGGACTGCTAATCCCAGGACCACAGTTTAGAGACCCCATATTTCTGTTTATTCATATACAGCTGTTTATTACAACTTGAATTGGGTTCATAGCTTATCATTAATGTTATTAATGCAAAACTGTGTGTTGCAGGTACCACACCTCACTTCACCTACCAAGTCTTCTTTATGAAGAAACTCTGGACCAACACCATACCTGGAAAAGACCGTAATGCTGATATAATTTTCCACTTTCACCAAGAGCTTCCCAAACTCCTGAGAGGTAATAAAGATTTGAAGGAAAGATTTAACTAAGACAAGGTTACACGGAAGTGGTTGTGTTCTTATTAAGAAGTGGTCTGCTGGGGGTGTGAAATGCAGTTGGGAAACTTAGAAACTGGCCAAAACTCAAGCTGAGTTTTGGCTAGTTGATTTTACTGTCAAAGTATTCTATTGTATGCACTAATGTATTCTATAAATTGGTCCTAATATAACCACACTTTTTTTTTTTAAGGTAAATTTTGTTTTTCTCTTATCCAGATTTTGTTACTATTTAAGCACCTATTGTTGCTTATAGGTCATATAATTGAATGTCCACTGTAATACAGTTAAGAGAAATGAGGTCCTTGAACAAAATATATATTGTTGATAAAACCTTGTATGAATTATATGAATTTTCTATATTTCTTGTGTTTTGTCACAGGCTATCACCGGTGCACCAAAGATGAGGCTGCCAGGTTGGCTGCCCTTGTGTACCGTGTTCGTTTTGCTGAGAGTAAACAGGAACTTTCCGTTATCCCGTAAGCTTTTGGATTTTTTGTGGCACTTGAGATTAACATGAGTATTTTATTACAAATACTTTATATCTGTTGAATTTTTGTTAAAATTAGGTTTATAGGAAAGTTATTGACACATTCTTGTATTTACACTTGTGAGGCCTCTTGTATGCATAATGTTTTGGGTATGACACTAATAGATGAACATGCTCATTGTTACTAGAATGTAAATGACACTAATACTGTATAATACTTTACATATAATAATTAATATAATAGTAATAATAGGGTCATTTAAATTGTAAAGTTGTAGATCTTAGCTAGTGGTTCAAACAGTGCTGCTGCTGCCTTTCTCAGAACTTGTGTTGACACCTTGTCAGTTTCCATTCCTTTTAATGTATTCAGCTCCATCGAAGGTTCTTTTACCTCTTTCACTGTTGTGTGTATGTTGTCCAGTACCTGTCAGTGTACCCTTTTACATAAGTTTTCCAGTATTTTCCATTTCCACTAAGAAGATCCCTGTAACTCATTTGTTCACCTCTTCACAGACTTCCCTGTCATTTTTAGTGAGCTGTCCTTCTTCCTTCTTCAGCCAGATTACTTGCACTTTTTTCTGTCATCTTTCTTTGGATATGGCTATGAATTAGTTTTGGTTTAGGCTTGTCCTTTACTGCTGTCATTCTAAGTTGTCACACAGCTTCTCTTTACCCATGAGTATTCATTTCTGGCAAATCTCCTTAGCTCATTCTTCTCATCTGTCCTTCACTTTCTGTAGTTTTCCCATGCTCTCATGCTTCTATTTTTTGCCTCTTCATCTGGTTGAACCAAAGGCTGTCTTCATCTTCACTGTTTACTCCCTCTTCTTGGTAGGAAGTTTTCCTCTGCTTCTTGGCACTTTCCGGCTATATACTCCATCTCGTCTGCTAACTTTCCTTCTGGTTCTCTTTATCCCATTGCAATGTATTCAGAAATTCTCTCATTCCTTCAGAGTCCCCTCTTTTGAAGTCTGGCTTCTTGTGCCTTCCACCTACTTATAGGTGGAGGGCACCTATAAGTTGGTGCCCTCTACTTATAGTTCAGCAAGGTACTCAAGTTAAGTACTCTGTGGTCACTAGTGCCCAACGGATGGTTTTATACTTGCTGTAAATACTAAGATTAGGTTAGCTAGCTCATCTGCTTTTCCTTATCATGTCCTTAATATACACTGACTTGGAAAATTCTCCCTACCATCTCCATTAACTTAGCCCTACATGTTTCCAGTACCCATGTGTGTGTGTTTTTGTATGTGATTTTTTGTTTTGTGTTTGTTTCCAAGGGATAAACCGTACCATTTGTCATTACTATTTCATGAGTCAAAGGAATACTTTGATACCCATGAAATTTATTATATGAAACATTGCAGGTTATTTCTACTATTCTTTCTTCATTATTTATAAAGTTGGTTCTGTGTTAGTAGCACCTCATGGCATTATACACCATGTATACTTTTATAGATATTTTTATCATTCTTGATTGCAAGAATTTAATATCCATAATCATATTTTCATATAGTCGGACTTGAGCCCTGGAAATGGGAAGTACAATGCCTGCACTTTAAAGGAGGGGTTTGGGGTATTGGCAGTTTGGAGGGATATGTTGTGTATCTTTATATGTGTATGCTTCTAGACTGTTGTATTCTGAGCACCTCTGCAAAAACAGTGATAATGTGCGAGTGTGGTGAAAGTGCTGAATGATGATGAAAGTATTTTCTTTTTGGGGATTTTCTTTCTTTTTTTGGGTCACCCTGCCTCGGTGGGAGACGGCCGACTTGTTGAAAAAAAAAAAAAAAAATCATCACTTTTGTGAGGATGCATAAGGATATGAAATGTTTTCAGGTATATAAAGGTAAATGGCTATTGAGGAGACCTCTACTACACTTAAAGCTAATTTATATTTTTTAGGAATATGCTGCGAGATCTCATACCAGCGGATTTGGCGAAGTCACAAAGTACCAATGAATGGAAGCGAGTTATAGTGCAACATTATAATGGAGATGCAGGTGAGGTGTAGCATACACATTCATGTAGAAACATAGTGACAGATATACTCCATTGTCTTTACACTTGATGGAAGTTTGTTTTTCCATGTACAGTGGACCCCCGGTTAACGATATTTTTTCACTCCAGAAGTATGTTCAGGTGCCAGTACTGACCGAATTTGTTCCCATAAGGAATATTGTGAAGTAGATTAGTCCATTTCAGACCCCCAAACATACACGTACAAACGCACTTACATAAATATACTTACATAATTGGTCGCATTCGGAGGTGATCGTTATGCGGGGGTCCACTGTACTTTAGTAGCTGAGTTTTACCAACCTGAATACAGTTGTTGCATAATCACTTGATGCCAAATAAACAATATTTTACAACATGTAAATCACACATTGTACAATATGCAAAGAAATAAAAATTTGAATTATGAATTTGAACAGTGTTTTTTCTCTAGGTTACACTGACTCTGCACTCTCCCTCTTTGTCTTAACTGCTGTATCTTTTTTTTTTTATTCCTTCATGTTGTATTTGGCATCATGTATCTTCCATCCTGTACTAACTGTCCTTTATATGTTTGTCATATGCAGTCACCATTCTTGTTACAGACATATTTCTCAGTGGCAGCAAATGATGGCTGTTTAGGATTTATAAATCTCTAGCAAATAATGCCTGCTATTTATGAAGTCTAACACTTTGTTGTGATTGTATTATGTGGGGGAAAACTGATGGAAAAGATAAAGTTTAATAAAAATAAAAGTGGCTTTATTAATCATGTAAGAAAAATCATCATGTGAGTGTCCAGAAAATTTTGTGGATATATATAGAACAGAGTGACCCTGCCTTGGTGGGAGAGTCTTTGAGGTAAAAAGAAAATGCATAGGACAGTACACGTGTATACAGGAATATTGTGAAAGCCATGAAATAACCTTTGGAGTAATATAGTAGAATGTTAATATTGAACTGGTTCATGGATAATTTTTATCCTGCAGACAATGTAAAGCCATTTGAACTGTTTGCATGTATAAGTTAAATTTTTGTGTCAGTTTTATTAGTAAAGATAATGGAAGGGACACTAATTACACTTTATGTATATAATAAAATTTAGTTTCAAAAAAACTTGTACAAATGTAAAAAGCTCAATTTATTTGTTTACTCTTTAACAGGCATGAGTCCTGAGGAGGCCAAGATTGCCTTCCTAAAAGTTATATATCGGTGGCCCACGTTTGGCTCTGCATTCTTCGAGGTGAAGCAGACGACTGATCCCAACTACCCTGAACATCTGCTCATTGCCATTAACAAACAAGGGGTTTCCCTCATTCACCCAGTCTCTAAAGTTAGTACTGTATCTCATTTTATTTTGGTCATTTTATATTTGTCTCGTTTTTTTCACATGTTCAGAGAATCTCACATTTTATTATTCTGTATAATGGTTTGCATGATGCCTGTTTTTTAATTTTTAGCTCAGTGTGTGCATGCAATATATACTCATTACTGTGCAATACTCCCACTTAGAGAGAGAGAGAGAGAGAGAGGTGAGAGAGAGAGAGGGGAGAGAGGAGAGAGAGAGAGAGAGAGAGAGAAAAAGAGATGGAGGAGAGAGAAGAGAGTGAGAGAGAGAGTGAGAGAGAGAGAGAGAGAGAGAGAGTGAGAGAGAGAGAGGGATGAGAGAGAGAGAGGAGAGGAAGAGAGAGAGAGAGAGAGTGAGAGAGAAGAGAGAGAGAGAGGAGAGGAGAGAGTAGAGGAGAGAGAGAGAGTGAGAGAGAGAGAGGAGAGAGAGAGAGAGAGAGGAGAAGAGAGAGAGAGAGAGAGAGAGAGAGAGAGAGAGAGAGAGAGAGAGAGAGAGAGAAGGAGAAGAGAGAGAGAGTGAGAGAGAGAGAGAGAGAGAGAGAGAGAGAGAGAGAGAGTGAGAGAGAGAGAGAGGGGAGAGAGAGAGAGAGAGTGAGAGAGAGAGAGAGAGAGAGGAGAGTGAGAGAGAGATAGAGAAAAGAGAAGGTAGTGAGAGAGAGAGAGAAGAGAAGAGAGATGAATGAGATGATGAATGAGAAGAGAGCCGAGAAGAGAGAGATGGACAAGGTGAAGAGAGGGGGGAGCGAGCTGCTTATATTCTTGTTTTCTAACATAAATCTTTTAATCTGTGTTAGAAAAAAATTTATTTAACAGACCTCGATTTAATGGATATAATGGACAAAATCTGTGGCCGGACAACATTCAGAAACAATGGACCAAGTCTGTTAAACTGAGAATGGTCTGCTGGGTAAATTTATTTTGGAAATACACGAAGTCCATTAAATACAGAATTGTCAGTTATTGTTATGATTATGGAAAAATATTCTCGCAGTTTAAATTTAATGGCTATTCAGTTTTGATGGCCACCCTCTTTCCCTTAAACTATACAAGCTTAGCACTCTATGTTGGTGGTTAATATTGTGGGTATGAAAGCATAGGGTAAGGTGGGGGGATGGCAGCACAGAACATCAAGGATAAAACTAATACAGTACTGTATTTTTTCTAAATTTACAGGAAATTCTCATCACTAATCCCTTCACAAGAATCAGCAACTGGTCATCTGGCAACACATACTTCCATATGACAATTGGTAACTTGGTGAGAGGCACCAAACTTCTCTGTGAGACATCACTTGGCTACAAGATGGATGATCTCCTTACCTCCTATATATCTTTAATGTTAACTAATATGAATAAACAAAAAACCCTTCGGTTGAAATAAAACTTCAATAGCTCAACTAGGAAAATTGTTTAAGGTTCTTTAAATATATATATTTTAATAGGACAGGCTCTATGAATGGAATTAACGGCATAAGGAATACGATACATTCTCTTTATATGAAATCCAAATGAATTTCAGTAGAAGGTCGAGATGAAAGAAAGACAAAACCTTCGTTAAGATGCCAGATAAATATAAAGGTTATTTAGAATTCTCGGTACTTATCTCAGAATTAAAATAACACTTAATAGAACATTGAATTCTTATTTGGGATTAATGTTGTACTATTGTAGTCAAGAACATAATAAGCAAAAATGAAGGTAAATTTGGAAATATATTCATCCTGCATAAAGTATGTTGATCTGGATGATTGTCCACTGACTCCAGAGGTAATATTTAATATTTATGATTATTGCTGTTTGGGAACATGAGGGGCCCCTTTGATTAATAATTTTATATGTATTTATATGATTAAACAAATGTATACAGTATTTTTTATTAATTAGGTTAAATGAATTTAAAAGGTATGATTGTATAAATGAAGACCTTTTAAATTGTTACTAGTTTTTAGCAGAGATGCTGTTTATCACAGTTATGGGACTGTCTTGGAAAAAATCACTTTCAAATTGTGTATATCATTTCAGAGAAGCAAGGCAGGTGCTCTACAAGTTGCAATTGCCGCCATTAGCTGTGATATTCTGTGCCTTCCATAATCAATGTGATTAGCTTTAACAATTGTAAACAGTTAATGTATAAATTATCACATGTAGCAGAGCTGGAACTAATCAGTGCTTTTTTTTCATTTTTCAAACACAAACATGTTAGTGTGGAAGAACTTTCACAAATTTGGTTCATAAAGTGTGTTTTTTATTTAATATCTTATGTTGGGTATTGTTAAGTTTGTATAAAAGAGATCCTGTGTAAAATTAAGAAGATTTCTATGGTTGTATATTTCAATACATCACTAACTAGGGCACAAGATGTACGTCACCTACCATTGTATGTGTTGTATCACTTCTCTAAATCTTTATACTGTATATTATAAAAGTACAGTATACAGAATGAGGTTGCAGTTTTCAATAAACCAAATAGTGAATGTAATGCAATTTAACACATTAAGTGGAAGTTTTATTTATTTGTTGTACATATGTTGTATACAGTATTGGGCCATGCAAAATGTTTTTCCTATGCATGTTTTGTTTGAAGTATTATTTTTGCCACTTAATTTATGCAGTATATTACTTGGGGGAAAAGAAAACTATTTTCTCAAAATGCTTGTCTTTTTTTTTTTCCTATATACAGATGAAGTCTTCACCAAATATAGACCTTGAGGCTAATGGAACAGCATTTTGCTTTTGTTTATATGTTAATGCATTGTCACAAAGTGTAGGGAGACAGTAGAGGTATTATTTGTGAAAAGTACAGTAGAAGATTTATAGTACCAGATCATACAAATATGGGTATACCATGTCAGAAGAAACCTGTGCCTTATCAAGTTTGTTCTTGCCAAGGCTGTGTTTAAGTGTCACCCAGTCAGTTAGTGGTCAGACTCAATGGTGCTTAACTGACTGAGTAATGTACACATCATCCACAGTATCACACCAATAAATGACTCCTAGCTTTTAGATATGCAAGTATCACTAGTAGATTCATCCCTGGGTTGTAGTTTGTAGGAGCAGATGCTAAACATTATTTTTATAGGGAGACATAAGTGATTAATCTTCTGTCTCACCATCTGCAGAGTATGTATTTTTGTTGTCAATTCAGTTATTTACAGCAATGTATGTAAATATAGACCCTACATTCAACAGTGTCAGCAACATTATATAGTCAGGCAACATACCTTTACACTTTAAATATTGCCACACCAGACTTGGATGAGAGAGGCAATGCTGTATAGTCCTTGTGGCTTAGCGCTTCTTTTTGATTATAATTATAATAATGAGAGAGGCAATGTTGTCTTGGACAAAGTGATGTCATTGGGTATTGAGCTTCAGCCACATTAAAGACAAAATTATAATTTTTCACAATTCAATTTCACCTTAAGAAACTGTCCATCAAATATCATGGGTAGCAGAGCAAAATGTCATAGCCTGAGGGCATCTTGCCATTTTAAAAGCCGATTGAGCCCTGGAGGTGGTGCTGTCTTGGGTGATGTGAAGCTGCTGGACAGTGGGTCAGTACCCACTGAAGGTGGTGCTATCTTGGATGCTGTGAAGCTGCTGGACAGTGGGTCAGTACCCACTGAAGGTGGTGCTATCTTGGATGCTGTGAAGCTGCTGGACAGTGGGTCAGTACCCACTGAAGGTGGTGCTATCTTGGATGGTGTGAAGCTGCTGGACAGTGGGTCAGTACCCATTGAAGGTGGTGAGGTGCTACCACATTGTACATTTTCTTACAGCAGTGGTGAAAGTTAACAAACTTGCACCCTAGAGTTACTCTCTTTACCCTGTATTGGTTGTTTTAATCAGGTGTGGTAGCTACTGAGTTGTTGTTCAGGAACTATTTTGGGCAAAGGAATGTAAATATTTTTGTATATACAATATGTACTACTTGTCTTGTGTACAGTATGGTGATATGTAGTGACAAAGTATGTGTAGGTGCTAAAACTGAACACAGAACTTTAGATTCTTGGAAATGTGGGCTCTGATAAGGTATTAACTCATGCTACCATACAAGATGACTTTCCTGGATAACATATAAATTAGTGAACAAGTAGCTTTATTAAAAGCTTACCTGAAAAATATTTGTTTTGAAAATTAATGTGTGACTAATGAGTAAAGCTGTTTGTATTAATTTCATTACACATTTGTTATTGCCTGTTTGTAGCTACAGGAGTAAAACTCAGCTCAGTGGTGTATCATCTTCAGTATTTAGTCAGTTGCTTTGTACACATTAGTGGTGGGGATCATAAATCATGGCTAACTGATTTATTAAACTTTACAGCTGATCAAACAATATATCAGAATGATATAATACATATTGTTTTATAGGTTTGCACAATACTGAAAATAAAGTGATGACATTATTAGCACTTCAGAGGGAAACTTCACCCTAGAACATATACTTGTGTGTGAGAGAAGCCTTTTAAGGGTCTATATTTGCTGGTTCATCAAGAGGCAAACGTAGAATTTTTTTTTTTGTTTATAATTCATGCTGACCATGGTACAGGTGGGGTTTGAATCCATGGTGAAAGAATCATAAAACTCCAGGCCAGTGCATAAGCCTCTCTGCCAACTGGCTTATGCACTGGCCTGGAGTTTTATGACTTGCTCGCCATGGGTTCAAACCCCACCCATACTGTGGTTTGTTTGCAATAGTGTTATTATGATTTTGTGAGTCAATTCATGTTGGTTTGACCAAGAATTGCAGGATTGTAATTGTTTAAATTATAGTCCTAAGCAAAATTGTTCTAAATAATGTTGTGTAATTATTTTGTAATAATATACAATTTAAGATTCTTAGCATTGGCCATTTGCTTTATACAGTATCTGTTGTGTATAATTGTTGAATATATGAGACAGAATTACATAATTCTAAAAATATTATGTTTATTATTTTTCCAACCATAAGGTAAATCACCCATATAAAAAGTGGTAGAAAGCATTTTTTATTTTAAAGGAAACGTACAGTACTGTATTCCAAATTAGAGAGAACCTTGCAACAAGTGGACCCCCGGTGTAAGCAAAGTTACAGTGCATACACAGCTGAAAACCATGGACTCGTGTCTGATAAAATTAGAAGAGAAACAGCTGCCATGTTTATATTTTAGTGTAGTACTAACATTTTGGATATTGTAATGATAATTTTTATTTTCAAAAAAAGTGTAGAAGTGATACAGATTTTGTGACAAGCCCATAGAATGCACAGCATGTCGGACAGACTCAAACTATGATTAAAATTACATACGTTGTACATATTTAATACTATAAAATATGTCTTCATAAGAGAAGTGGAACAGAATTCTTCCTCCATAAGCTATGTGTGTCATAAGAGCTGACCAAAATGCCGGGAGCAAGGGGCTAGTAAACCCCTTTACCTGTATACATTACTAAATTTCTTTTTAGGTCGCCCTGCATCAGTGGGTTACGACCTGTTCGTTGAAAAAAAAAATGATTGTAGAGCTGCTTAAGTTTGAGTAATTTATTTATTTATTTATTTATTATTATTTGGGCATGATACACAGTTGTACAAAAGAAATACAGTGGTTGAGTGTACATGCCAAAAGCCCCTTGTATAGAATAATGTATTGATAGGTAAGATGAAAAATACATTTATAAGATATGGTCACAACTCACAAATGAAAAGAATTAGTTGGTAATGAAGGGGCTTGTAACAGGCCCAGTAGAACTTAGCAGTCTGGGTTCACAGGAGTCACATGGTGTGCAGTGGTCCATCACGACATGAATAATGGAATGTACTCTGGTGGATGAAGGAGTGCCTCAGGGGAAGGAACCAAAGAGTGTTTTGGAAGAGATGTCAGAATGGGGAAGAGTATGAAGTGGTGTACCACAAGGATCAGTATTAGGACCAGTTCTGTTTCTAGTTTATGTGATGAAGGGTATCAAATGAGTTAGGTAATGAAAAATTGGATATCAGATTGGAGGGAGATAGGGTTCCGGGGGTCAATGTCCCCATGGCCCGGTCTGTGACCAGGCCTCGTCAGTGGCGTTATAAGGAGGGGGGGGGGCAGGCCTCCCCGAGTGACACCATATAGCCTCTAAAAGAAGGTGACACTGATGCCCAAAATAGTGCTGCAGCAACAGACGAGAAAAATCATTTGTGTCCTTTGTTTCTATATAGCCTATTATATGATTACAGAATACAAATAGGCCCATATAGGGAAAATCAATGACGCTATACGAAAAACTCCCCTCAAGGAAGGTTCCTTGATGTTGGTGAGGGGCTCTTGATTTAGGGAATTGGATCTGTGCTCCAGTTCCCCGAATTAAGCCTGAATGCCTTCCACATCTCCCCCAGGCACTGTATAATCCTCCGGGTTTAGCGCTTCCTCCTTAATAATAATAATATACGAAAAACTACGATAAATCAATTCTATTTACGATATTTTGGATAAACCCTTAATCCACCTTGCATCACTATGATCACTCATCACTGACTGAAATATACAAGAATGAACTCAAGCTTGAAATACCAAGACTTAGGAGGCACCTGCAAGCTGCTGATGTTGATCTTGAAAAAAGTTAAGCACAGGACTGCATTGGATGCATTAACATCCATAGCTGAATGGATTTCATTAAATCTCTTCCAGCTCTTGTGAAAGGAGTTTCTTGAAGTTGAAGCTGATTAAAAACTATTTACGGTCCACAGTGAGTCAATCCAGAATCTCTGACTTAGCAATGTTATCCATAAAAACCCCCTCAAGGAAGGTACCTTGATGTTGGTGAGGGGCTCTTGATCTAGGGAATTGGATCTGTGCTCCAGTTCCCTGAATTAAGCCTGAATACCTTCCACATAACCCCCACAGGCATTGCATAATCCTATGGGTTTAGTGCTCCCCCTTGATTATAATATTAATAATATCCATAGAAAATGGGCCAGTTGACAGGACTGATTTTGATGATGTGATAGATGATTCTGTAGGATTGAGGGCAAGGGAATGTAAGATCTGATTCATTGAGAGATTACCTGTATTCAAGATCAAATCGGAACAAGGGTTTCTCTGATATTGCAATGTTTTTCTTTAGTCTTCAATTTTTTTTTGAATTGTTGAAGACGAATAAATGTAGGATCAGTTACCTGTACTTAAAGTGGTATTTGAGTTTGTTTACTCAGTATTACTACGATTATTTTATCATTAATAAAGTTGAGAAGTATTCTCCTGTTCGGTGTAACTGGAGTTGACTTCCCCTCCCCCCCATCTTCCTGCCCTTAGATTTCATGGAGTAACACCAAAGATGCCACCCTGGGTGACACCAACCCTAGCAATGCCACCGGGCCTCATGGTGGATCAGGGTCTGATCAACCAGGCTGTTACTGTTGGCCGCACGCAACCCGCCTAAAGTCAGTACCTGAACAGCCCGGCTGGTCAGGTACTGACTTTAGGCCCCCATCCAGTGCCTTCTTGAAGACAGCCAGGGGTCTATCGCAAGACCCTATGTCTAGCTCATTTACAACGTCACATGGACTACGCTTGCTCTTCCATGGTACTCTGCCTTGACAAAAAAAAAAATGAAAAATTGACTACAAATCAGCCAGAACAAAATGGTAAGATTCATCCTGGACCTGGATCCAGGAGAGCATGTAGGCCAGGATGGTAAGATTCATCCTGGACCTGGATCCAGGAGAGCATGTAGGCCAGGATGGTAAGATTCATCCTGGACCTGGATCCAGGAGAGCATGTACGCCAGGATGGTAAGATTCATCCTGGAACTGGATCCAGGAGAGCATGTAGGCCAGGATGAATAACAACAATTGGATATGTTGAATGTTGAAGACAGAGTAAAACAGAAGTTAAATCAAGTTTATAAAACTGCTCACAGTGTCCAGAATATCTTGCTGCCAATTTTGAGAACCAATGCCATCATAGTACTAAGGGGAGAGAGCACAACTTTGGTACAATAATCTTCCCTTCATGTATATTAAACTAACTTCATGTGGAGTACTAGTAGTACAGTAATCTGCCCTTCATGTAGAGTACTAGTGGTACGATTATCTCTCTTCATGTAGAGTACTTGTGGTACAATAATCTGCCCTTCATATGGTACTATTGCACCACTAGTACCAGAGTACTTGTGGTAAAATAGTACCACTAGTACTCTGGTGGTAAGAGTGGTGGCCTGGAAAGAGGTTCCTTGAAGGTGGTGGTGAGGGTCTCTTGATCCAAGGAATGTGATCTATGTCACCTGGGAGTGAACTTATCCTCCCAGGTGGTCCATGACCCCCACGGGTTGAGCGCTCCACAATGAGTAGTATTGATAGTGGTGATGTAGTAGTGACATCCAGTGACGATATAGTAGTGCCATCTAGTGGTAGTAGTCAGAGTTAGTCAGGTTATCAGTGATGGTGTTATAATAAAGGTCAGGACAGTGACCAACCTTAAGGTCACTAAAGGTCAGTTAACCTTCAATGGTCGCACAGGAAAGACCTGTTGCTCCTTCTCTTGTCTCCCCGCCGGCTTTACCGCTTCCTCATCCTTTTAATACACCTAAATAACGTAAGTATTGTCTACTGACGTATTTGTCAATACAAAAGCAGAGTTGAGTTGCAGCTCCTGGTCCCCACCACCAGTTTGCTCACCAAATTATGATTTTAAGTCTTAATTTTCTTTGGGGTTAGATCTAATGTCTTAGAGGGGGGGGGCGGGGGAGGGGTGATTGATCTTAGTGGAGGGGTTTTGATGCGAGGAACTGGAGCTACTCCTCTTCCTCTGATCAAACAACAACTCTCACACTACATAACTCATAATGGTGTATATAGTTCTGGGCTATTTTTTCCATTACTGAAAATAACTTATTGAAGGTCTCTTGATCCAAGGAACTTGCGCCTTGTGATCCAGATATAGACTTCCATCTAAACAAATTATTAGTCATCAGGTTAATGTGAAAGAAATATTTATTAATTATTAATGTTTATATCAGGCAGTAATGTTACTAGTTTATATTACATGGTAATGTTACTAGTTTATATTACATGGTAATGTTACTAGTTTATATTACATGGTAATGTTACTAGTTTATATTACATGGTAATGTTACTAGTTTATATTACATGGTAATGTTACTAGTTTATATTACATGGTAATGTTACTAGTTTATATTACATGGTAATGTTACTAGTTTATATTACATGGTAATGTTACTAGTTTATATTACATGGTAATGTTACTAGTTTATATTACATGGTAATGTTACTAGTTTATATTACATGGTAATGTTACTAGTTTATATTACATGGTAATGTTACTAGTTTATATTACATGATAATGTTACTAGTTTATATTACATGGTAATGTTACTAGTTTATATTACATGGTAATGTTACTAGTTTATATTACATGGTAATGTTACTAGTTTATATTACATGGTAATGTTACTAGTTTATATTACATGGTAATGTTACTAGTTTATATTACATGGTAATGTTACTAGTTTATATTACATGGTAATGTTACTAGTTTTATATTACATGGTAATGTTACTAGTTTATATTACATGGTAATGTTACTAGTTTATATTACATGGTAATGTTACTAGTTTATATTACATGGTAATGTTACTAGTTTATATTACATGGTAATGTTACTAGTTTATATTACATGGTAATGTTTGCCTATAAATGTGTGTAATGTTTATGGTTATAATGTCAATGTGTTTTGTTTCAGGTGTGGTAACTGAGGAGTGCTGTGCCTGGCTGTGTCTGCTGCAACATTGATCAGTTTGAGGAGTGCTGTGCCTGGCTGTGTCTGCTGCAACATTAACCAGTTTGAGGAGTGCTGTGCCTGGCTGTGTCTGCTGCAACATTGATCAGTTTGAGGAGTGCTGTGCCTGGCTGTGTCTGCTGCAACATTGATCAGTTTGAGGAGTGCTGTGCCTGGCTGTGTCTGCTGCAACATTGACCAGTTTGAGGAGTGCTGTGCCTGGCTGTGTCTGCTGCAACATTGACCAGTTTGAGGAGTGCTGTGCCTGGCTGTGTCTGCTGCAACATTGATCAGTTTGAGGATTGCTGTGCCTGGCTGTGTCTGCTGCAACATTGACCAGTTTGAGGAGTGCTGTGCCTGGCTATGTCTGCTGCAACATTGATCAGTTTGAGGAGTGCTGTGCCTGGCTGTGTCTGCTGCAACATTGACCAGTTTGAGGAGTGCTGTGCCTGGCTGTGTCTGCTGCAACATTGATCAGTTTGAGGATTGCTGTGCCTGGCTGTGTCTGCTGCAACATTGATCAGTTTGAGGAGTGCTGTGCCTGGCTGTGTCTGCTGCAACATTGATCAGTTTGAGGACTGCTGTGCCTGGCTGTGTCTGCTGCAACATTGATCAGTTTGAGGAGTGCTGTGCCTGGCTGTGTCTGCTGCAACATTGATCAGTTTGAGGAGTGCTGTGCCTGGCTGTGTCTGCTGCAACATTGACCAGTTTGAGGAGTGCTGTGCCTGGCTGTGTCTGCTGCAACATTGATCAGTTTGAGGATTGCTGTGCCTGGCTGTGTCTGCTGCAACATTGATCAGTTTGAGGAGTGCTGTGCCTGGCTGTGTCTGCTGCAACATTGATCAGTTTGAGGACTGCTGTGCCTGGCTGTGTCTGCTGCAACATTGATCAGTTTGAGGAGTGCTGTGCCTGGCTGTGTCTGCTGCAACATTGACCAGTTTGAGGATTGCTGTGCCTGGCTGTGTCTGCTGCAACATTGACCAGTTTGAGGATTGCTGTGCCTGGCTGTGTCTGCTGCAACATTGACCAGTTTGAGGAGTGCTGTGCCTGGCTGTGTCTGCTGCAACATTGGTGAGTGATGGGTGGAGACAACCACACTGGTAAATGGTCTGACCCATAACATAGTGTTAAATGGAGATGCAGCAGTTGTAGACGTCGTTAGAGGTGGGCGGGGCCCACTTGTAAGGTATTTCCAGGTTATAAGTCCACTAAAGTTTGGTTAATGAAGCAGATAGTAATTGTATTAGGTGGTAGGCTGGTGGGGAGAGTATAGGAAAGATTGTAAGCAATTTATATAAAAAATTAGCTTAGTGGGAAGATAAGCTACCTGGAGTATGCTGCACAGTTGTGGTGTGTATAACAGTTTCTACTAAATAACTGTAGACCTACAATCAAAAAAAAAACTTATAGAATTAGTAGGAGTTAAGGAGGATGGGGTAAAGTATAGAACTGGAGAATCTGCTATATGCATTATGAATGCATATAGCAGGGGAGAGTAATCTCCCCTGAAGGCATAGATTACGTAGAACTGTGGGCCTTGGAACCCACCAACGACCCTCAGAAGCTGTGGGGAATCTGTTATTGCTCGTGGTTTCTGTGGGGATGTTGGTGGGTTTCGGGCTTTGGGTAGTGGTTGTGGTGGGTGTTCTACCTATTTTATGCCTTTGGCCAAACTGTGCAAAGTTAAATATTGATTCATTGAATTTACAGTTTCATAATTTTGGAAAGTTTAAAGGGTTTTTCGGTTCCATAAAAAAAAGAAAATTTGTTTTAGTTTTTTGAATTTTAATGGGAATTCCTTTTGGCCAATTTAAGAAAAATAATAAAAGCCTTTGTTTTTAAAATTTATCCGAAAGGATTTTAAATCTGAATTGGTATATTAAAGGAAGGGGGGTTTTTAAATTTTGGGAAAGTAAAAGGGTTTAAATTACCGGGGGTTAGAAACCTTTAAAATAGGTGCGGGGCTTGACTGATTCTAGGTTGGGGTTAGGGGGATAGGGAGGAAGGTATAAATAAAACAGGAATAATAGTTAATTGTTGGCGGGATACGGCAGAGCTCCAGTGGTTTGTAAACCGAGGTTAGGACTGGTTTGGGGATGAGTGTGGTAAATACAAAATCCTTAAGGGGAAAAAACTATTTTAATGTTTATATTTGGAGTTGAAGGGGGTGTCTTTGTACAGCGGGTTCTTAAAAAAGGTTTCAAGTACCCTCCCTTTTTGGTAAAATGTTGCCAAATTGCCGTGTGAAAACCTTTATTTGTTATGTATTTAGTCATATTTACCCAAATAAAATTTCAATAGGAAAAAGATTGGGTGGGGAGCGGTAAACACTTGAGAAATGACTACCGCAATCAGGTTTGATACAGAGCAGAGTATGAAAGTTTTAAAGACTTAAAAAATTTTTTTTTTCTAGTTAATACCCCCTTAAATATATATACCCCCTATAAGGGTGGGTTTGGCTGGGTTTTATGTATTGTTACGGAGTTTATTGCAGCAAAACCCCTTGACAGCAACTTGGGGGAAAACAAGGGGGGTGATCATGTCCCCTTTGTTAAAATTTCCTAAAACCTTTTTTACATAACTAAAACAAGGTCATAAAATTTAGAAATTTTTTTGAGGTATAAACTACTAATAATGGCGTACTATATCCGCCTGTTACTACTATTCTTATAGGGTTGGGTAGGTAATTTTTTTTTTTTTTCCCCTAGCTTAAACCCCCCAATTGTGGAATGTTTTCTTCTGACAAATACGGCAGTTGCTTTGTATTATTTTTTTTTTTTTTTGTGCCTTGAAAATTTGTTTGCGTATAAAGAAAAAATTAATTTATTTAAATTTTTTTAGTTTATCGAATCTTGTAGTTGAAAATTCTCTGTTTTGGGCTGCTGTGTGGGAAGGTCGTGTGGGGGGGCCCCGTGTGGGAAGGTCGTGTGGTGGGACGCTGTGTGGTGAAGGTCTTTGGGGGGGTGTGTGTGGGAAGGTCGTGGGTGGGGGGTGTGGTGAAGGCTGTGGTGGGAGCTGCTGTGTGGGAAGGTGGGTGGGGCTTGTGTGGGAAAAGGGGTGTGGGGGGAGCGCTGTTGGTGAAGGGTGTGTGGGGGCGCTTGTGGGAAGGCGGTGGTCGGGTGTTGGGGAAGGTCGTGTGGGGGGCGGGTGCTGTGTGGGGAAGGGGTTTGGGGGGGGGGGTGTGTGTGGTGGGGGTGTGGGGGGGCGTGTGGGTGAAGGCCCTGTGGTGGGCGGGTGCTGTGTGGGAAGGGGTGTGGGGGGCGCTGCTGGGGGAAGGCCGTTTTGGTGGGCGGGTGCTGTGTGGTGAAAGGGTGGGTGGGCGGGTGGTGTGGGAAAAGGGGGGGTGGGCGGGGGCCGTGTGGTGGGCGTGGGTGGGCGTCTGTGTGGGGAAGGTCGTGTGGTGGGGAGTGCTTGGGGGGGTTTGGGGGGGGGCGCTGCTGTTGGGGAAGGCGTGTGGGGGAGTGTGTGTGGGAAGGCGTGTGGTGGGAGTCTGTGTGGGGGTTTTGGGGGGGGGTGTGGGTGGGTTTTTTTTTTTGGGGGTGGGGGGGTGGGAAATCTTTTGGGCGGGCCGGGGTAACCTGTTGGGGGGTTGGGAACCGGGGGGGGCCTGCGTTTAAGGGGGTTTCCCCTTTTTGGGGGGCCTTTTGGGGGTTTTTAAGGGGTTTCGGCTTTTGGGAAACCGGGGGTTTTTTGGGGGGAAGGGTTGGGGCTGGGGGGAAGGGGGGGGCGCTTGGGTTTTGGGGGGGGGGTTTGGGGGGGGGTGGGGTGTGGGGGGAAAATTTTTTTTTTTTTTTTTTTAATTTTTTGTTTGGTGGGAGTGTGGTGGTGAAGGTTGTTGGGACTTTTTTTTTTTTTTTTTATCTTTTGGGGAGGTGTTTGGGGGGGTCGGTGGTAATCTTTCACCCTTTTTAAGGGGTTTGGGGGGCATCAATTTTGGGGCACCTTTTTAAAAAGGGTTTTGGGGGATGTTTTGTAACCTTTGGGGAAGGGGGTTTAATTGGGGGGGGGGGCTTTTTAATTTTGGGGGTCGGTTAAAAAAGGCCTTTCATTTTGGTTAAAAAATTTTGGGGGGGGTCGGGGGAAGCCTTTCACTGCTGTTGAACCCCTTTTTTCGGCCTTTTTGGGGGGTTTTCCCGGTTGGGAAAAAAGGGGGGGGGACCCCTTTTTGAAACCTTTTCACCTTTTTAACCTTGGGGGCTTTCATGTTTTAACCTTTTGGGCACTAATCTCGAGTGTTTTACCCCAAACCCAAAACTTTTTAAAAAAAAAAGATACCCTACTTTATTTATACCTTTAAAAAAAATTTAAATATTATTAATTCCCCAAAAAATTTTTTTAAAATAATTTTCAAACGATTTTTAAAAACGCCTGAAATTGGATAAAAAGTTTTTTAAAAACAAATTTTAAACTGGATTTTGGGCGGGGTTGGGGGGAAATTAGGGGCCCCATTTTACCCCCCAGGGTAAAAGGGGCCCTGCCCGGGGGGGGTCCGGGTTTTTTTTGGGGGGGGGGGGGGGGGGGGGGGGCCGGGGGGGGTTTGGGGGGAAAAGGTTTTTCGGTGGGGGGTTGGGGGGGTGGGGGGGTAGGTAAAACTTTTTTTTTTTTTTTTTTTAAAAGGGGGAAAAATACAAAAAAGGGGGGAAAAACTAAAAGGGTTTGAATCATAAAACCCACCAAACATGAACTTGAGATAACACAAATATCCCTCCTCACCCATACATGAAAACCCCTACACCTATGATAACCAATAAACGACTAATTCCAAATGCAATTGTTATATGATTAACAAAACACACCATAATATGCATATATTGTCACTTTGTAAATTATAAAGTAGGACACCTTATACGTTAAATACAATTAACGTAATGTATTGAGAATAAGGTAAAAACAATATGTTCATCAAACACAGAATATATTAATAAACAAGGATCCAACACACTGACACCTCTACAAGCATCTAAACAGCATATGAATAACATACATAGAACAATGTCCCACTGCAAAATCAAACACATATATTGAGTACACTCGTCACAAACCATGAATACACATCATACGCCCAAGTTCATACACATTCACCCGCTACATACAGGAGGCGACCCCGTTTCCACCCCTGACAGCCCATCAACATAACACATTGTACCATCCCTACCCTGCCCCACCCACCTAATTTACAATTTTAATAAAACCTCTAATGTAAGGTCTCTATATCCCTCAGAGAATGCCCGCTCCCACCTCCTCCCATAAAGTTCTCTATTACGGCACAACGTTTTATAAACCGTAACAGCCAATACCCTACTCTTCACCTCACTTACCCCTTTCCCCCTCATTCCCCACATTATGTAAACATAATCTACCATAATGTACCCCACAGCCCTAATAATACTTTCATCCATACCCCCCACATCAAGACTCAATGCCCGCAGAACAGAGAAGTATTGACCACTTATCCTATGCAACTTGGTAATTATTAAGGGACTAACACATCCACATCCCCGCCAAAGGCGCTGGATAATCATACGGGTTTAGCGCTTATTATTATAATACATTCAGGCTAGATGTAACTACATTGGGTTGGTAGCGCACTCAGCTCACACATTGAGGTCCGTTTACCTGGAGAGAGTCCCGGGGGTCAACGCCCCCGCGGCCCGGTCTGTGACCAGGCCTCATGGTGGATCAGGGCCTGATCAACCAGGCTGTTACTGCTGGCCGCGCGTAATCCAACGTACGAACCACAATCCGGCTGGTCAGGTACTGACTTAAGGTGCTTGTCCAGCGCCTGCTTGAAGACAGCCGGGGGTCAAACCATACCACAGGTGGGGTTAGAACCCGTGGTATGGTTTGTTTGCAATCGTGTCATTACGATTTCGTCAGTCATGTAGTCACCCAGGGGTCTGGTGGTAATCCCCCTGATGTAAGGAGTAGATGTAAAATAGAAAGGGACAGGCGCTCCCTTTACAGGCGACGGAAAAGAATAACAGAGCGGCTAAAAGAGGTCAATATATCTGAAATACGTAGGGAGACACTGGTCAGAGAAATAGCAAGCATCGAACTTAAGCTAAAAGAATCCTTTAGGAGTCAGGAATCGCGGGAAGAACTAAAAGCCATAAATGAAATCGAAAGAAACCCAAAGTATTTCTTCTCCTATGCCAAATCAAAATCGAGAACAACGTCCAGTATTGGGCCCCTACTTAAACAAGATGGGTCCTACACAGATGACAGCAAGGAAATGAGTGAGCTACTCAAGTCCCAATATGACTCAGTTTTTAGCAAGCCGCTAACCAGACTGAGAGTCGAAGATCAAAATGAATTTTTTATGAAGAGAGCCACAAAATTTGATTAACACAAGCCTATCCGATGTTATCCTGACGCCAAATGACTTCGAACAGGCGATAAATGACATGCCCATGCACTCTGCCCCAGGGCCAGACTCATGGAACTCTGTGTTCATCAAGAACTGCAAGAAGCCCCTATCACGAGCCTTTTCCATCCTATGGAGAGGGAGCATGGACACGGGGGTCGTCCCACAGTTACTAAAACCAACAGACATAGCCCCACTCCACAAAGGGGGCAGTAAAGCAACAGCAAAGAACTACAGACCGATAGCACTAACATCCCATATCATAAAAATCTTTGAAAGGGTCCTAAGAAGCAAGATCACCACCCATCTAGAAACCCATCACTTACACAACCCAGGGCAACATGGGTTTAGAACAGGTCGCTCCTGTCTGTCTCAACTATTGGATCACTACGACAAGGTCCTAAATGCATTAGAAGACAAAAAGAATGCAGATGTAATATATGTAGACTTTGCAAAAGCCTTCGACAAGTGTGACCATGGCGTAATAGTGCACAAAATGCGTGCTAAAGGAATAACAGGAAAAGTCGGTCGATGGATCTATAATTTCCTCACTAACAGAACACAGAGAGTAGTCGTCAACAGAGTAAAGTCCGAGGCAGCTACGGTGAAAAGCTCTGTTCCACAAGGCACAGTACTCGCTCCCATCTTGTTCCTCATCCTCATATCCGACATAGACAAGGATGTCAGCCACAGCACCGTGTCTTCCTTTGCAGATGACACCCGAATCTGCATGACAGTGTCTTCCATTGCAGACACTGCAAGGCTCCAGGCGGACATCAACCAAATCTTTCAGTGGGCTGCAGAAAACAATATGAAGTTCAACGATGAGAAATTTCAATTACTCAGATATGGTAAACATGAGGAAATTAAAACTTCATCAGAGTACAAAACAAATTCTGGCCACAAAATAGAGCGAAACACCAACGTCAAAGACCTGGGAGTGATCATGTCGGAGGATCTCACCTTCAAGGACCATAACATTGTATCAATCGCATCTGCTAGAAAAATGACAGGATGGATAATGAGAACCTTCAAAACTAGGGATGCCAAGCCCATGATGACACTCTTCAGGTCACTTGTTCTATCTAGGCTGGAATATTGCTGCACACTAACAGCACCTTTCAAGGCAGGTGAAATTGCTGACCTAGAAAATGTACAGAGAACTTTCACGGCGCGCATAACGGAGATAAAACACCTCAATTACTGGGAGCGCTTGAGGTTCCTAAACCTGTATTCCCTGGAACGCAGGAGGGAGAGATACATGATTATATACACCTGGAAAAACCTAGAGGGACTAGTACCGAACTTGCACACGAAAATCACTCACTACGAAAGCAAAAAAGTTGGCAGACGATGCACCATCCCCCCAATGAAAAGCAGGGGTGTCACTAGCACGTTAAGAGACCATACAATAGGTGTCAGGGGCCCGAGACTGTTCAACTGCCTCCCAGCACACATAAGGGGGATTACCAACAGACCCCTGGCAGTCTTCAAGCTGGCACTGGACAAGCACTTAAAGTCGGTTCCTGACCAGCCGGGCTGTGGCTCGTACGTTGGTTTGCGTGCAGCCAACAGTAACAGCCTGGTTGATCAGGCTCTGATCCACCAGGAGGCCTGGTCACAGACCGGGCCGCGGGGGCGTTGACCTCCGGAACTCTCTCCAGGTAAACAGTCTGGGGCCCCTGACACTTACTGTGTTGTCTCTGGGGTTCCTACATCGGTTTACGTGCAGCCAACAGTAACAGCCTGGTTGATCAGGCCCTGATCCACCATGAGGCCTGGTCACAGACCGAGCTGCGGGGGGCGTTGACTCCCGAAACTCTCTCCAGGTATTACAATTGACCACAATTTAAGACAAAGTTGAAATAATTTGAAGTTTGAGGAAATTATTAAATAGCTGAACAGTCATCGAGCATAATTTACAATAATGGAATATTACAATTTAGTACCAAAATAATGGAGCATAATTAATAGTGTGTAGATAGACCCGGCCGAGGGTCACTCACCTGTGGTTGCAGGGGTCGAGTCACAGCTCCTGGCCCCACAAGTGTGTTTGTGTCAAATTATTTAACTAATAGAGGAAATTATTTGTGTGTTTAGTGAATCATGTTTCAAGTATTTTGTGGATTATTAGTTCCAATGTTCACATTGGTTTAGATATTTCTTTTGTTCATATTATGTTCTTATAGAGTTGTACATATTACTTATGTCTGGTTTAAGGGAGTTTGACCTAATTAAACGTTTCCGAATTTCTTTTAACAGTGATAGCTATTTTATTGACAATAATATAAAGATTTTTATTTTTGGATCAAAACTATCAGAAACCTCACGTAACCCCAGTTATTATTATTATTATTATTATTATTATTATTGTTATTATGGAGGGTGTTAAAAGGGATCATTAATGTAATAATCAGTTGTTACTTGAAATAACATTGTACACTGCAGGTGATGTGTGGGCCCCTGCGGGTTTAACACCCCTCCCCTATGAATATAATAAGGTACCGTGGACACATACATTATGAAGGCTTAACTTAGTGTAACTTTCTAGTGTAATAATGTGGCTGGGTTGGTAGCGCACTCAGCTCACACACTGAGGTTCGTGATTCGATCTCCTGCACGGCTGGAAACATTAGGACACCTGCTCTCCATGTTCACCTAGCAGTAAATAGGTACCTGGGTGTTAGGCGACTGGTGTGGGTGGCATCCTGGGGACAAAATTAACCTAATTTGCAGGAAATTATCTGCATAACAAGGTACTTTCTATATAGTAGTATGTCATTGATGTCAGCTATGGTCTGTATAAGTTGTATCATGTACTGGTAGAAGTGAACATTATTATTGTATTAATGTTGGTAGAATTACTCATAATATTGTTAGGTAAAAGGATAAGTGCAGGTAATGTGGCATTTTTATTGTAGCAACGTTTCGCTCTCCAGGAGCTTTATCAAGCTGTTACAAACAATACATGAACATAGAGGGTATATATACCCTCTGTGTCCATGTATTGTTTGTAACGGCTTGATAAATCTGGAGAGCGAAACGTTGCTACAATAAAAATGTCACATTACTTGCACTTGTGTCCTTTTACCTACCACACAGATTATTATGGTGTGTATACCTTGTATACACACCATAATAAAATCTTGTAGAAATATTATATTATTATTACCATCACTATTACCTTGACACTTACAATGATTGTGATGGATTGAATCTATTTTTCTCTCCCTTAAGTAGATTATTATAACAGTAGAATGGAAATAAGTCTGACTTTTTGGGTTATCATGGAGGGTGATTTTTATTATGTATGATAATTGAAGTTATATGTGCTTGTGCCTAAATAAATTTAGTCACTCAGAGTTTAAAAAAATTATGTGGTGAAAACATTACTAAAGATGAATCTATAACTAGGCAATTATACCCCTCAAGGGAGGTTCCTTGATGCTGGTGAGGGGCTCTTGATCTAGGGAATTGGATCTGTGCTCCAGTTCCTTGAATTAATCCTGAATACACCATACCCCCGGCCGGGATTGAACCCGCGGTCATAGAGTCTCAAAACTCCAGCCCGTCGCGTTAGCCACTAGACCAGCTAGCCACAATAAGATTCATCCAACTAGGTATATTTCTACACCATAGGAAAGTTAGCACAGGCACCTCTGTGACCACAAATGCAAGTTTTTACAGACGAATCTCCAGCTAGCGTGGCCGTGACAAACTCTAGCTCAAGTCCCTTCACTGCCGTCAGTCAGTCATTACGATTTCTTAAGTCAGTAATCCTGAATACCTTCCATCCCCCTCCCCCCACAGGCACTGTATAATCCCTATGGGTTTAGCGCTCCTCCATGGTTCTAATAATAACAGGCAATTGTACACCGCAGTGTATTTAAAGATGCTAATATATTTTTTAACGAATTCCTTATAGTTCCATGTGATAATTGTCTATATAGAACTGAAGAGTTATAGAAGCTAATGTTAATATAACTTACAGAGAAGTGGGGAAGACAGTGAAAAGATGAAGAAATAATCAAGTGGTGAAGATGTCGTTGTGTTCACAGCAGGATGACCGTAACTACAAGCTGATCGCCAAGACTGACAATGCCAAGAACATTCTACAAGTGCTGAGAGCTGTCAACTTCAGAGAGGTGCGGACTGTGGGGGATTAATGGGGAGTGTGAGGTACTGAGAGATGTAGGTGGGTGAGAGGTGTGGGTGAGTGGGAAATGTGGGTGGGTAGAGTGGCAGGTGAAAGGTGTGGGTGAGTGAGAGTGAGTAACAATTATTGGCAGGTGAGAGGTGTGGATGGGAGATATAAGCAGGTGAGAATGAGTGAGGTGTATGGGTGAGTGGGAGATATAGATAGGTGAGAGTGAGTAATGTGGATGGATGGGTGAAGTGTGTGGATGAGTGGGAGATGTAGGTGGGTGAAAGGTGAGAGTAATGGTTGTTGGCAGGTGAAGTGGCTGAGTGGTTTGAGTAATGGTTGTGGACACAGGTATTTTATTGTTACATTCACTGTGGAAATGCTAATCCCATAGGGGTGACGTAGTGCCTTGTGGGAATAGGAGGCAATCAAGTTTGATGCAAGGAAAGGGAAGTTAGGTCCAATTCCTGGATCAAGAAACTGTAATTGCCTGTAAAAAGGCTTGTATTACACAACAGTAATGTTTGTCACTTCATACTCATCTAATGTTAAATTTTGCAAAAAAAATTATTCTCTTAAAGTAATTTTTTGGTATACATACTGTATCTATTTCAACAGTCAGCTACACTGTTTGCGACTGCCAATGGACTGAAGGTGACAGTAGAGGAGGCAAAGTGTCTCCAAGCTAATGCATTCATCCAATCGGAACTGTTTCAGGTGAGGCAAAAGATGTTTTGGTTCTTTCTGTTTCCATATTTTTAATTAACAGTTTTTGCACTAACACTTTTATGTTCAAACATCCTCACAGAATGAATGTGGACAGTAGTAACATATTTACTCAATTCTGCTCATCATATTTAGTTTGTGTGATGATACATAATAGCTTAGTTTTAATTTTAGTTAACTTTATTTGAGGGCAAGTTTTCAGGTTACCCTATATTTATTTTTTTATATGAATCAAAAGAAATATGGATGAGGACTCGAACCATAATCCTGGCATGTAGCAGCTCAACACTTTACCACTGAATTATGATGCTTACAGATATTGAGAAAATTTTACAGATTTTTATTTAATCAATTATAAAGTTAGCTTCAATGTTACAAATATATGCATAAGCTAAACAAAACACAAGGCCAAAAATTTTGAAAATACAATATTGGCAGTTGGTGACCTATGTTGTCTGCAGCTGTGGAGTGAAAATCATGAGGCTTGATATAGCCAGAATTTTTTCTGTAAATTTTGTTTACATAACACAATAGAAACAACACCCTGGAATTAGCAGTTGACTGTAGATTGTAGTGTTTTGAGAACTCATAATATCTTAGAGCTCAGGATCAACAATAATTGTTATAATGTGCAGGAATACAAAATCCAGGAAGAAGTGACATTTAAGGTGGACCTGAATGTGTTAGTGGAGTGTCTGAGCATCTTTGGAGGAAGTATCTTTGGGGGAAGTTCTACTCCATCCCTAAAGATGTGTTATGGGGGACACGGCTCTCCTCTTATACTTCTGTAAGTGTCGTGGTGCTTTTGGTTGTTTAAGGAAAGGTATAGAGGGAAAGATGTAAGCAAATAGATTGTTAGTTAACTAGATATAATCCATCAGATCCTGAGAGAAGTTATCAGTGATGAAGTTAAATGATAGTAATTTTTAATGTAAAATGTGGATTTTTGCATAGCACTCATGACAAGTTATATAAATTCAAAAAAGACCTGGCATTAGAGGTTATAATTGTCTTTGGTTTCTACATTCACTGTCACTTCTGTTATTCTCACATTTAAAATGGCATGAAATTTTACAAATTGCTTGGGACAGTTAACTGGGTATGTAACATAACTTTTCCATCTATGGACATAGCTCTTCTATTAACAGTTGTAATTTGTGTCTGTCTATGGCCGTAGCTTTTCTACCTTTAAGGCAACTTGCCTATATGTCTTACCTAGCTAGTGGATTGAACATGGGTGCTTCTAGTTGTGAGCTGAGTTAGCAGTCAACACAAATGCTTGGCATGGAATACAGCATTAAGTCAAGGGCTTCCTGTCTCCAATACAGGTATATAATATGCAGTGGTAGCAGTGCAGTGTTCCCTTGAGTTATGATGGGCTTTAGTCATGATAATTTTGAGTTACCTTCATAAAGGAACTTAGATTTGAGTTGTGATACTATATGTAGGTAACTGTTGGGGCACATGTGGATGGGCCTCAGCTCAGAGACAAAGGAGAGTGGTGAAGTCTTAAATGGAGTAGTGGTGAAGGATGTGTTGGAGGTGAATGGATGGAGTGTTGGTGGCTGGTGTGTTGAAGGTGAGTGGGAGGAAGGCAGCCAGACATGGAAGGGAGAGTGTGTGTGTACCAGACAAGGGCACAGGGAGACTGGGACAACAAGAGTGTAAATGCATATCTTAGATTGAGATTTAGATTCTTTAATTCAAATTCCTGCATACCTTTATTTTCACTTCCTGTTATTATCTTGACTAAGTAATCACCCAAACTGTAATTCTTACAACTAGACTTAAGTTTTGCCTGTAATGCTGTGCATCCTATGGGGTCTATTGTATACTTGTAATGCAGTAATAAGAAATAATCTCAATCTCAATACACTATATACAGTTATCAAAAAGCCAGTGGGATGCACAGCAGTTTGGTTAAAACTTAAGACTAGTTTTAGGAACTACATAGTTTAATTTTGAATCCATTAAGGGTCTGTACAAGGTATTATCAGGAAAATAAAAAATAATGCAAGTTAAAAGATAATTCATAAAAAAAAATGTAATTGAATTGAAACATATGATACAGTTTGCCAGGGAAGGAAAAAAAAAAGCAGAAAAGTAAAGAAGGATGAATAATGTTGAATATAGAATATTGCAGTCAGAAATCACATTAAGGTAAGGAGGTACTTTTTTAAGAGTAGCTTTGATGGGGTTGGCATATAGGGATCCTTTGGAATCTTTTGGCAGAGAGTTCCTTCTATGCTCAGTTGATAGAACAGAAGGGAAACTAGCAAAATAAATAGTATTCCTTTTGTTCTAGGAATTAGGTCAAATTGTGCAATAGAATTGACTTAACCCTTTCAGGGTCCGTCCCGTAGATCTACGGCTTTACGTTCAGGGTCCAAACCGTAGATCTACGCCATGAGCTCAGCTCACTCTGATAAACTGTGAGTGGTACATTTGGGCCTAGATATGAGAGAATACATATATGTGGTATGTGTGCACCACATAAAACAGATCCTGCAGCACACTGTGTATAATGAGAGAAAAAAATGAAATCATGATTTTTCGATTAAAACAGCAACTTTGCAGTGTTTTTTCGTATGTTTTTTATAGTTGTATTTGCGATTTCTTGGTCTCATTTGATAGAATGGAAGACATATTACAGAAATAGAGATGATTTTGATTGGTTTTAGCACTGGAAATGGCTTGAAACTGAGCTCAAAGTAGCAGAAATGTTAAATTTTTGTCGATATTCAAGAGTAAACAAACGACCTCATACGTCTAATACACGTCAGCTGGTGGGTCTAATATACATTCACAAATATGGTGATGATATTTATACAATTATTACAGTATTGCATAACAGTAAATCTCCTATTTTTTGGTGTGAATAAAAATTCATTATGTGAATAAAAAATCAAAATGGAATTTATTTGTAAAGCCTCAAAACATAACTAATGAACAGAGGAAATGTTAGTTTAGTGCCAGGAATGCCTACATTGTTCATTCTGGACCCTATTTTGAAATTGGAATATTTTGAACTTTGTGTTAAATTGGCCAAATTAACAATTTCCGATCACTTTATTTTGTAGTTGAAACAGTTGACTTGGCGATTTCTTGTGCTCAATCGATAGAATAGAAGTAATACTAGTGAAATAGCTAAGAATTTGGTTGATTGGAATAATGTAATTGGCCTAAAATGGGAGTCAAAGTCGGCAAAATCGCCGATTCGTAAATATCGCTGACACATCAAAATTCGCGAGAGCATAATTTCGTCAGTTTTCCACCAAATTTCGTACTTTTTGTTTTATTACCTTCACAAAAAGATTCTCTACGATTTCATAAGAAAAAATAACAAATTTTTTTTTTGAAAATTCTTGGACACTGGTGCGTGACTCCAGATTTGGGCCTTGGACCCTGAAAGGGTTAAAATAGGAGTCAAAATGGGTGAAATCACTGATACGTAAATTGCACCCAGACTGCCAACTTAGTCTTCATGATTCCACGAGCTTCCTATCAAATTTCAAAAAAAGATTCTCTGCTATTTCAGAAGATAATTCTTTATTAAATTGTGACACTATCAGCATTTTTTATTTTGGGGCCATGACAGTGAAAGGGTTAAGAGTGAATATTTTAATGAGCTTATCATTAACAATGCTAAGAGAAACTGGATCCAAATGGGAAATGACAGAAGTTACCTGCCAACAGCACAGGTTAAAGTACCTGAGATGCATTGGAAAGGTCACTGATGTAGATTAGGAAAAGCAGAGGGGCTAAGGACACTACCTATGTTAATAGGTTGAGGTGACGAGGTTGTCATAGATGGAGAGAGAGTGTCTGTCATTAAGGTAGGACTTTAAATATGCAACATTATGACTCTTGATACCATAATATTCTAATTGAAGAAGCAGAATGTTGTGCTTTACAGTAGTGTGTATATGAAGAGGCCCAAAAGATGAATAAATTAAGTCGAGCCTTTTTATTATTGCATCGTTTGTACAGTTTTCCGGCCTGAAACCAAACTGACAGAGGTTAAGTATATTGTGAAACTCTAAGAAAAAGTAAACCTGTTTATGAATTAGTTTCTGAAAGATTTTAGATAATGGTAAGTTAGATATTTGCCTATAGTTGTTGACTTCAGTTGGATCTCCATATTTATGTATTAGGGTAACCTTTGCCATCTTAAGTATGGTTGGAAAAGTTTTGGTTTCAAATGATTCGTTTAACTGTGTTGCAGTGGTGGGGTGTAGCACAAGCTGTTTTCTTATACATGAATGAGGGTAAATTAACTAAGTTTCCTGCTTTGTTTTTCTGAAATTATTGTTAAGGTAACCTCAATAGGATTTGTTGGTGACAGATATAGAAAGTTTGGGAAATTTCAAGTGAGGTAGTCACTAGTTTGGAGGTTGGAATTTTATTTTATATTTTTGCAGAAAAATGCTAACCTGCATTAATTTCCTGAATGTTAGGAAACTCTCTGCCAATGTCATTGAGTGCTGTACTGAAGTTATTAAATGATGTCTTATCATAGAGTCGGAGTGAGATCTTACAGGTTCAAGTAGTAATTTACATGCGTTGGTTACAAGGAAGGTGAGGTAATGGTCACCCCATACCCATTCTTTGGGTGGTAGTCAGTAGATAACAGAGGCATATAAAGGGTCCATGGGATGTGACTTAACATTTTGTTACCTAAGTAATATATCATAGTAATGGACTGTTACAGATTAGATTTAGTAAGAATACTTTGGGAAACCGGTTATTTTCATATAGTCGGACTTGAGTCCTGGAAATGGGAAGTACAATGCCTGCACTTTAAAGGAGGGGTTTGGGATATTGGCAGTTTGGAGGGATATGTTGTGTATCTTTATATGTGTATGCTTCTAGACTGTTGTATTCTGAGCACCTCTGCAAAAACAGTGATAATGTGCGAGTGTGGTGAAAGTGTTGAATGATGATGAAAGTATTTTCTTTTTGGGGATTTTCTTTCTTTTTTGGGTCACCCTGCCTCGGTGGGAGACGGCCGACTTGTTGAAAAAAAAAAAAAAAAAAAAAACTTTGGGGTTTGTTATACATTGATTTAATTAAGCCACACATAACAGTGATTCATATTCAATATGTAACACATTCAGCATGTTAAACAAAATTATTTGCAGATTGGAGGAAGCTGGAGCTCTTACGGACTGTAGCATCTGCACTCTGGAGGCTGACGACACCTTAGATTTCAATTTTTGTAATTCAGGTAATGGTTTTGTTCTGCATTAGTGTGCAGTGAGCTATTCCCAAAGGGGTACCTTTAAGTGGTTGCCTTAATTTAATGGATGATGTGTTGCATTCAGTATTATTCTTTTTACATCCTTCAGTATAATGGGTGGCTGCCTTATCCCATAAGGAATAAAGGCATCTCTTTCTGAGATTGTGCAGTGACTGTACTTTAGCTAGTCAACATAAATTTATACAAGGGACCAAACTGTGCCCAGCATAAATAGTGTGGGATTTTCTTTTTCTTTTTGTAGTTCTATTTAGAAAAATTGACTTTCAAACTAGATTTTTTTTTGCTTCAAAAATTTGCTTTACACACACATACGAAATAGAAAAAGGGAGTCTGCCAGGTTAATTTAAAAATGTGACACAGCCTCTGTACTTGAAGATAATTACACACACATGAGACATACATCATAAGTTTTGTGGTTCACATGATACTTTTAGACTCTCTCAAAGTTGTTAGATGTGTGCATCTCTTCAAGCATGTTTTCCTACTTGCCATTCTACATGAATACTCCCTCTTACTGTTGCCTTCCTCTCGTTTATATATGTATTGATTGTACTTAATGAATGGATGAGCTTCACTGAATATTTATGACCTCTCTTTTCCTTTGCTGTTTTTCTTATCCTTTCCATGTGAGTGCTTCCCATCCCATGAAAGTTAGAAATAGAATGATAAAACTGCATTGCAGGGATACAACCTCTGAGTAAAGTGACTTGTGAAAAGATTACCAGATTCCATCTGGTACCCTTCTTGAAACTGGGCACTGTCTTTACCAATCAAATTCTCATGACTTGTGTACTTACACAAAAAAATATTTACTTGTGTGATATTGTGTGTTCTCATTTCATATTTTGGTATTGGTAATGATAAATGCAATATGTCCATTCTACATGCCTTTTTTTTTTTTTTTTAGGCGTTGTAAACAAAGTGATCATGCGCTCGGACTGCCTTAAAGAAATCTTTTCTGAGCTCGATACATCAAGTGACGTTTTGGAGATTGTCATGACTCCCAATCCTCCTTATTTTCGTTTTTCCACCATTGGCAGCTATGGAACAAATCGTGTAAGTTTTATTAAGTACTTGTTTCACACTGCCCTTTGTGCTTTAGTTGTGTATTTTTTTAAATTACTGAGGTGCCTGTAAGGACCTTGGGACTTTTTGTAACTAAGGTAGGATATCTTAGCCTTACGTTTTTGTATTTTTTCTTTTACTGAGTGCTTGTTGATGTGACTTAATATTACTTTTGGAGTAATATTGAACTGAAACCTAATTTCAAGAGGATTAAAGAACAAGTAAATAATGATGTAATAATGGTTAGAGATTTAATTCATTAAGACAGTTAACAAGATTCTAATTTATCTAGCAAGTTATTCCACACTTTTGGCACCTTTCTTACAGCACTGTATGACCTTTTTGGGTTTAGCACTTAGTTTGATTATGTTATTATTTTGACCCTTTTATTTTTATAGCCATTCTATGGCTATACAAATATTAAGAAGATATTTGTTTTGTGTGTTAATTTTGCATTATGATTATTAATTTAGGGGGGGTACTTAACCCAGAGGGGTCATACAGCACCTGGGGAATTGGGAGGCAGTTAGGTTTGATCCAAGGAAAGGGAGGTCAGATTTAATTCCTTGGATTAAGAGCCAGCATCCCTGAAGGGGTACAGTCTTACAGGCAGTGTCATAGGTGAAGCTAGGACAATGTGCAATGAACAATGAAGAACAAGGCATAATACCATGACTGTAACAATATACAAATAACCCGCACATAGGAGAGAGGAGCTTACGATGACATTTTGGCCCGACTTGGGCCACTTACAAAGTCACACTGTAACTTTGTAAATGGTCCAAGCTCCTCTCTCCTATGTGTGGGTTATTTGTGCAATGAACAGTACTATGCATGATGTTAGAGTAACATGTAGTAGGTTTAGGGATGTCAGTAAGGACATAGTGTGTGTGTGTGGCCAAAAATTTGAAAGCTGCCTTACATTGTGTGTGATTTGTAGACTTTTGGTTTATTCTTAAAAGATTTTTCTATATTAAGGGTGTGTTCATTTGTTACATAGCTTTCAGTTTGTGATTAATTTTTCTTTTCAGACTGACATTTCCAAAGACAGTGATCTGATAGAAAACTTTGCTTGCACCCGGACAATGACCCATCAGTACAAGCTGGCTCTGCTCCGACCTTTGTCGAAGGCTCTCATGGCGGCGTACAAGGTTTCTGTCAGGATGGATGATCGTGGTTTCCTCTGCCTCCAGTTCATGATTAAAACAGAGGATAATCATGTCTGCTTTGTGGAGTTTTTTGTGAGTTATTACTGTTATTATATTCAAGGGGAATTACTTAACTGCCAAGGAATGGAAATATTCTGGTCTGATCTGAGGAAAGGGGGTTGTTTCAATTCCTTGGATTAAGATGCCTTCACCAGCATCATTATACCGGACTTGTAAGGTGTTGTATTAAACCCTAAGCATGCAGGGAGATATGTGACATCAGTGACACTGGAAGCAGTGCCACATATATTTTTATTTTAAACAAATAATTGTCACAATTATATTAACCTTATAATGGCAGGTTGAGTTTTACCTCTTGATTGACAAATGTTTGATACATAAGGGTTTAGCATTTTTTGTGAATAGTTTGTTAAATCTTCCTATAAAGTTTTTATTTATATTTTCTTTGTTTCTTACTTTTTATATATATATAGTGCTGCCCTGAAGAGGAGCAGGCTGAATGAGGACATCATTTGCTTCCTGAAGTGTGAGGTCTCCTGATACGAGTGTTTATTTCTGGATCCACAAATATCATCATCACAGAAGTTAAATCACCTGAGGTGGTCTTTTGCCAAGTAATCCAGTTTATGGTTAGATATGGAAAAATTGTTTATCCAACAGTGACATTTCTGGCCTATGTAATGTATTTGTATGTTTAATAGTGAAGTAACACTTTCCATGTTCATAATTATAACTTTTGTACTTTAAAATCTGAAATAAAAAAAATATAAATATTGAGTTTGAATGAAGACGTTTATTATATAAATTGTCAGTAATTAAATATCAACACTTAGGGAACATCACTTTAATGTTACAATCGTGGTTTGTTTGCAAAGTTTCACGTTAAAAAACGTAATTTATATCTTATACAACTTAGAGTTTATTATATTCATGGTTTTTCTTGTCATATATTTATTTCAGTGGAAAATAAGCTAACTTTTGTTCTAGTAATCTAAGCAGGTTTCTATAATATGTATACCATTCATAGGAGAGTAGCACCTTGTTGCTGATTAAGGCTCTTGATCCAAGGAATGTATTGTATATCTAAAGCCACAATTATCCCAGGTCTTTAAGACAGTCACCTTTATATCATTCATGGGAAAAGGGTGATCTAGTAGGGAGTCATACCTGATCAGTTATAGGAAGTTGCTGATACAATTTGCTATAGATTTGCATACTTTACTAACCGTTGAAAAGTGAGTATTGTATCAGTTCTCTAGTAATAAAGTAAATATCATCTGGAGCTATTTTAGTTTGTCCTGTACCAGGAGGGGGAGGTGGTGATTTCAAGACCATTGATAGTGTGTAGATACTAAAAGCAGTAGTTTTATGTTGGTAGTGAGTCTCGGGTTAGGATATGTAGGAGGGTGGGGGATTATTTCTCTGTGAGAGTCGGACTTGGGAATGTGTGAAGTCATCATGGTTAATATATTTACAGATGTGGTAGTAAAAGAAGCGATTACTAGAGTATTGGGGAGGGATGTGAGATTACAAGAAATTAAGTCTAATATAAAGTGAGAGCTATCACAGTTTCTCTGCTAATGATAGAGAAGTTGCAAAGGTTGATGGGAAAGTTTGGGAGGGTGTAAAAGTAAACATAAAGTCCAAGGTGATGAGGGTAACAAAAGTGTTTAGGTATTGATAGATTGGAGGAAGTGAATTTAAGATATTTGGGAGTGACTGTATCAGCAGATGGGTTTATAGAAGCTGAGGTGATCCATAGAATAGAGGGGAAAAAAAGGCAAATGATGTGTTTAGGCATCTGTAGGAGAAATAGTTTATCTATGCAGGGGTAAAAGGGAGGGAGAATGTACCAGAGTATAGTAGTACCAACTCTCTTATATGTGTGATATGCGAGTTTTGAATATTGCAGCGAGGATGTTTGAGGCATTAGAGATGTCGGGTGTAAAGTGAATATTATTCAGAGTATTAAAATTGATGGAAAGATGGTGTGGGGGCACCAAGGGTATAATTCAGAGGGCTGAGGAAGGTTTGTTCAGGTGGTTTGGGAATGTCAAGAAGATGGAGAGGGATAAGATGATAGTGAATATCGAAAATGGTACAAAATACCGACAGGTTGGTAGGTAAGACACACTGGCAACAGTTAGGCAACTTTATTCCAAAACGTTTCGCCTACTCGGTAGGCTTCTTCAGTCGAGTACAGAAAGTAATCAGGAATAGTAGAGATGTGAAGACTATGTAATCAGTCCATCACCTCTGAAGTCTTAGATTTGAGGTTGTCAGTCTGGAGAAGAATTCTGTTCCACAGTCTGAAGAAACAAGTGACAGGGTGGAGACTTGTATAGTACTGTCGGCCGGAGAGGTGCAGAGTGGTAGAAGAGAGAATGTTGTCACTGGGAGGTCACGTCCCTCTCAGATCCAACAATTCTCACTTGAAAGAGTTGTCCAAAGTGTTTTCTCTTCTGTACCAAGATGCCATTGTGTTGCAGTGCCTGACAGAGTGAATATCAAAAATAGTATACTCTTTCAAGTGAGAACTGTTTGATCTGAGAGGGACGTGATCTCCCAGTGACTTACATTCACTCTGCACCTCTCCTGCCGACAGTATATGTCTCCACCCTATCGCTCATTTCTTTAGACTGTGGAACAGAACTCTTCTCCAGGCTGAGGGACTGACGACTTCAAGAATGATGGACTGATTACATGGTCTTCTGCTCCTGCCTACTTTCTGTACTCACTGAAGAAGCCTACTGTATAGGTGAAATATTTTGGAATAAAGTTGCCTAACTGTTGCCCATGTGTCTTACCTACCAAGATGACAGGGAATCTGTAAATCATCAGGGTGTACATCTATATGTAAATAAGAAAAAAATTATGTCAAATTACCTTTATTTAGGTGTATGTGTTCTGCATGTCAGGAGTTATAATAATAATCCCACAAGGGTCATACAGCACTGCACAATTGTGGGAGCACTAATTACACCAGAATTTTTTTTTTTTTTCCCCCAATGTAGGTTTTAGTTGTATGATGACCCTAGCTTGTCCCACCTCTCTCCCACACATAAAGTAACATATTAGGGTAATGTAAAACAAGAATGAATACACCTCTCATTTATTAACACACAACTTTTCATATTAGTTCTTTAAGAAAATATTATTGTGTTTGGATCACAGACTTGTTGATTACGTGGGAGACACAGGCAGAAGACATAAAAGTGACACTTGGGTTTTGTCTTGTCAAACTTGCTGGGCTTCCCAAAAAATATTGCTAGTATACGAAATGTCTCAAATAATACCTCAAGGGATATACAATAGCTATACACACCTTCAAGTATCTCCACACACTATCAAGAAATGACACCATTGCTGCAATGTCTTTAGAAAGTCAAATACTGATGATGTTGTAAAGGGCACACCTTGGATTTGAATGCTGCAACCTATAGATAATGCAAGTTCACATCCAGGAACTGCACTCTCGGTCAGACAAATCACCCAACATTACCAGGGGATGTACTCCTATCCTGATTCTAGAACATATAAGTGCAAGCTTGTAATATTTTATTTCTTTGTGCAAAAAGATAAATTGTGAAGAATTAGACATGTTGTATGTGTCTAATTCTCCATCTTGCCAGTACTGTATACCATTTATGTACAAGATTAGCTGGATTTAAGCATTACTTATTGGGTGCTTTTACCAAGCCAAGGGCAGTCCTTAATCACAATTATAAAAATTAACTTGACAAAAAACTCTCGTCAAAATGCTTGTGATCTACTCTCAAGCACTTCACTGCAGTCACAGGTGCCATGTGCAGTAAACTAGTGGTCGTTTATACTGAGCCTCATTACAGAGATATTACCATCTGGAGCAAACGTAAGGAAAGTTTGTACAAATATCATAACTGCAGGACGTAAGCTGAGTACAGTACTCCATTAACAAAGGCATTTCAGGAAAGGGCAAACATTAGTATATATTGACAAATTTTGCAATATTTTATAAACTGTTCATTAAAAGTCTTGCAAAGCAGCACAAAATTGTAGTATCACCATATTGTAGTCTGGTATGATCATGAAAAGAATTTATTATCCATCTGCACTCAGGTCTCTTTAGAATACTTGCATGATGCATATACAATATTAGATATAATAGTACCTGTACTTGAAACTGGGAGCAATTGCAGATGAGACCAAAGGTATTAATTTTATAATTCTTTTTATATATATAGCACATTAAAGAAAAACAAGTTTACCATATATTACAAATCTTTGTACTGCTTCACTTGAGTATTTAGGTCTCCCCTGTGAAAGAGAATATCAGTGAGGTCCTAAGTATTTGGAATTCCTTAACATGGCTATGAAAACCTGCCAAGAAGCTCTGTTGGTAATGCCTTTGAGGTTGCATTCAGAGAATAGTTGTAAAGCTATAAGGAGAGCTTTGTGGCCCTCTGTGATATAACTCCATCTCTACATTATTATAATCATGGGGGAGTGCTAAACCCATAGGTGCACCTCTACAAGTTGTGTACAGATTTTGGTAGTCAACCTTTCATTTACAAGTTGTGTACACTACACTTTTTTTTAGTAGCTAACCTATCATTACAACATACATTTTCTTGCACTGCTTCAATTTATGAATATTATTTTATTTTGTAAAATATCAGTTTTACAATTGTCTAGGGTAGATAACCATTTACTGTGTATACTGATCTTCAGTGAGCGCATTTACAAAATGGGCGAGACCCATATAACATCACCTTCAAAACATGATGATCATAATATTCTTCATATAGTGTGGTGATACACCCGTTTAGAATATGCACTAGCTCTGACTGATGGCTGTGACCTTATTTGGAGTCCACCAAAATATCCAACCATGAAGAAGCAAACAAGGAAATGGTCTGAGATAATATCAATTGTACCCCTTCTAATTAAATGAATGCAAGAGACACCCAACAATAACTGCCAGAGATACTAATCCCTCTATCACACAAACATACTCGCACATATACACTATGTTCTACCACCCTACACTGTTTTGATTGTACCTCTATACAACAAAGAAAAAATTGTGTAGTCAAGCTCCAACACCATTCTATGGGTTACCTGCTAAAAGTGGCATCAATTTGGACCTACTTGCTACCAGCCCCTAAACAAATTACTATAAATTACTGTGGGAATTTGACATTTATCTCTATTGCAGTACATTCTGTTATGCTACTTTTTGATATGGAATCAAAGTAATATACCTCCTAGACCTAGAGAGAAAAGATAAAGAGAATAATGAAATTCAAGGAAAAGAACAAAGCTCAAGTGATTTAAATAATATAAAAGTCTTTGATTGACTGTTAATATTTGCTCAGAAAGTTTAACGTTAAAGAGAACAGTGATATATATCTTCAAGGGGGTATGCTGAAGGAACTGAAGCTACCCTCCCTTCTTTGGATAAAACCTGATTTTCTTCCATTTTCCAAATATAATGAATAACCAAACCATACCACGGGCGGGGATAGAACCCATGATCAGAAAGTCTCAAAACTCGCGACCATTGCATTAGCCACTGGGCCAGCTAGCCACAATAAGATTCATCCAACTAGGTATATTTCTACACCAGAGGAAGGTTACCATAGGCACCACAAATATACCTAGTTGAATGAATCTTATTGTGGCTAATGCAATGGTCTGGAGTTTTGAGACTTTCTGATCGTGGGTTCTATCCCCACCCGTGGTATGGTTTGTTTGCAATCGTGTCATGTGATTTTGTGAGTTATAATGAATAACCCTTACAGGTTCAGTGCTTCCCCCATACATGTATATAATGATCAGTAGTGATATTCCTTGCATATCCCCCGGATTAAACTTGAGAATTAAAAATTCTAAACACAGTACAGTGGACCCTCGACTAACGCTATTAATCCATTCCTGAGAGCTCATCGTTAGTCAAGTTAATTTTCCCCATAAGAAATAATGGAAATCAAATTAATCCGTGCAAGACACCCAAAAGTATTGAAAAAAAATTTTTTAACATGAAATATTAATTTTAATACACACAAACTGAAGAAGACATGCACAGTTACATGACACTTACCTTTATTGAAGATCTGGTGATGATTGATGGGATGGGAAGAGGGGAGTGTGTTGATGGTCTTAGTGTTTAGAAGGGGAATCCCCTTCCATTAGGACTTGAGGTGGCAAGTCCTTTTTCGGGGTTACTTCCCTTCTTCTTTTAATGCCACTAGGACCAGCTTGAGAGTCACTGGACCTCTGTCGCACAACATATCTGCCCATAGAGGCCTGTACCTCCCGTTCCTTTATGATATTCCTAAAGTGTTTCACAACATTGTCAATGTCACCATTAAACACTTGTTCAGGTTTCAGTCCTTCACTGTCTATGTACTCCTTGAATTCCTGCACATATTTTTCAGCTGTTTTTTGGTCCAAACTGGCAGCCTCACCATGCCTTATCACACTATGTATGCCACTACGATTCTTAAATCTCTCAAACCAACCTTTGCTGGCCTTAAATTCACTCACATCACCACTAGTTGCTGGCATTTTTCTAATTAAATCCTCATGCAACTTCCTAGCCTTTTCACGTATGATCGCTTGAGAGATGCTATCTCCTGCTATCTGTTTTTCGTTTATCCATACCAATAACAGTCTCTCAACATCTTCTATCACTTGCGATCTCAGTTTCGAAAACATAGTTGCACCTTTGGCAAGAACAGCTTCCTTGATTGCCGTTTTCTTGGCCACAATAGTAGCGATGGTTGATTGGGGTTTTGTGTACAGCCTGGCCAGCTCGGAGACATGCACTCCACTTTCATACTTAGCAATGATCTCTTTCTTCATATCCATAGTAATTCTCACCCTTTTTGCTGTAGGGTTGGCACTAGAAGCTTTCTTGGGGCCCATGGTGACTTATTTTGCAGGTGCAATCACTAAAAAGGCTGTGATAATATGAAATGTTCTGATTGTATGCTTGGAAGCGACCGCGGTGGCTGGCTGGCTTGTAAACACTGGCCAGAAGTGGACGCGTCTCAGACGGAACGAATAGTGTTGGTCGAGTTTTTTAGCGCTAATCGAGGCAAAATTTTTGTGATAAAATGTATCGCTAGTCAGATTTATCGTTAATCGATGCCATCGCTGGTCGAGGGTCCACTGTACAGAAGATATAGCTTGATCACAGCAGCAACAAGTCATAGTGCTAGTGACTATTTTGGTGACTAATAATGAAATTAAATGAACTGTAGAAGTTAATAAAGGGAGGAAATATGAGTGAAAGAACAATTGAAAAATTAAAACAGCAGAAAAAAAGAGGTAAAGTAGAGGAGAAATGTGAAAAAAATAGAGGGAGGGAGGAATGGGAAATTGAATTTTAAGAACAGCCTCTAAAACCCTGATATATTACACCGACCTGCATTCTAATATTTTAGCAATACTGTACCATAAACTAGCAAGTTAAATCACTATGTATGACATTGAGAACTGGATCAGCAACCAACTCTATTGTAGAAGACACTAGAAAATGTTTCATAACAGATGACATTTGTGAACTTGTTTATATCTGCAGCAGAGACCAAGTTTATTGTAAAGATTGTTGGCAACCATTTATCTGAGAGAGAGACGAGACTACCAGCCGACTGCGTTCATCGAGACGCGGCGCAAAAGACAACAAGCATGCCAGTGCCTACTACACTCTTCACTCCTCATATCACATGCCTTTGATCTCCCTCAGGTAATTACAGCATTCACATAACTGAGATATAAAATGTATTTGATACTTCATGAAAATAAATTCTTATTTCTATTAGATAAATTAATATAATTATAATGTTAAATAAACAATTCTTATCTATTACTACTACAGATATAAATATGAATAGTTGTGCAGTGGACTGGACGTCTGAAGAAGCTCACTTTTCAGGAAATGAGCAGGAAAAACCCTACGACAGAGTACATCCTATCAATCGTAGACAGTCGCCTAAATACTTGTAGCAAAAAGTGTGTCTCTTTAATCAATCAGCATGAACGCAGTCACACTGACTACAACTCTGCACTTCTGCCTTAAAGTTAGCTCTTATGGCATGGAAAATCACAGATGACTCAAGGGGCGAGGAGGAATTTGGAAATTAAGGGCAGGGAATAAAGATGGAGGTTTTACTTGATGAATGGAAGTGATGGTTAGTGAAGACAATTAAGATATTTTGCACATACAAAAGTTACTTGAAGGAATCTCGAGGATTATGAACTATAAAAATATTCACCATATAGTACAGAGAGCGAGTTTGATGTCAACATATTCAAAGGACGGGAGAGCATCAAGATAGTCACTGAGGACAGTGAAATTAAGGTTCATTGTAAAAATAGTCATATACTAGGAGACTGAAGTATATGCTTAATGTTAAAAGTCACTAGAGGAAGAAAGCAGTAGCTTCGTGAAATCCTCAGAAGCTGCATCTCTGCACACTCGTGTATTGTGTGGGCAGAAACCAGTAATTGTTTAATGGTGACAAGTACTATCATAATCGCATTATAAAACTGTGGGGTTCCATTTTTAGGTCTCTTGAGAATGGTTAACAACCTTGTACCTTATTGAACCTAGACAGGTTAAAGAAAAGTGTCAAGAGCTATGACATGCACTTCCCTGTCACAACTTGCATAAACATCTTTGCCCATCACCCTGCTCAGACCAATGATGAAATCTCGTGAAATGGCCAGAAAAGGGCAAAGTGTGAAATAAATGAGAGTATTGAATAGCAAGTAAAAGGCATGAGACATGACTTGCAAGAAATATAGGGACTGCAGTAGGTAATGGCAAGATAGAGCAATGACAAAAAAATATAAAAATAATGCCACTCAATAGAGCAGAATGAATGTGTTTCAGATCCAGTGAATGAGAAGCAATGAACAGGATGTACTGTTCCAAGTGATCTTTAAGTTTAGAAAATATCAGTTTATGAACTAACTTACTTGTTTCTGGTGTTGGATAACAGAGATTGACGATGACTGTTGATTTCATGCAATGGCTACTGAAAAAGTTGCTGCAAGATGTGAAATAATCTGGGAAGTGACAGAAAAGCTTAGGAAGAGTGCACAAGAAAGGTAATGAGCCTTGTTTGGGTTGGGGTCACAACATCGTCGATTCTGTGGGTGATGGTGGATCCTGGGTATGTGGGTGTACCTGGCACTCGGCAGTCACTCCCCGTAGTGCTGTGGGGCGCATCCCTCCCATTTCCTGTTGTTGGAGACATGGTAAAGGTTCCCCCCAGGTCCCCAAAGAGCTTGTAGGGGTTCTGGTGTGGTCCCTTGTAGAGGATGACATACCAAGTTGTTGGAAAACTTTGTTTTGGCAAAGCATGGATGGGAATGGTGCACTGGGCACACTGGACCCTAGGCTTGACTCAGTTTTTGGTCCCAGTGGGAAGTCGGGGGTTTGAGTAAAAGGTTTGTCATCATTGGCACATCTGCCCCCAGAACTGTTTTTGGAGAATAACTTGTAGTTACCATCAGGAAGTGCATGATTCCTGGTGTCATGGTTATTTCCAGTTCTGGTGATAATTGCTCCTACCTGAAGCTCCATTTCTGATGCATAGCTTATGTGGTTCATCTGAGCAGTGTGCACAGGGGGCAGAGGAGACTTGGATCTAGCACGAGAGTGTCTGGTCCGATGATGACCTTCCTGTTTCTCCTGAGAATTAGTTTTTGGCACTACAACACTATCACAAATATTCTTTGGCACCATATTTTGACTTTTGCTCTTACAGTTATTTTTTGATAGTGACTTTGTACTTGAGCTTTCATGATTACAACTTTTAACTTCCTTAACTACTATATGTGGAGCCTCTGAATGAGTCCTTTCACTTGGTATCACAGCCTCAGGACTGATATGCTCTTCCCCCTCTAGTGGTTCTTGGCTGGGAATGTCACAGTTTTCTGAGATTTGCTGGTCAAATGTGGTGGGTAGGCTAGTCTGAGCTTCACCAGAGCTGCCAGGGATATCTTCCTCATTTAATTCACTTATAGTTGCTTCCAGTGCCTCATTCTGCATCTTTGCAGCATGAATGGAGCTGAAGCCCTTTGAACTAGTTAGAGGCTCAACAATAGAGTCACGCCGAGTCATGTAGTGTTGGCGACCAAGACGAACCAACTCCTCATCCAGCCTGCATAAGTACAATATTGTTAATATTTTCCACAAGACTGTACAACAAACCAAGAGGACAAATAATTACAATGAAAAAAAAAAGCACCTTAGTTTATGACATATAATCCAGAATTGATGGAAAAATGACTAGTGGGTCATTCCAGGAACGTTTAGATGGTGAAGGTTCTGAAAGGTTGGAGCTTAAGTATGCAACAGGTATGTGTGTGTATTACATCAGAGTGGGAACAAGTGGTTTTGGAAATTTGGCATACTGTTGAGTGTGAGCAAGTTAACATTTATGAAAGGATTCAGGGAAAAATCAGTTAGCCAAATATAGAATCCTGGATGGGTGGGATACTGCAGTTTAGAGGGGTCATTTGAATTGTGATGTTAATGCACTTTCATCAAGTGCTATTTAATGAGCAATGGTGAGTGCACTTTTTTTTTTTAGGTCACCCTACCTTAAATTAGACACATGTGCAACTCTTGGGTATCTTTATTGAGGAAACGTTTTGCCACACAGTGGCTTCATCAGTCCATACAAAGGAGAATCTTGAAGAACAGGAGGAGAATGAGGTAATCAGTCCCTCAACCTTGAGTCGATGTGGTCAGTCCATCAATCTTGAATAGAATACGGCATACGTGCTGAGAAGGAGCTTATAAACCGTTGGCAGGAGAGGTGTAGCAGTCATAGGTCGTGTAACATTTGTTCAATGTTGAAGTAGGTCGTGCCCAAGAATTAGGCAAGCGAAGAATTCCCAAGTATTAAGATCCACATCGACTCAAGGTTGAGGGACTGATTACCTCATTCTCCTCCTGTTCTTCAAGATTCTCCTTTGTATGGACTGATGAAGCCACTGTGTGGCGAAACGTTTCCTCAATAAAGATACCCAAGAGTTGCACATGTGTCTAATTTATCAACATGTCGGTTCTCTGAACCATTCATCTACAAACCTGTCAGACACTGCAACTTCTTGGGATCTTAATACTTGGGAATTCTTCGCTTGCCTAATTCTTGGGCATGACCTACTTCAACATTGAACAAATGTTACACGACCTATGACTTCTGCACCTCTCCTGCCAACGGTTTATAAGCTCCTTCTCAGCACGTATGCCGTATTCTATTCAAGATTGATGGACTGACCACATTGACTCAAGGTTGAGGGACTGATTACCTCATTCTCCTCCTGTTCTTCAAGATTCTCCTTTGTATGGACTGATGAAGCCACTGTGTGGCGAAACGTTTCCTCAATAAAGATACCCAAGAGTTGCACATGTGTCTAATTTATCAACATGTCGGTTCTCTGAACCATTCATCTACACACCCTACCTTAGTTGGAGATAGGCAATGTGGTAGAAGAAACTCGTACAGTACTCTGTATTCTCGAGTATAGGTCAATATCGCATATATAAATCAAACCCTGATTGCCTTTGTTAAAAATTCTTAATTATGCTCATTGCATTTAAGTTGACTTTTAGAATTTTGTCTTACTGTTCAAAGATTATCTGTTAACATTTAATGACAGGCTCTTTCCCTCCCGGCCTCCCTTTACTAGCAATGCAACAATAAATGCTTGCATGAGTATGTCACCTAACATGAATGTAAGAGTAGGAACATTTTTGCTAGCTTCCTCTGCCACATTGGTTAATATTACCATTATGAAGACTAACCACTAGAGGAGAGTCTAGCACCTGGTAACACTACAGTGATCATTGAAAAATAAGATAATGGGAGAGGATAGCACAATAATATATTGTAATAGTACCAGGAAAATGACACTGGTATACTGTCAGGTTGTAGTTGATAAAGTGACAGGTAGTAATTGGAAAATTTATTCAGATGACATTTTGCCTGTGCAGTGGACTTTTTCAAATCTGATGACAAAGGTCGCTGTGCTGGCATAATGACTTTTATATAGTTTCCAGTTGCCACTTTTTTTTTAAACACACTGGCTGTCTCCCACTGAAGGAAACAGCTGGTGTGCTTAAAAAAAAAAAAAAAGCCTGTTGGGGTTATGTAGCACCTAGGGAATTTGAGGTAATCAGGTTTGATTCAAAGAAGCGTCTAGTTGCATGGATCAAGACTCCCTCCTTCCCCAATGGTATCAAGGCACCTTCCTTCGGGTGACAAAATTTTTTTACTTAAATATGTTCCTAAAACCTAAACCCATAACTGTATATACAGCATAACTCAGCCTGGTGGCAAACGCTCTGGCTTCACATGGTGAGAGTCCGGGTTCGATTCCCAGCAAAGGGGTGGAAACATCAGACGTGTTTCCTTACACTGGTTGTCTATGTTCACCCATCACTAAAATGGGTACCTGGGTGTTAGTCGACCTAATTTGCCTGAAATGCTCTGCAAAACAAGCGGCTTTCTATATAGTATTATGTCACTGATGTCAACTATGGTCTGTATATCTTGTAGTAAATATATTATTATTAACTAAATCTTTTATTACTTCTAAATTATTGTTTTAAATTTTATTTTTATAATATAATTGTTACATTCCTTCCTGATTTTGTTCCAATTTTTGCATTTTTTATAAATTCTTATACCTACTGCTATAATGCAAACAAGTTCCACTACTGTGCTTTCAGATTTTTTTTATGTACAGTATTGGTATATACTTTATCCTTGTGCCACTATTCCCTTCACAAGTCAATTATTTTAGAAAACTAATGGGGACACCTTTACATATGAAATTTTTTCAGCAAGTGTTAATGTAAAAGTTTTCAAGATATAAAGAGGTCAAAACTTCCACAAGCAACAAGGCATCACATGGAACAATATAATTTTACCTCATTCACTTTTCCCTTAGATAATCATCCACAGTGATCAAGACAATGTTTAATCACCAGCACTAAACATACAAATGACAACCAATTACACTAGTTCCTACCTGTCTCTCACTGACCTTGTATAGTTGTTGGTTTGTCATGAAAAAAATCACCTGATGTAAGTCTTTGTTACAAGATGATCCACTGAGTGATGCCAGCACTATTTCAGGGAAACAGCCCAACTACTGTGCAGGGGTATTAAAGTGAGGCAACTTTGGGCCTGCAGTGAGCCATAGCAACATAACTGTTAGCTTACTGGTGCTGATTAATGATGCAAGTGTATTCTGCAGCTATGTGCACCAGTTACACCTGCAACACATTCTATTATACCTGTCAGTTCCACCCTAATTATCCATAACCCCACTTGTTATCCTTAATGTACAGTAAGCCCAATTGTAGTGTTTACACATAATATTGTTGGGGTTATCAGAGCCACTGCTAACTCTCACCTTATAAAGCCATTTCCTGGTATCTAGAAAGGGAAACCAGAACAAGCATTCCCACTTAGATGACCTTATCTAGTGATAACAACCATACACAAGTGTGGTAGTGGCAATCTTACCTGTGAGTGTACCTGGTATGCAGGAAAGAGGAAAATAATACATTGTTACTTAAACGCTTAGCGCTTCTTTTTCATTATAATAATAATACTTAATAAACAAATGTAAAGCTCAAAATATTGGAGAGAACTTGAAAGAAATTACTTAACTTTTAATTACACTATGCATTTTTTTTTTATTTTGACAAGAAATTTATAATAACAATGTTTTTATTCATTTGCCTCTCTTCACTCAGCCAAGAATTTAGTTCTACCCCCTCTATCCTCCTTCATCAACTCTACCATGATAGGGCTGTGACATTTCACCTGGCTAGGTTCACTAACCTAACATTTTCTGTGGAAATGGAAAGCTCACCCTGTGGAAATGGAAAGCTCACCCTATCTCTGGAGGAATGGGCAGCTCCTTCTTGAAGCCATCCTTGCCAAGAAGCCAGTAAGTGTGCATCTCTCCCTTCCCCTTGAGCTTAGTGAGGCCTCGGTACTCCAGATGGTAGCCACCCACGTCTCGCAGCACTGACCATGTCTTCTCACTCACATGGATGCGCCAGGCTGATCCTGGAGGGCACCATATTAAGTTAATGACAGTACAGCACACACACACCACATATTTTCAACCACATCCCTGAATACTTTGGCCATCTTTAAAGTGAAGCTGAAAATTAAGCTTATTAATGGTAACTTAGTATTAAAGATGTGCAAGACCTATAAACATTTAACTAACAAATTTCTACAATTCATCCTCTTCAACACAGCAGTATGACCCTGGTGGGTTTAGTGCTTAGTTTTGATTATAACAATAATAATCATCCCCATCAAGGGGAGGACTGCTCTGATGTTGGTGAATGGGTTTTGATCCAATGTACTACAACTACCTTCTTACCTGGATCAAATCTGATCTCTCATATCTCAGGCACTGTATGGCCCCTATAGGTTTAGTGCTTCCCCAAATTAATGATAATCTAGTAGGTTGGTAGACAGCAACCACCCAGGGAGGTACTACCGTCCTGCCAAGCGAGTGTAAAACGAAAGCATGTATGTAATTGTTTTACATGATAGTAGGACTGCTGGTGTCTTTTGTCGGTCTCATAAATATGCAAGATTACAGGTACGTCTTGCTACTTCTACTTACACTTAGGTCACACTACACATACATGTACAAGTAGTATATATATACACACCCCTCTGGGTTTTCTGCTATTTTCTTTCTAGTTCTTGTTTATTTCCTCTTATCTCCATGGGGAAGTGGAACAAAATTCTTCCTCTGTAAGCCATGCGTGTTGTAAGAGGCGACTAAAATGCCAGGAGCAAGGGGCTAGTAACCCCTTCTCCTGTATATATTACTAAATGTAAAAGGAGAAACTTTCGTTTTTTCTTTTGGGCCACCCCACCTAGGTGGGATACGGCTGGTGTGTTGAAAGAAAAGAAATCTACATTACAACAATATGATGGGCAATTGTGACTAAATGTAACATTGATATTTACACTGACAAAGCCATGTACATGCAGGTACAACTTTTGTGAATGAGTCATGTATGGCTTATCTGTTGATGAGAATAGTGCTGTATGACCCCAGTGATTTAGCACTTAGTTTTGATTATAATAATGTTGATGAGAAGTATATAAATTACCTGTGAATAATAATATAATAAAAAAGAAGCACTAAACCCACTAGTCATACAGTGTGAATAATAAATGTATAACTTACCTGATAATGGTACATGCATAACCTACCTGTTGACTCCATTCTGGATGCTGTGTTGACAGTATCACCAAAGAGACAATACCTCGGCATAGTCATCCCCACTACGCCCGCACAACAAGGGCCTGTTGGGAAGACATCTCATCAAGCTAGGCACACTATATGGTCATCCCCACTGCTTCTCGACAGTTTCACTCATCTGCAGCTATAAAATCAGTATACTTTTCTAATTTTCTTTTATGACATAAACCTAAGGATTGGAAATGTAACACATTCATCATCACCTATTCAATAGCATCTTTTGTATGACCCTTGTGGGTTTAGTACTTAGTTTTGATTGTAATAATAATAGCATTTTGCACTTAGCTATGATTAAAATAATAGCCAGAACTGCATGTATGTGTATATATATATTAGGCTACTGGCAGTTTGGAGCGCTGTGTAATAGGACAGTATAGTATATATAATTGGGGCCCTGATATTATATTTTATGTGGTAAATTTTAGTATAGTTTATTATATTATTTCAGGTCACTTTTTATACTGTATCTTTATATATGCTTCTAAGCTGTTGTATCTGGGTGCCTCTGCAAAAATAGTGATTATGTATAAGTGAGGTGAAAGTGTTGAATGATGACGAAAGTATTTTCGTTTTGGGAATTTTCTTTCTTTTTGGGTCACCCTGCCTCGGTGGGAGACGGCCGACTTGTTGAAAAAAAATATATAGTATATCAATTCAAATGTCTTAAGGAAGGAGCACGGCATCAGACCTAGTAGCACAAACTAGTCAGGTCCAACTCACACCCATTCTATTGTCAAGATAGTATTCATAAACAGAACCTCTGTTGCCAGCCATTCTGTTTTAACAGCATCCAAAAACAAAGCAACCCTAGATGACTCCACAAACCAGGTTCAAGGTTTCAAAACCTTGAACCATATTTGTGAAGTGATTAACAAAGTTCTTAGGCAGTACAGAAGTATGTGCAGATTTTGACTGAATGCATTTAGGTTAAACAGCTGTATGGTTTTGTGCTTAGTTTTGATGATGATAATAATACACACCAGTAAAATAGAGGCTACACTGTGCTTGGTCATTACCTCTTCATAATAAAACAGAGCTATACAGTAGATCACAGATTTATCAAACAAGTCAATTTTCTTGACACTGCTTACAATCTATGATTCTACTGTCACCAATTAACATTTTTAACAGCACAATTTTTTTTTTATACTAACAGTTTCAGTTAATGTTTATATTGTTTATTTACCTGTATGAATGCCAATTCTCAGCATGAGTGGGATGTCATGGAGGTGTCTGATCCTGAACTTGCCAGAGAGGTGGAGGAGGTCAAGTGCCATGGTAGCTATCTGTGAAGCATGGTCATCAATCATGGTAGGTACGCCACCCACCACCATATAGGCATCACCTATGGTCTCCACCTGAAAGATGTCACTTCCTCAAATTTATGTTGGTGTCTTCTTTAAAAATCTTCAATGCACTATTTGGGTTTCAGTGTTCAAAAGTAGCAGACTAATAGTGAAAGTAGTAGCCTGTACAATAAAATTACATTAGTAGTCATAATGTGGATACCATTTATTATATATATGTGCCTACCATTTTAACAGTTCTAATTACACGACATTGATAGGTTTTAACCATACAGTGCCTTTATCCCACCTTACCTCAGTGGGAGATGGCTAGTGTGTCAAATAATAAATAGTTTGAGGTGTTATTCTAGTGTGCCTGTTCTTTCAAGAAATTCACAAGCACTTGCATGACAAGCCATAAATGCAAGAACAATAATGAAGAAATACTAAAGTTTATATCTGATGTGTCCCCTCATTGTGTGGGTTAGATATTGTTATTAATAAAGGCATTCACTGCATCTGTATGTCAGTTACTCCACACTGTAAATACCAAGAAGACAACAGATATTACTGATGCGTCTATCCTTACTGGTCACTAATTCTATCTAATAGTACTAAAGATACAACTACTAGAGTTCAAATTAAAGAACTGTTTACATGATGTAAACATTGTCAACTTTGATGAAGTAATGAAGTTAAGTTCTGACCTTGTAAACATTGTAGTGGTTAATGGTAGAGTCAAAGGCAGTGTAGAGATCATTGAGCAAGTCCACCACCTCAAAGGGAGTAGAGTAGGCAGAGATGCTAGTGAAACCCACAATGTCAGAGAAATAAATGGTCACTTCATCAAATTCCTCAGGTGCAACAGGCATTCCCAGTTTAAGCTGGTCTGCCACAGAACTGCAGAAGGAAATGGGTTAAACTCACAACTTAGGAACAAACTGTAGATAAATCTTTGAATGATATTTCAGTCCATCTTGGACAATTATCAACAGTGATGATGCCAAGGAAGTGGGGGCTTCAGCCCCCCTGCAAATTTCTCTCAGCCTCCCTAAAGCTCCCCCAAATAAAAACAGTAAAAATGCTACTTCAAAACAGTCTTCTAGCCTCCCTTCCAAATCCCTAGACTAGTGATGAGAAGCAAGATTACTGGTTTTAACTACAAGATAGCTTGCCTACAACAGGCCCTGCTTTTAAAGCAAAGGCAAACATATTTCACAACACCACTCACTGTCCACCATCCAATACCTATCACCTTCAGTCTTCACCCACCTGGGTAACATTCTGTTAAGCAGCTGCTCTGTTTTCTTCTTCTCCAGGTCGAGCTGCTCTGTTCTGTCCCTGATGAGTTCCTCCAGGTTACTAGAATACTTCTCCAGCATCTGGAACATTGTGTCCACAATGTTGAGACGTCTGCAACACAAACAGTAATTGCAGATGTTACAGCATTCACAGATTTATTGAATCAGAAGCAACAGCATTTACACCAGAGCATACTGCTGCAATAACAAAGAGTCATATGCAACAAACAGCAGCTGCTGATGATACAATCACACCAAAGCAATAAAAGTTCTTTAATATTCTGTTTGGAAAGCTACCTACTGGCAACTACAGTATTTGTTAAGAAAATAATTGCAAGGTCAATAATGTTTACCACGAGCAAGAGAGAACTTTCTCATCTGCTTTATCTGAGTTTTTAAAAGTTACTAAAGTGAGTCAGTGCTCCTATCTGCCTTGTTAACATTCTTAAATTATTAATATTGTCATCATGAAGGGCTAAGTGCATAAGGATCATACAGAACTTGGGAAATGGCTGATACTCAAGTTTGACATGAGGAAAGAGAAGGTAGCTGCAATTCGTTGGATCAAGAGCCATTCAGCAGCATCAAGGCACCTTGAAGGGTGAGTTTATTGTCATTATTGATTTCATGGAAAAGCATTCAAGCACTAAACTCTTATGGGTCATAAAGCCCCTTGGAAATGGGAGAATCAAATTTGATCTGAAACCTTTACCAGCCTCAAGGTACCTACCTCCCTTTGAGGTTAAAGAGATCACTGATGTAGTTGAATGATCTTACCTGCCTTGGTTGAGTTTCTTAAAGAGATCATTGATCTCATTGAAGTCTGGTCTCATCTCTGGCAGCTCTGCCCAACACTGCTTCATAATGTTGATGGCATCAGGAGGAGCTGCACCCTTAGACACTGATGGCCTGATCATTGGCGGTGGCTTCTTCAAGCGAGCCAGGATCTCTGTAAAACAACTTAACAGTAACACAATACTTCACATGGTGTCAAACAGACTATGCAAGGGTCATTATGGCTTCATGCAAGTATAACTTGCCACCTATGTCTTCACTGTCTTCTATTTGAAGAGCTAACTTTTCTTGGCCACACTCATCATACCAGTGTAATTGCCTCTTTATAATTACTGTACGGTAGCAGATTCATTGTATTTTAATTAGGGGGAAGTGCTAAACCTGTAGGGGGTCATAGTGCCTGGAGAATGTGACATTCAAGTTTGATCCCAGGAGGAGGAGGAGGATAAATCCAGTTTCTTGGATCAGAAACTCTTCACCAGCTTTAGGTACTTCAGCTCAGTAATTAATTCATCATATTATTTAATTGTTCTATTACTAAATTTATTGAGATGCGTTAAACCAACAGGGGTCATACTGTACCCACTACCTTCTCTTTTAACCATTCCACTGTTCCATTAATTTAAATTTCTACAGTACATTACTGTATATCCTTTTGGATATACAGTGACCTAAGTGTAAGTAGAAGTAGGAAGACATACCTGAAATCTTGCACGTTTATGAGACAAAAAAGACACCAGCAATCCTACCATCATGTAAAACAATTACAGGTTTCCGTTTTACACTCAACTGGCAGGATGGTAGCATTAGCAAATATAGGTTATTATTTTTTATAAATCATTTATATAAATTATAGACATGAGGTTAAGTATCAAGCCTTTTGTTCTTATCACTGTTTGTATTTTCCTCTCCAACAGTCTCCTGCATAGCTCGAGTTAATCTTACATTCCTACTCTCTTATGTTGTTTAGTCTTTCATGATTATCTTTATTCAAATTTTTATGGGGGAATTTAAAGACTGCTGGCTCTTTTCTCTCCTTCATATATGCAGTAGTGACTTAGTAATTTGTATAATTTAATACACTCTACAGAGTTGTTGGTGTGAAACCAAAATGATTGAGCATAAGCTTTTATCATACAGGTGTTTTATCTTTTTTCTTTTGCATTTACAATAATTCTAGAGAGAGATAGAGAGAGCAGTATAATTTACAGGGGCCTCCCTGAGGTGGTTGAATAGACCAATCTTTGAGTGAAACTGCAATAAAGGCTTTTTTGGCTGCAAGTCTCTCTGTATTACCCTGCCAGCGGTTGTTAATGTTTAAGTTATATTACCATGCCAGGGACTGATAATGTTTAACAGAGGTATTACCACATTTTCCGTATTCTTTTATCTTCAGTCTGAAGCTGAAGTGGAAAGAGGTTGAATTAAGGGTTGGAACTTACCTTGAGGTGTAAGTTGTATCATACAGTAAGGTGCACCACGGACCACGACCTCCTGCATAATTATGGCAAATGAGAAGACATCCCCTGGCTGAGTACCCTTTGTCATCATGGTCTCATCTCGCAGTATTTCTGGTGCTTTCCACAGTAGATCTGTTGTAGTGTACAAGTCAGTAATTTCAACTGTTGTCCACTGCTTTTTCTAGTATATGGGCTAATACACTCAGGTGACTACTGCTGCTGGCTTTATCACACTTAACTACAGTGAATTTAGACATTTTGCAAAGACAGCTCCAAGTGGACAACATTTTGATGAATGGAAACTTTATCACCATTTGCACAACTGTTGTTGTGTTTAAGAGCTATTACAAGGGTTACACTAGAGGTGCCATAAGGTGGTCACACTTGACCAAAATATTGTCCATCAAGGTTCATTTTGCTGTCTCTGGCTCAATTTGTTGGAACTGAGTGACTCTAGACAACAAATTGGGTTGTATGCATATACTGTATGTGACTAAAGTTCTGAAATATTTCAAAGATAATTTGAAGTTGCTACAACCCTGTGTGAGTTATTCAGTACAAGGGGTGGTGGATGCTTGATCCTCCATCTGTTAAATGTCAGACATGTGACTGAGACAGTCATAAGACAAGGAAAGGTTAATAAGGTACCCCGGATAGGTTTGTTGGGATGACTGAGGTTCTGATACTCATAGAGTCCAGGCAGTCCATAATCGGTGATTTTGAGGACCCAGCGAGCATCTATGACACAGTTGCGAGAGGTGAGGCGACCATGGTACCTCAAGAGTGATGCATGGAGGTACCGCATACCCTGTGGCACGTGGGCATTATTATTATTATTATTATTAATGGGAAAATGCTAAACCTGCAGGAGTTATAAAGCACTTTGAGTTAGATGCTGCCTCTAATTATCATCCTAACTTGCATACAATTATCAGATATAACAAAAATGTATACATGCAGACTAAGTTGGGGGAAGGAGCATACCCTGACCAGGTCGGAGAGTAGAGAAAGCCTGAAGGACCAGTCCAGCTTGATATCCTCCTGTCTGATGATGTCTTCTAGTGACCTGCGGCTGCAGTAGTCAAACACCAGCCCAGGTCGCACAGGGTCACACAGCATTCCCAAGAACCCATTAATATTTTCATGCCTCAGGTCACGCATCTGCGGGCAGGCCACCAAGTTCTACACCATGCAATAAAACCCTACAGCTGTAAACACTATTAAATAAGTCTCTTATTGCTGTTTTCAAAGTGGAATTTAGACATGAGCAACAAAGGTCACACAGACATTGAAGAGTATAACATTCGTCCTTAAGAATCAGGGTTGGTCGAAGCAGGGACATTGTAACTCACAATTTCTACATAAAAAATTAGAAAACAGTCAAGATTGAAATTGAATAAATAATGAAAATACTGAACAGAGAGGCTCTTGAACCTTAACTCCAGCTCAACCAGCTTAGTCTCTTGGTGAGGGAGACAACTGGTCTCGGTCATTCAAGGACAACAAATGTATTAGTAATGTTCAAGGCAACAGATCATTGGTAAACAAATGTTTCAGTATCAAGATGTTCAGACTCTAAGACCAGTGTATTAAAGTCAAGACAGATGTGTTGTGCTAGGTATCTCCAGGTACCAAGACGAAGATGGTGGAAAGAAAGTTGTGTAATTTTCAGAGCACAATGACCTAACTGTTTCAGTTCCTAAAAAGGTATATCTACCCCCTCCCCCTTTCCTCTTACAATGGCAACACAGGTAGAAAAGATAATACACGTAATAAATTGGTGGTAAAAGGGGAAGAACATACTCTGTAAAAAAAGTGCCTAAGCTGTTCATTTAATAAAGTTACTCGCATTTTCTACAATAAAAGCATTATCTAAAGGCAGATGTTGGAAAGGCATCCCAAGAGTTAATTAAACTTAAAATCTGAATTGTAAAAGACTGAAGTTGAGCAAAGAATTAAAATATAATTATGCAGTCATGAGTGGCAGACTACAAGATAACAAAGCAGCAGTATTACCTGCTAGCAAGTGGCAGTGGAAGAGCCTGGTGGAAAGATGTTTCACTTGCACAGCAGACTTTTCATTCTAACACAGTGGCATAAGTGCTGGAGCTAGTGGAAGAAGTGAGGTGCAGCAGTTAAAGACATCATAGTAGGTGGGCAGGACCCACTAATTGAACTAGTCATGCCACATGCAGCTATTGACTTAGAAGGTAATGCCGACCATGGAATAGATGCAAGAATCTGTCAGGAAACTACTCAGGTCATGTATGAAGGTCTTGTCATATTTGGTTGATATACCAAGATTCCACTGTGTTGCTTTATTAGATTGAAAAGAAAGTCTGCTACACAGGTGAAACGTACTCCAGTAGACACTCAAATGTTGCACATGTGTCTTAGTCATTAAGTATTGGTATTATATACAGGGTGTTTCACTTGTAAGAGGCCCCGAGTTATCCTTTACTACAGATATAATACACAAACAAGATAGCTGTAATTATGAGAGTACCAACTCGGGGCCTCCTACGAGTGGAACATCCTGTACCATAAATGTAATGGAGAGGATGTCAAACCCTCAGTGACAACTCTTGTGGAAAGAGAATGATCAGGCACCCACTTAATCATGTACAGTCGTAGCCTCTCTGTAAGGTTCACCAGGCCACCCACTTCAAGAACCTGACCATGAATAAAGCTTAAATTAAGGCAAATGTTACTTGTATTTACTTGATAAAGCTGCTGCTGCAGCATATAAATGCATTAGGAGCCAAGAGTTCCGCAGGGAAGTGTCCTTGGTCCCCTGCTCTTCCTCATATACATCAATGACCTTCCAAACGTATCCCAACACCTGAAACCCATTCTCTTTGCTGATGACACGACTTATGTCATCTCTCACCCTAATCTTGCCACCCTCAACACCATTGTGAATGAGGAGCTGATTAAAATATCGACTTGGATGACAGCCAATAAACTTACGCTTAACACTGACAAAACTTACTATATTATGTTTGGTAGCAGAGCAGGAGATGCACAAATTAACATTAAGATTGACAACACTCTAATTACCAGAAATAATGGGGGAAAATTCCTAGGCTTATACCTTGACAACAACCTGAATTTCAGCACCCATATCCAGCATATAGCCAAAAAAGTATCCAAAACGGTTGGGATCCTCTCCAAGATACGATACTACGTGCCGCAAAATGCCCTTCTCACACTATACCACTCACTTATTTATCCATACCTCACCTATGCTATTTGTGCTTGGGGATCAACTGCAGCAACACACCTAAAGCCAATAATAACCAACAAAAAGCTGCAGTAAGAATAATCACTAAATCCCATCCCTGGCAGCACACCCCCCACTCTTCAAAGATCTAAACTTACTCCCAGTTCAGTACATCCACACTTACTACTGTGCAATCTATATCTACAGGGCCTTAAACTCTAATATCAACCTTGACCTAAAACGCTTTCTTGATAGTTGTGACAGAACCCACAGGCATAACACCAGACACAAACATCTCTACGACATTCCCGGGTCCGACTAAACCTTTACAAAAATTCAATGTATGTCAAAGGCCCTAAAATCTGGAATACCCTACCTGAGAACTCTAGAACTGCAGACACATTCATCACCTTCAAAACTACCATTAGAAAACATCTTATCTCCCTGATACACCCCGTCAACTAACTACACGAATACCACCTGGTGGTTCACACTTACACTCGCTCACTCATTTGACCATAAACAGAAATATTAATCTCAGTCTTAAAATAATGAATCCTGTGATACTCCAATACTGAAACTATATACTGTGTCAAAACAAAAGCATTCACATTGCTAAACTCATAAACTAGTATTTAGTCACTTAGCCATAATACCAACTTACCTCATAATTTGTAATATTTTACAATTAAGAATAAAACTAAGTATGCCCGAAATGCCTAGCCATGCTAAGCGTTCTAGTGGTACACTCTGTAATCACAATTTTACTACATGTAAACCAAACAATAACCAAATTTCTGTAAACTCAGCATTGTAATCCTTATAGAGAACTTTGAAGAGAAGGGGCTGTGGTGATTGTTTTCGAGCCAGGATAAGCATGTAGAGACCAAAAGCAAGTTTTGAGATCTGAAGATTGCTTTGGCCTAGGACATCAAATAACAAAATATTATTATTATTATATGGAAAGCACTAAATCCGTAGGGTTCATACAACGCCTTGGCGAATAGGAGGTAGTCAGGTTCAATCCAAGGAAAGGGGAAGGGGGTCAAGTTCAATTCCTTGGATCAAGTGCCCCTCACCAACATCAAAGAATCTTACCTGAGGAGTGAAACTTCACTTGTCACTTCTGGCAATAAAATTAAACACTTAAGACCTAGACTAAAGATCAGAGATAATTTCAATGGGTCGGTAGCCATAAAAACTGTGGTAAGTTGGGTGGTTAAAAAAAAAAAGGTGAAAACTTGGAGGAATTAAGAGATGTTTGACTGACCTGCTTAAGGAGGGTCATTGTCCTGTTCTTGACCTCGAAGTTGGCAGTGGGGACGTAGAAATACTTGACGTGCACGAAGTCTCCCTGCGGGGTAGGGGCAGGTCAAGGGTCACACACACATACCCAGGGCCTCAACACATGTTGAGGATGCCAAGCATTGCCCACAATGATACCAAGACCAACACACAAGGACAAGACTATCTTGTAGTCATTATTTACAATTCTTGTCCCTGTAAGCTGTTGGTAATTCTTTACAACATTTGTCCTTGTAAGTTGTTTAACTTAGCAACTAATAAAGTGTTAAGACTACAGCAGTTACGTCAGCATCACTGCTCCTCGCCTCAAACATCAATTATGTCTACCCTACTCTAAAGTTGCCACTTATCCTGGCTGTGGTTATAGCATGACAAGTGATATTTTAAATTAGGATTTTTAAATGGGGTACTAAAGGTCTGATATCAGTTTTGGAGGGTCTTGGGTTACACTGGGATTTTTTATTGCATTAGCTAATTTATAGGCAGACAAACGTTACCCAAGCTACTTGGTGTTGCTAGATACAATTATGTTAACAAAACACCCGTGCACTGATGGACAGTTCAGTGGTGGTAAATTAGACACATGTGCAACACTTGGGTATCTTTATTGTGGAAACATTTCACCACACAGTGACTTCATCAGTCCAATACAAAGAGGAATGGTGAAGATCAAAAGGAGTTTGAGGTAATCAGTCTCTCATTCTGGAATCTGATTACCTTAAACTCAGCCTGATCTTCATTCTTCTTTGTATTAGACTGATGAGGTCACTGTGTTGTACATGTGTCTAATTTATCAACTTGTTGGTTCTCTGGACCATTATCTACACAGTTCAGTGGCATCACTGGTAAAGTCCTCACATACCAGTAGAACATTATCTCACATAAAATGTACAGAAAAGGATAACAATAGGGATTTACAGCTGTATATCAGTCTTTACAGCATTGAGGCCAACAATAGGGAGTCACTGTATGGGATTTTCACGGAGTAAATTTTGATTAGTGTATAATGACTTAATATGATACTGAGAATACGCCAGGTTACTGACGCACTGTCAGCACGGCTGACAATGACAAGTTTATTTTAGCATAATACATGTTTGTACAAAAGAGTGTAACAATTTGGTGAACATGCCAAAAGCCCCTTTATATGCAGAGCATTTCGGGCAATTCTGGGAAACTTTACTAATACACAGTACTGGGACACTGTACTAATAGTAGATGTAAAATAGAAAGAGACAGGCGCTCCCTTTACAGGAGACAGAAAAGAATAACAGAGCGGCTAAAAGAGGTCAATATATCTGAAATGCGTAGGGAGACACTGGTCAGAGAAATAGCAAGCATCGAACTTAAGCTAAAGGAATCTTATAGGAGTCAGGAATCGCGGGAAGAACTAAAAGCCATAAATGAAATCGAAAGAAACCCAAAGTATTTCTTCTCCTATGCCAAATCAAAGTCGAGAACAACATCCAGTATTGGGCCCCTACTTAAACAAGATGGGTCCTACACAGATGACAGCAAGGAAATGAGTGAGCTACACAAGTCCCAATATGACTCAGTTTTTAGCAAGTCGCTAACCAGACTGAGAGTCGAAGATCAAAATGATTTTTTTATGAGAGAGCCACAAAATTTGGTTAACACAAGCCTATCCGATGTTATCCTGACGCCAAATGACTTCGAACAGGCGATAAATGACATGCCCATCACTCTGCCCCAGGGCCAGACTCATGGAACTCTGTGTTCATCAAGAACTGCAAGAAGCCCCTATCACGAGCCTTTTCCATCCTATGGAGAGGGAGCATGGACACTGGGGTCGTCCCACAGTTACTAAAAACAACAGACATAGCCCCACTCCACAAAGGGGGCAGTAAAGCAACAGCAAAGAACTAGACCGATAGCACTAACATCCCATATCATAAAAATCTTTGAAAGGGTCCTAAGAAGCAAGATCACCACCCATCTAGAAACCCATCACTTACACAACCCAGGGCAACATGGGTTTAGAACAGTCGCCCCTGTCTGTCTCAACTATTGGATCACTACGACAAGGTCCTAAATGCACTAGAAGATAAAAAGAATGCAGATGTAATATATACAGACTTTGCAAAAGCCTTCGACAAGTGTGACCATGGCGTAATAGCGCACAAAATGCGTGCTAAAGGGATAACAGGAAAAGTCGGTCGATGGATCTATAATTTCCTCACTAACAGAACACAGAGAGTAGTAGTCAACAGAGTAAAGTCCGAGGCAGCTACGGTGAAAAGCTCTGTTCCACAAGGCACAGTACTCGCCCCCATCTTGTTCCTCATCCTCATATCCGACATAGACAAGGATGTCAGCCACAGCACCGTCTTCCTTTGCAGATGACACCCGAATCTGCATGACAGTGTCTTCCATTGCAGACACTGCAAGGCTCCAGGCGGACATCAACCGAATCTTTCAGTGGGCTGCAGAAAACATATGAAGTTCAACGATGAGAAATTTCAATTACTCAGATATGGTAAACATGAGGAAATTAAATCTTCATCAGAGTACAAAACAAATTCTGGCCACAAAATAGAGCGAAACACCAACGTCAAAGACCTGGGAGTGATCATGTCGGAGGCTCTCACCTTCAAGGACCATAACATTGTATCAATCGCATCTGCTAGAAAAATGACAGGATGGATAATGAGAACCTTCAAAACTAGGGAGGCCAAGCTCATGATGACACTCTTCAGGTCACTTGTTCTATCTAGGCTGGAATATTGCTGCACACTAACAGCACCTTTCAAGGCAGGTGAAATTGCTGACCTAGAAAATGTAGAGAGAACCTTTACGGCGCGCATAACGGAGATAAAACACCTCAATTACTGGGAGCGCTTGAGGTTCCTAAACCTGTATTCCCTGGAACGCAGGCGGGAGAGAGACATGATTATATACACCTGGAAAATCCTAGAGGGGCTAGTACCGAACTTGCACACGAAAATCACTCACTACGAAAGCAAAAGACTTGGCAGACGATGCACCATCCCCCCAATGAAAAGCAGGGGTGTCACTAGCACGTTAAGAGACCATACAATAAGTGTCAGGGGCCCGAGACTGTTCAACTGCCTCCCAGCGTACATAAGGGGGATTACCAACAGACCCCTAGCAGTCTTCAAGCTGGCACTGGACAAGCACCTAAAGTCGGTTCCTGACCAGCCGGGCTGTGGCTCGTACGTTGGTTTGCATGCAGCCAGCAGTAACAGCCTGGTTGATCAGGCTCTGATCCACCAGGAGGCCTGGTCACAGACCGGGCCGCGGGGGCGTTGACCCCCGGAACTCTCTCCAGGTAAACTCCAGGTAATACATTTTTTTATTTCTCTATGCAGTATACATGTAATAAAATATTGGTAGGCCCAAAAGAAAGTAACTATTGTATGCAAAGTATTTCGGGCAAACTAATCCTAATGCTTAAAAGTTATACTTAAAATTCAGACATATACTAATAGTTTTTATTCAGTTAACTACAATCGTATGTATAATAAACGTAGCTAGTGAAACAAATGAAACGATTTGATAAGTATGCACGTAGATGGTGAAGATACAGCAAGTTACTTAGTACAGTTGGGACAAGGACAGAACTGAAGGTAGACTGGATGAACAAGGGCAGAACTGAAGGAAGACTGGAAGAATAAGGACAGAACTGAAGGAAGACTGGAAGAATAAGAATAGAACTGAAGGAAGACTGGAAGCCTAAGGACAGAACTGAAGGAAGACTGGAAGAATAAGGACAGAACTGAAGGAAGACTGGAAGAATAAGGACAGAACTGAAGACTGGAAGAACAGGGACATAGCTAAAGGAAGACTGAAAGAACAAGGACAGAACTGAAGACTGGAAGAACAGGGACAGAACTGAAGGAAAATTAGAATAACAGTGACAGAACTGAAGGAAAATTAGAATAAGTGACAGAACTGAAGAAAGACTGAAATAACAGGGACAGAACTGGCTGAGCTGGTTTTGTTTGACAAAGTGTATTGCTGTGTCAAGTACGTTAGGTAGATGAAGTGTTTTTTAACAATAGGTCAGAATCGACTGGCAGACAGGGAACCGTTTGATGTTTCAGCCAATGAATTCCAGATTTTAGAGCTTTTTATTATGTGTATGTTCCGTTGCAGCTATCAAGGAAAAATCTGCTATATATAGCAGATTTCGCATATTAAGTAAATTTAAGCTTTTAAAGAGTAGGGGAGCGTGTCGTCTGGCACTGTTGGGTTATTAATGGTTTTTATGTAATTTGGTGCAGTAGATCCTCAGGCACAAATACCATAGGGTAGATTGTAGAGTATTACAATGTAAGTAGGCAGGATAACTTGGGATACTGTAAGAATACAATGAACTGAGGTATAAAGACAGCTCTCAGCGTGAACATTGTAAAGATAAGGTATTAAGAGTGTTTACATTATACTTAGCCTTGGCCTCCTCAGCATCCTTGTTGGCCGCAGCAGCAGCGTAGGGTGCTGTGGAGAGTAGTCCTCCATGAGGGATTGTCCTGTGAGGAGACGAGAACGACCCCCTCAACAGGTCAGGTCGCTCTGCTGTGCCTGCTGACCCTGGCTGTGTGGGGACAGTATACACTATTGCTGTAAACCTCCACACCTGCTAATGATCCTCACACATATATATATATATATATATATATATATATATATATATATATATATATATATATAATATATATATATATATATATATATATATTATATATATATATATATATATATATATAAATCAGTCGTCAGTAGTTTTATGTCTGGAGATACATGGATAATTCCTCACTTACATTATTATTATATACTTTATTTGCAACTTTTATGATATTTTTAAATATTAAAATATCTCCAACATTCCATCAATATATACACATCATTTTGTAACTTCTCTAGTTAAGAAGGTATTAGTAAAAGAGGCAATTATATTATAATATAGATAATATTAATAATAAACTAATAGGTCTGGTGCAAAAATATTATATATATATATATATATATATATATATATATATATATATATATATATATATATATATATATATATATATATATATATATATATATATATATATATAGTGGAACGTGGGTGTTTGAGCTTAATTGGTTGCTAGGTGGTGTTGGAACTTCGAAAAGTTCGATGTGGGAGAGAGTATTGGCCAGGTTTTAGTTACCTGCCTCACACACTGGAGATGTTCAACTGGCAATTACAAAAGTTTCTGAGAGTTAGGTCAGTGTCAGAGGTCACTTCAAAGCACTTTTGAAACAGGACTTTCCTGTATATTATTTTATAACTGAATTTTAAACAAGCCAGAGCATTCTTACTCCAGAAATGCATTAAAACCCGGCTCAGTGTAGGCTAACAAAAATGTTTGGATTCCTGTACGTTTGAACACCGAGGTTCCACTGTGTATATATATATAAATAAATAAATAAATAAATAAATAAATATATATATATATATATATATATATATATATATATATATATATATATATATATATATATATATATATATGTCGTGCCGAATAGGCAGAACTTGCGATCTTGGCTTAAATATCAACGTTCATCTTGCCATATAAGATAAGTGAAAATTTGTGTATGCAATAATTTCGCCAAAATCATTCTGAACCTAACGAAAAAAATATATTTCACTGTGTTTGTTTAATATTAAATTATTGTAAACAACTCTAAAATATATTTGGTTGGGTTAGGCTAAAATAAATTGCGCTTGTTATAATAAGGTTAGGTAAGTTTTTTAAGTTCCTTTTGGTGCAAAATTATAAATTTTTACATCAACATTAATGAAAAAAATATATCTTTAAACGTATAAGAGAAAATTTTAGAAAAGACTTAATTTTAAATGAGTTCTTGCTAATTGACCAGTTTTACATATTCGGCACGACATATAATATATATATATATATATATATTATATATATATATATATATATATATATATATATATATATATATATATATATATATATATATAATACTGGCATTATTATTATGGATTTTTTGAATATTCGATATTTTTCTAGTTAAAGGTCAGTTAGGCTAATATTATGGATTTCTTTTGATATATCAGTACAAGGCAACTATTTAAAATTATTATTATAATAATCAAGGGGAAGCGCTAAACCCGTAGGATTATACAGCGCCTGTGGGGGGATGTGGAAGGTATTCAGGTTTAATTCTGAGAACTGGAGCACAGATCCAATTCCCTAGATCAAGAGCCCCTCACCAGCATCAAGGAATCTCCCTTGAGGGATATTGTGAGTTTTGTTTGGTAATTCTGAAGGAACAATGTATGACAACACTGAATTAATTAGATGTAAGAGTTGCTGTTCTAGTTTGTCACACAGGATGTTTCCTGCTTATTGATTGTTTTAAGTCCATTAGTGTGTATTTTCTGTGCCTGTGCTTGCTAATAAATGTGCCTTTTTTGCAGTTTAATGGTTAGAAAGTCAGCAGAAATGGGTAAAAATTGCTATTTGAGTCCTGTCAAAGTGGGACACATATATCGGTTTATTGGTTGATAAAACACTGAAATAGAGAAATAAAACTTGGTGTTCCAACTCGGTCAATAAAATTAAGAAGAAATTGAATTAATATCAAGATTTAAATTCACAAAGGTTGGGAAGATGTGGTAGAAAACGGAAAACAACACCGAGATTAAACAGAAAAATAATACGAATGACTCTTAACAAGAGTATATCAACTTGGAGGCAGAGTTCCTCTGACACAGCAGCAACAGGTGTTAGTCGTGACCCAAAGACACTTAATGAGAGGCTTTTGGAGAGTGGACTGGAGGTCTATCTTCCCAGAAAAAAACCGCGACTTACTGAACCAATAATACGGGTTGAAAAGTTTAGCTTGGGCTGAGAATCACATTGAGTGGATTACTGAACAATGGCAGCAGCTAAGAATTACATTTAGTTATTTAGTTCATTTGTTCTTCATAAAAGAACATTAATTATTAGTAAAATGAAAATTCTATTTGAAAAAAATTAAGATTACCATTCAGCTTCACTGGTTATTCCGCTACTATTGTGGTTCTCTACTGTTGCAGGTGTTGTCTGATGACAACACTAGTGTTGGATGACAACACTACAGTGCTGGATGACAACACTAGTGTTGGATGACAACACTACAGTGCTGGATGACAACACTACAGTGCTGGATGACAACACTACAGTGCTGGATGACAACACTACAGTGGGTGGATGACAACACTTTTCAGTGCTTGATTGACAAAACCCCTACAGTGTGGATGACAACATACAGTGCTGGATGACAACACTACAGTGTTGGATGACAACACTACAGTGTCGGATGACAACACTACAGTGCTGGATGACAACACTACAGTGCTCGATGACAACACTACAGTGCTGGATGACAACACTACAGTGCTGGATGACACTAAAGTGCTGGATGACAACACTACAGTGCTGGATGACAACAGTACAGTGCTGGATGACAACACTACAGTGCTGGATGACAACACTACAGTGTGGATGACAACACTACAGTGCTGGATGACAATACAGTGCTGGATGACAACACTACAGTGCTTGGATGACAACACTACAGTGCTGGATGACACTACAGTGCGGATGACAACATCTGGAACAGTGCTGGATGAAAACACTACAGTGTTTGGGATGAAAAACACTACAGTGCTGGATGAAACACTACAGTGCTGGATGACAACACTACAGTGCTGGATGACAACACTACAGTGCTGGATGAAAAACTACGGGTGGCATGGGGAATGACAACACTACAGTGCTGGATGACAACACTACAGTGCTGGATGACAACACTACAGTGCCGGATGGCACTACAGTGCTTGATGACAACACTACAGTGCTGGATGACAACACAAGTGCTGGATGAAAACACTACAGTGCTGGAGGGAAAACTACAGTGTTTGGATGACAACACTACAGTGCTGGATGACAACACTACAGTGCCGGATGGCACTACAGTGCTTGATGACAACACTACAGTGCTGGATGACAACACTACAGTGCTGGATGACAAACAAAGTGCTGAATGACAACACTACAGTGCTGGATGACAACACTACAGTGCTGGATGACAAGGGGCCCCACTACAGTGCTGGATGACAACGGTACAGTGCTGGATGACAACACAAATTTGCGAAGGCCACTACAGTGTTTGATGACAACACTACAGTGCTGGATGAAAAACACTAATGTGATGAAAAACACTACAGTCCCGGATGAAACTACAGTCCCTGGATGACAAACACTACAGTGCGGGAATGACAACACTACAGTGCTGGATAGGCATACAACACTACAGTGCTGGATGACAACACTACAGTGCTGGGATGACAACTACAGTGCGGGAATGACAACACTACAGTGCTGGATGACAACACAAAGTGCGGGATGACAACACTACAGTGTGGATGACAACCTACAGTGCTGGATGAAAAACACTAAAGTGCTGAATGACAACACTACAGTGCTGGATGAAAACACTACAGTGTTGGATGACAACATTTACAGGGGCTGGATGACAACACTAAGTGCTGGATGACAACACTACAGTGCTGGATGACAACACTACAGTGCTGGATGACAACACTACAGTGTTGGATGACAACACTACAGTGCTGGATGACAACACTACAGTGCTGGATAAACAACACTACAGTGCTGGATGACAACACTACAGTGTTGGATGACAACACTACAGTGCTGGATGACAACACTACAGTGCTGGATGACAACACTACAGTGCTGGATGACAACACTACAGTGCTGGATGACAACACTACAGTGCTGGATGACAACACTACAGTGCTGGATGACAACACTAGTGTTGGATGACAACACTACAGTGCTGGATGACAACACTACAGTGCTGGATGACAACATTAGTGTTGGATGACTGTGCTGATGTAAGATGGCGGTCACCTGAAGAATTTATATCCGAAGAAGGCGATCAAATTTCCTCAGAAAATCATGGTGTGGGGAACCATTACCGTTCATGGAACAAGTCTGGACATTGCTGATGGTACCATGAACCAAGTTAAATATATAGAAGTACTACAAGGCCAATTACTGCCTCAGATAAGGGACTGGTATAATGAGGGACGTTGTACATTCCAACAAGACTCCGCCCCATGTTACACGGCGAGACCAGTACAGACATGTTGTGCATAAAATGGCCTCAAGCTGCTCCCATGGCTGGAAACTTCTCCGAAATAAATCCTATTGAGGGTTTATGGTCTGTCCTGAAGGATGAAATACACAAAGTTCCCATTACCACCAAAATACATCTTTTAGAAGGCCTTATTAAGGTTTGGTTTCATTCTGCCAGAATCAAGGAATTATGCAAAACTCTGACGGATGGGATGTCTACACGTGGTAAAGCACTTATGGATGCTAGGGCTGGTCAGATCAAATATTAATCAATGTAACATAGCTGACCTCTATTTCTGTATCAAAATAAATCCATTAGCAGTCAGTGAAATTAGTTTAATTAACCTTTTAGTAGAAAAATAACGAATTTATATAAAAAAAA